GTGTCAGCGGCTCGTCTACAAAGTCGGGAACATTGACTCCTTCTGAGGTAAGAAAAGCAGTGTTGCCAATGAGAACCTTGTATCGCGTGCGCTCGCGGGAGAGAGCTGCTTCGACTGTTGCAGTAATACCTTTGCCAACAACGGCTTCAAAGTCACCCACGGAACCATCCAAGCTATCGTCTGGTCCTAGGCGGAGATGCTCCTTTGCGGACAGAACAATAGCCTTGGCAATCGGATGTTCAGAGCCCATCTCGGCGAGTCCAATCAGTGTCCACCACAGTTTCTTCTTTTCAGCACTTCCCCATCCGCCTTGGATGTCAGCCTTAGATACACTCATCTGACCAACAGTAAGCGTGCCAGTCTTGTCAAAGACAACGTGGTTGATTTTAGTTGCGGTTTCCAGAGCAGCGCCACCTTTGACAAGAATGCCCTGCTCAGCGCCGACACCAGTGCCGACCATAACAGCTGTAGGCGTGGCAAGGCCAAGGGCGCACGGGCACGCGAAGACAATGACAGCAATGCAAAGCTTGAAGCACACCATGAATTTGCCACCACTGGAGTGATCAAGGAAGACTTTTGGAGGGTAGGGGAGGACATGGCTAAGAACCATCCATCCAACAAACGTGGCGAGGCCGAGAGTGATGATGATTGGTACGAAATACCCGGCAACAGTATCCGCGAGCCTCTGAATGGGAGCACGGCTTGTTTGGGCTTCCTGAACGAGACGGACTATCTGGCTGAGCTGCGTATCACGGCCGGCTCGAGTGACGACAAACTCCAGACGGCCGTTACCATTGACGGTGCCAGCCATGACCAGGGCGCCTTTCTTCTTAAGGATCGGCATGGCTTCTCCGGTGACCATACTTTCGTTGAGATAGGACTCTCCACGCGTTACTGTGCCATCAGCAGGAAGCTTATCGCCAGGACGAAGGATGACCACATCACCAACTTCGATAAGCTCTGTAGGAATGACCCTCTCTTCTGCAGCATTTCCATCGACAGACTTGCGTTGCATCTTTTCTTCGCCAGCCTCCCAGTCCTCGGCAGCTTTTGCAGCAGCAATTGGATCGGCATAGATGGTGGTCATCGAAGGAGCCAGGGACATGAGATTCGACAGAGCTTTGGAAGTTTGGCCTTTGGCGCTATTCTCGAGATATCGGCCCAAGCTGATGAAGGTGAACAACATAGTGCTGGTGTCGAAAAGTGTCGTTGGTTTCGTGTGAGGGGGAATCAGGAGCGATACCAACATGGAGAATACACTGAAGAAAAAGGCAGCCGAAGTACCAAGTACGACCAGAACGTCCATAGTAGGTGAACCATGGCTCAGCGACTTGTACGCAGAGACATAAAAGCGCTTTCCAATGCCAAACTGCACCGGTATAGTGAGGACCAGGCATATGACGTCGCCAAGGTACAGACCAGGTATGAGCCGAATGCCACCAAAGTTCAGGAATGGCAAGAACATAGGGATGAACATGCTAATCAGGAAAACGGACACGGTGAACCAAGCAGAGAAGATAACAGCATGTCTCCACTCCTGGATCTCTTTTGTCTTGGCAAGGGACTCGAGCTGTGCGTTGTTGTCTTCAGAGTCAGCGACTAGCGCATTGTAGCCTGCCGCTTCCACAGCCTCAACAATGGTACGAATGCCGACAATCTGGGGTTCCCGACGAATAGTGGCTCTTGAAGTACTGAAGTTGACTGTTGCAGATGTGATGCCGGATCGCCTCCTTAGTATCCCTTCGAGTTCCTGGGCAGCGGCAGCGTCGGGTAATCCATAGATCTTAAGCTGCAAGGGAGCGTTACCCGACGAAGACTGCTGCACGCCACTGTCCACTGACGACACGACTTCAGCATCGAACCCCCGGTCCTCAATAATCTCTACAATCTGGGCCTCTGTAAGCTTGGAAGGGTCGTGCACGAGCACAGCACGATTAGCGAGTAAGCTGATGTTGAACTGGTAAACTCCCTCAACATCCTTGAATCCGGCCTCTATAGCCGATGTGCATGCACCGCACGTCATGCCTTCGACGGCGACGGTGGTGGTCAAAGTCTTGTGCTGATTCCTGCTCTTGCTCTTCTTTGGCGCTGGCGTTGCGGCTTCGGTGCTCAGCACCTCTGCGTCAAAGCCAACATCTTCTATCGTCTCGGCCAGCTTCTCTGCGGAAATAATTGTAGTATCATGTTCAATCACGGCGCGTTCGGAGAGGAGAGATATACTAAAGGACTTGATGCCGGCCACGTCTTTGAATGCACCTTCGACAGCGGATGTGCATGCTCCACATGTCATACCGCCCACTGCAAGCGTGGTGGTCGAGATGCTGTTGGTCGTGTCGTCCTCTTCGTCCTCCGAATCGCTCAGGAAATGGTCGTCTGCGCTATGCGACATGGGCAGATCTGATGACAGTACTTCGGCGTCGAATCCTCTGTCTTCGATGATTTCCTTGACCTCGTCCGCCGTAATAACCTCGGGGTCGTGCTGTACCACTGCCCGCTCCATAACCAAGCTTATGGATACATTTCCAATTCCTTTTACGCCTTGGAAGCCTGATTCGATTGCCGAGGTGCATGCGCCGCATGTCATTCCCTCGACTTTGAGTGTTGTTGTTGCCATGTGCGCAGTCGCAGTGGCTGGGGGCGCCATGGTAACTGGGGTACACTCCGGAGTGCTGCCCAGAGCAAGTCGTATCGTTGTATGCAAAGTCGAAACGGCAAGGGCCGGGATTTAAGTAGGTGGCATTCAAGAAGCTGAGCAGGAGACGCGGGTCGTACGATGTGGCAAAGCCAGGGCGAACGCGAGCCTAATGATTGCGACAGCGTTGCGAGGGCTGACCAAGCGAGGAGGACCGGGAGGGACAGCGATGCGAATCTGAACAAAAAGAAGCCCAGCTTCTGGAAAGTGTCAGGCAGTGCAGTTATTAATTAATATGGCCGCTTGATAGGCGGACAGCGACAGCCACAATCTTACCAATGCTGAACGGAGTCCGGCGCGGCGGGTAGTCTCAAGCGGGTTAGAGCAGTAAGTATTAGCGGACGACAGACCGCTATCGTTGGGGCAGGTGAGGCCACTATTCGCAAAATGGCCACTTTCGGAAAGGCAGTACAAGCATTATCCGTGAGCAAGAAGAAATACGGGCTTGATATTCAACGCGAAATGCAAACAAGGTTCTGTGCACTGCACAGGCGTGTGTTGACCGGTGGATCTTCACATGCGATAACTGTTTCTGCTTGGCGTAGCGCGCTGAAACAGGCAGGTTTCTAAAACATGCGCGTAATATGAAGCTTAGGTGTTACAGGGGAAGCCTCATCTCCTGCTACTATTACTGATATTCGAGGCGCCCCAAGGGATACAGTCATGATCTGGCGCGTTCATACTTTGTTGGAGGAAGGCGGTGTTCGTACCGCGTCTGACGCACCACTCCAAGTCAATCAGCAGCGGTCGGCAAGCCCAACTCCAGCCACTTCAGCTTACTGTGGTGGGTGAAGGATCCTCTTGGTGGGCTGAAATAAGTAGTGTCGTGAAAAGTGCCCCATTAAACATTGCCGCGTCTCAAGTCCCGCCAGCCCAAACACTACACGCTCAAATAAACTTATTATGTATACAAACGTTGTAGATTTGTATACATGAGTTTGTGTATAATGACAATAAAGCGTACTTTTTATAACGTTGTTGTGAAGTACATCTCGTTCGTTTTGATGGGGGGCGGAGAGGAATGTCGGGCGTGCCCAGGCTGAGGAGATTGGACGCCCGTGTGGCGGATCACCGTGTGGGTTCTTTTGTAGCAAAAAGAATACGCCGCTTACCGAGAAGGCGTTCTGTTGACGGAAACGGACTCGGCTCAATATTGCAGTTTTGTCGTGTGCGGCAGAGCGGGTGGGAAAGCCCTCGCTATCCTCGGAGGGTGACAGAGGGAGAGAGATGGAGAGACAGGTTGCTGTCGAGGTGGAAGTGGGGCAGACGCCCGTTTGGCGGGGAAATCGCGACCGCGACTGCGACTGCAGCTGCCTGGGCGGTACAGTGTGTATGTACGTACCCTCACCACCTCGTTATTTGCCCTTCTTCTGCACCACTGAGTCGTGACATCGACTTGCTTTCCATATCCACAGATAATCATAATAATTCCAACCACATCTCCCTCGCCATGGAGCAAACAAAGGCCCTCAATGCTCTCGAACCTTTTCTCGCCCTCAGCAAGTCAGCCACTTCCCCACGAGCTGCATCGGACTTGATTGTGCAAGCCACGAGCGCACCAAACACTTATGTATTCGCCGAGCTGCTACAGACACCAAACATTCAGAACCTCCGGAGTTCAGAAGAGTATGGCCCGTATCTCACCCTGCTCGAGGTCTTTGCCTGGGGAACTTGGGCCGACTACAAGGGTGCGTCAACACTCACTGATGTACACATGAAGCTTCTTTGACTGACAATCTTCAGCACAACCCAATCTCCCCAAGCTCTCAGCGCAGCAACACCAGAAGCTCTTGCTCCTGTCCCTACTGCCCCTCTCTCACTCCCATACCACCCTTACCTACAAACACCTTATGACGTCCCTCGAGCTGCCTACGCCCCGCGCTCTTGAAGAGCTCATTACCACCGCCATCTACTCTGGCCTCATTACAGCAACCCTCAACCCTGCTCATTCCCTCGTCTCCGTCACATCCATTTCGCCGCTGCGAGATCTTGCGCCCGGGTCCCTGCCCGCCCTCCAAAACGCGCTCCAGTCATGGTCACAGCGATGCGATTCTGCACTTGCTGATCTCGAGGCCCAAGCAGCAAAGATCAAGCAAGAGGCATTGGATCGGGAAAAGCTACGCAGAAAGAAGGAGCGTGCGTTTGAGGCAGCCATGCAGGTCAGCGACGAGAAGAACAATGGCAAGCGGAATCTCATGGGCGACGATGCCATGGAGATTGACGACGAGGGCGGTAGTGGCAGAGCGACGAGGGGGAACAAGCGGGGATCTGCAGGGTTTGGCTTACACTTGGGACGGCGATAGAGAACGGTGGCTAGTGTGACAAGGCACACATGACAAGACAAGATAGATAGCAAGCGGTCCATGGTTGCCAAGCAGCTTGAGCGAGTGTTTCGTTATGAGAAACGTAAGAGACGAAATACGCAACCACGATGGTTTGCGTGTGAATGAGAGGGATAGGCCAGGACATGGGTTAGTAGACGCCATCGAACTGGCCTCTCGGCTGACGTTAGAATCATGTCCAGAGAGCACGAGGGACGACAAATTAGAACGAGAATAACGATAACATGCTTCAACTGCGGTTGGAAAGGATTGAGATCCGATTGATTATGACTGTGTAGCCATGCGTGTGCCCAAGCATCCTATAATTCCCCCCTTCCCCTTCCCCGCCCGTTGCTCATCCAGAGCATCCGAGCAAAATCTATATTGAAGCACTAGCAAACAAACAGACCAGAGAAAAAAACACACACACGAGTTGAACTCCCAATCATTACCCCCGCGACAAGGGGACAACAAAAGAATAGGAACCGTACAAAAGCTTCCCAGTAAAAGTGTGTGGGATATCCCACGAAATGCAAATTATGCATCTCAATTCTTTCCTTTGCACCCCCGCCTTCCATTCTCTTCCCTTTCCCGAGGAGAAAAAAACACCCCAAAAACAAGCAACAGAAAGACAGCTTACAAAGACGCCCCTACCCTTTCTCCCAGGGAAGATGATGTGAACAAAATTGAAGAAAAAAGAGACCAAGGGACAACAAAGAAGAAGAAAACGCCATGCAGTGTGCAAGTTGCGGGAAAACAACGATGGAAAAAGAAGAAGAAAAAGACAAGATAGGGGGGGGAACCAGTTGTGGAGGAGGATGAAGGGATGAAAAGGAGGGGGGAGAAGCGGGCACTCTGCTGGCAAAAGTGTGAACACATGAGATTCTGTGTTGTGAGTGACATAAAGAAAAAGAGTTTGTAGAAACAAAAAAGGGGGTAATAACAATAAACAAGCAATCATCGACATCATTCCAACTCTGACAAGAATAACCGTCCCTCTCTCAGTCCAGCTTCGAAAACAGTTGGTTTGCGGGGGATGAGGAGGAAGAGGAAAGAGGAAGGTTCGTGGTTTGACCAAAACGACTACAACTCGCCCATCTCTTTTCCTTTCCTTCTTTCCTCCCCACAGTTCTTCTTTCTTTCTCGGGGGTTGCCTCTCAATTCATACAAAACATAAGAAGAAGCGCGTCGACGAGCGCGCCGTCGAATCCACTGTGGCGATGCTAGGCCAGCGGCGCGGCGGGCGGCTGAAAAGTCTGGGTAATGGCTTCGCTGCCCTCAGCCTCAACGCTGCTCTGGTGCAGCTGGGCAATCTGGCCGGCCATGGTCCGTAGCGCCTCGCGGGTGGCATCGATGTTGAGCTCGCCGCGCTCAGAGGCTTCTTTGAGATACTGCTCCCACTCTGGGTCCATGGGGATATTGCTGAGGGCTGCGGCGGGCGAGGAGCCGGCTGCTGTGCTGGATTCGCGCAGGGCGGCGGCGTGGAGGAGGCGGGCGTTGAGCGAGAAGCCGATGGATGAGTTGAGGTGGGGGAGTTCTTCGTCTTCTTCCGACGATGACGCAGAGGAATCATGCTCATTTTCGTCTTCTGAGTTGCCGGCGTTGGACGAGGTGGTTGTCGTGGGTGAATCTGGCATTTCAGTGTCGTGCTGTGTGGGGAGCCGAGCCGACGAAGTGGTGGTGATATTTGATGATGGTGCTCGGGCGTTGTGATCGCTGCGCTGGTGCTGGAGTTGCTCGATTTCAACCTCAATATCCGTCTTTATGTTGATGCCGGGTCCTGTCCGCGCATAATGTGATCGCCGGTCTACCCAGGCGCCGATCTCCACACCCGTCGTATCGACTACTCGCACTCCTTCGTCGCGCTCATATCGCTCACGCGCCCAGAGCGTGCCTTCCCACCGGCAGAAGCCCTGAATCTCTGCCTCTGTCAAGCCGAGTTTGTCAAAGGCCTCGAACAGCCGCCTGTGGTGCGGGAAGCGGCCGAGACGTTTCCTGTGCGGTTGGAAGGCGTAGTTGAGACCTGGGTAGCGCGCCTCGATTGTGTCGAGCGAGCCGTAGAAGTTTGCAGTTTCGATGCGAACCTCACCGACGAGGTTCTTGGAGAGGTGGGCGGAGAAGGAGGGTGGATCTGTGGGCGAGGGCGTGGGGAAGAGCGTGTTGTAGACAAGCACGCTGATGGGGTTTTTGCGATGCATGGTCGCGGTGTGGATGTGTGGTGTGTGGTGTGCCGGTGTGTGTTGGTTATGTGGTTGGGTGTATTGTATTCTCGCTGTGTAAGTGTGAGAGCGAGGAAGGGAGGCGAGGTGGAAAGCGTGGGTGAGTGTTGTTGCGGGCGGTGGCAGGGTGCGCGCCGAGGGGAGTCCGTGGGTGAATGGGTGGGTGTGTTGAGAGAGAGGGTGAGAAAGAGCGAGATCGGACTGAATAGATGGACGTCGTCTTCGTCGCTATTGCTGTTGCTGTTGCTGCTGCTGAGGCGTGACCTGTTCACCCGCCGCTTCTTTGCTTGCCTGACTGCACTTGTTGGTGTAAGTGAGGGCGCAGTGTGTGTATGCTGACCTCGGGCGTGACCGCTGTTTTGCCTCTCTACCTGCCCACGTTTCTGCGCCTGTCTAGCTCTCCCACTAGTGTCAGACGCTTCGTGGATAAGCGTGTGCCCCGGGTACCTGACAGCTGCCCAGCTGACTTTTGGCCGACAGCCCTTGCGCTTGCGAGTGCTGGATCTGGAAGACGGAGATCTGGGCGGGATTTCAATGGGCGCGAGGCTTGCTGTGTGCAGATCGTTCTATAGTAAGGCGAGAGAGAGCAAAGGGCTGCGGCGTCTTATGACTGCTCCGTACGCTATGCTGCAGATCGCTGCGGGCCACAAGAAGGAGACGACGACCACCCCGGCTTTTTCTGATGGGAAATTTGGTCGGGATAGTAAGGGCCAAGTGCGGCGTTTGTGACGAGAATGCGGCACGGCGATGCAATGGCGACGTGCTGCCGTAGACCGGAACACGACGACCACAGAACCGGTAGGGGGGGGGAGGGGGGCGAAGAGCGAGCCACGAGTCCGAGACCGAGACGGGGAGCGAGGGGGAGAGAGGGCGAGCACGAGGATCACGACGTCCAGAAGACCAAAGACACAGTCAAGTTGGCGACAGGCAAAGGGGCGCTGGATGGCATATAAGCCGCATGCAACCACGTTCCTCTCACACGCCCACACCCATTCACCGCCAACGCATGCACGTTTGGCTGTCGCCATTTCATTCTGCATCGTAACAGAATGCCACCCATCGAGCAGCAGGGACCAGACCCTGAAGCGGCCATGCGCCTCACCCACACACACCGACCCATCTCCAGTTTTTTGTTCTTCGCCCACGCCTGGCCCACTCATTCGCCTCGCCGGAAAACTTAGCACACGACACTAGATCCCTCCATCGGCCCCCGACGATGGCAGCCTGTCGCTCCACCGACAAACCAAGGGCAGGGCAAGCCCACCACGGCCCGTCTTCGTTGCCGTCAAACAAGAAAGAAAAAAGGATAGAGGGCACGATTAACCTGCCGCAATCTCTCATCTCCCAGCAAAGAAAGAAAAAAAAAAGCGGCAGCTGAGTTGTTCTCTCACCACGCATGAGCACAAAGTCTCCCCATAGGTCCCGCCCGTCTTTCCGGGGCCCGCAGCAAGTCTTCGAGACATGGATGCCGCGGGACGAAGCATGCACGAGGAACGACTGGTCCAGCTCCCTGTGTTCCACTGCACACTGCATTCTGTCCTGCACGCCTGCGCCAAACCGCTCATGGTCCTATGCACGCCAAGCTTTGCGCTGGACAACTGCTGCATCCCCCCTTTCCTTGGTAGACGCTGCAGCCGGGCCCGACTCGACTTTCATGAGACAAAGCATCCTGGGACAGACGCAAGGGGTCAAAACGGCTCCTCAAGAAGAGACGTCTGCCTGACTGGTGGACCGTGGGCACTTACATACATTTCGTGCCATGCCCGCTGTGTGGAGAGCATGGAATCCCATGCCGAGGATCGGCCCTACCATTCCGTCGCCGGTTTATTCTTGGTGCCTGTCCGTCGCACATACTTACATACGCAGTATGCTCATCCTTCGTCTGGCCTCTTCTCACCTGTGCGCGGGTACCTTTGCAAAGTATTTTTTTTTCGTGTTTTTACTTCTCATCCCATGTGATTTCTGAAAACTGCCACTCTTCTCCCGGTACCTTACTAGGTGTATGTCTTGGGAACTAGCTTTACAACCAAGACACGACAGGGCCGGCCGTTCCTGATTCGCCTCACTCGGTCTTTTACTCCGGGACTATCTCCACTGATATAATATTAATCGACCATCTATAGTAGCCATTACTCGTTGTAGCTGATTACGAGGGTCTTCTTGAATCATTGTCGCCTGACTAGTAAAACCATTGCTTTTGTTTGTTCCCCGATTCTACTAGCACAGCAAAAAAAAGCAGAAGGCCATAGTGTGAGAGAAAGACGTGATTGTCGTGTCATACTTCAACATCAGGGATTAGATGTAGTAAGACTTGGCCGAGTATTTATATTGTACTTGTATGGTCGATCAATGTTCGTATATAAAATTCTCTCCAACTTCAAAAATCCCTTTATGCCTGAACCAGGGGTATGTATTTATATAGATCTTTCATTATCATCTTACACAAATCAACGTTGTATTATTAGAACAATTTCTATATTAGCCTGGATGCGACGTTTGGACAATACCTATTGTAGAATACCAGCCCTTGTATGTGTTTGTTGCTTATATATCTTACTAGACAAGATTAATAGCGTCAGGTTAAGTAAGACATAACAGATTTCGTATCCTGCAAATATTGTAGCTGTATGTGCTCGACATACATATATCCAATGACGAAAACACACGTGCTCAGGCATCTTCTCCTTATTGGCTATAATTAGTCTAGTCCTATATATACAGGGTTCCAAGCATATACGGATGCTGATTGCAACTGCCTATCGTAATCAGCCATGTGAGACTAATACTTTGTGAGTATATGCGAGGTTAAAACAGAAGGAAATGACTACCCTGTGGTTTACAACTAGAAAACGTAATAATCAGTGTCAATACTGCAGAATAAACGAAACTCTTGTAGAAAAGAATTCCTCATACACGAACTGTGCTCTTCACAAAATCCAACCACGCAGCTCGTTGGTCGGAAATACTAATTTGAGAATTATGTTTAAAAAAAAAGAAGTAATCCAATATCATTTCAAACCTATAAACATCGAATAGTAAATATTTTTCCCCCCGCACAACAAGGAAACCAAGCGGAAACGTTGGTAAGTATGCTCTTCATCATCTGCCTCATAAGTCCATAAACACTTCTCATTTTTCATTTCCATCGTTTTACAAAACACGAGCAGCAACAAACGCAGCAGCCTGAGGGGCATCCTGCTCGTAGTTGCCGTGCTGGGGTGTGATGATGATACCGTTGTCGCAGATGTTGTCGCCCTCGTGGCAGATGATGAGAGTCTTGGAGGCGGGAACGACACCAAACGACTCATCGCGGTCCGCATCGCCGAATGTCACAACGGCGGAGACGCGCGCAGCTTGGGCGGCAGTGAGGCGCTGGGTAGCGGTGTGGACGAGCTGGGCGCCCTGGGAGTAGCCTGAGACGACAATCTTGGTGTTGGGGCAGCGGGAGGCGGTCTACAAGAGATGTGTGAGTGACGAGCTACGATATATCAAGAGTTACATGAGAAACTTACCTGGTTGATCAAGTTGAACATGCTAGTAGCGCCTGCGGCATCACCTCCGGCCAAGAAACCGATGACATTGGCGGCGTAGTTGACGCCCTGGATAGCCAATTGGCCGGTTCCTCCTACACGGGCGGCAACGGCGTTGAAGAAGACGGGGCCTTCGGTACCAGCTGCACCAACGTTTCCGGGAGAGCTAGTACCACGGGCCCAGATGAGGGAGATAGGACGGCAAGCGGTGCCATCGGTCAGCTGGTTGTAGGTGTCACCGTTGTATTGACGCTTGGCAAGATCGCGAGCCTCAACGCCTTCGCTGGCGAGCTTTGCAGCGTACTCGTCGACAGTGAGACCGGTGTCGATGATGTCGGTGATGGGGAAGCTGTAGTCCTGGGCGGGTGTTGGGGCAGCGAGCGTAGTCGAGGCGAGTGCCGCAAGAGCGAGGAGAGAGGGAGCACAGGTCTTCATGATGAATGATATTGGGTATAAGAATAGAAGAGAAAAAAAGCGAATGAAATCTGTTGTGTAGCTGAGAAGAAGAGTTGATGTGCTGCGGTGATCCAAAATTTACTGCTACTACATGTCGCCTTTTGTACCTGGTGGCTGACTCGTCTGCCATGGCCAGTGTCCCATCGTGTCCGTATACGATCGGTTACAACTACCCAACCTCTTTCCACATGCGTCCAAATCCATTGTCATCAAATCTCAACTCCTCTTTTTGAACTACTATTCCAGTCTTCATGTCCGTTGATGCACACCGGCCCCCCTGGTCAGCAAACGGTTCGGCGTCCAATGGGTAGAGGAGCACACTTCACGTTGACCAGTGGTTGTTCATCTGATCTCCGTCGTGTATATTGATATGCAGGATGGCGCGCCGGGCCTTTCTTGTGGGTTCCTGCTTCTGGGATCTGCTTAAGGATTCAGTGATGCTGTACGCGCGACCTTCTTGTTCGCGTTAGCAAGCCCCAGGAACCGCACACGTGGTTATGGAGGGCACTGCCTAAAGAAACACAAAACCAGTCGAATGAGCGCGAACTAGTGGTGCGCAATGTGGAAATTGGGTTACTGTGCCATTGGTCGGGCCGAGATGGGAACAAGTCATGCGCATGGGGGCCGCGACCATGGCCATTATCCAAGAGCGAGTGAACTGTAAGGGCTGTGCAGTGCTGTTTTTCCCTCGTATCATTCGGGTAGCAATAAGAAATCAAGGTATTTCTTTAGCTGGCAACACAACATGCTGACTTGACGATTGTTTGGAGGGCAACGTTGTGCAGAGTTGTGTAGAGTTGTGTATTGTGTGTTGGTTGTGTGTCGTGTCGTGTACCTGTTAGGCGCCTGACGTCATGCCAAGGTCTGTCACTACCTTCCTATTTGCTTCTGGTTAGAGTCGTAGGCCTGGTATGCGTGCGAAGACTGTAGATCCAATCACCCTGCCTTGTGCGAGCCACGCTTCATGCTAGACACACATGTACTCTATGCACGGTTTCAAGTAACCATGCGAGTAGGAGTGCTTATTACCGAGCATAATCAAATTGCCACAGCAGCCAACGGCGAGATCCATATGGTGCACGACTCAATGTCTAACCGTCTTGCAAGCTCGAGCCTACTTGTTGTCAGTTCCAATGGTACTTCTTCGGCAGTTGACGGAAACAGCCGTATCTCATGGCTTGCCGTTGCCAAGCAAAGACTCCAGCAAGGCTGCAATCGATTGCCGACGTTAGCCCCGGTCCCCATTTGGCGCCTTGGTAGCATTACGAGCTTCCCCATACAACACAGATCTACATCGTCCCCCGCTGCCAAAGCTAAGTTTGCGTCTCTTCGATTTCGATATCTTGTTCAGTGACGTGAAGAAATGGCGATACCGGAGGCGAATGGCTCTTGTCGGGAGTGGAATGGCGACATTGATGATATATAAATCGAGCAACATGGAGAATGGATGGGCTTGGTAGACTTTGCCAGTGCAATTTCCGTCCTTCACTATGTGGTCGGCCTCGGTTCTCGCCGTTTATGCGGCAGCGCTCTTCCAAGGCGCTGTCTCCACACCAATCCACCCCCACCATCCCCATCAATTTCCCAGCACCGAGCAATGGCCAGCGCCAGTCGTGGGGAAGCCGCTAGAGCAGCAGTTGCCCGGCGAAGAGCTCCAGGACATTCTCTCACAAGTATCCCGGGACAACATTGAAGCCACCATTCGGAAGCTTGCTTCGTTTGGCACACGCCATACTCTGTCGAGTCAGACTGATCCGAACCGAGGCATAGGTGCGGCGAGGACATGGCTAACGGCAAGATTCCAAGAAGCAGCTGATGCAAGTGAGGGGAGGATGACTGTCGACTGGAATAGCTTCATCAAGTACCCTGGTGACAATGAGCGAATTATCTTCCCAGTCAACATCACCACTGTGGTCGCGACACTAAAGGGAAGCGAGGACCCAGACCGGTTATATGTTACTGGTGGACACTACGACTCCCGCAATAGCGACCCTATCGACTACCAGGGAGATGCTCCAGGCGCTGTCGACGATGCATCTGGGGTCGCCGTCTCCCTTGAGCTCGCCCGCATCTTTGCGCACTACAAGCCCAGGTCGACCATTGTATTCACTGCCTTTGCAGGTGAGGAACAAGGCCTTCTCGGCGCAGAAAATTTGGCACAGACCTACAAGAATGCCTCTGTCAATGTAGCCGGTATGATTAACCTCGACATGGTAGGCAACTCCAAAGCCGAGGATGGCACTGTCGATCCTTACAACATTCGTCTCTTTTGCGAAGGCACGCCGTTGACGGAGAATGCTACACGAACTAGGTCCCGTCTTAGCATTGGCGGTGAGAACGATAGCCCGGCGCGTAACCTCGGTCGACACATTTACGAAGTCGCGTCCAATGCTTGGACCGAAATGACTGTTCGTCTCATTTATCGTCTGGATCGATACAGTCGCGGAGGCGACCATCGCCCTTTTCTCGAGGCTGGCTACACAGGCGTACGCTTTGTGCAGCCAAACGAAGACTACACTCAACAGCACCAAAATGTCACTGTACGCAATGGCAAGCAGTACGGCGACTTGGTCGAATGGCTAGACTTTGAATACAACACTCGCGCTGCAAAGGTTGTCGCAAGTACCATGTGGAGTCTTGCAAACGCGCCCGGTGTACCCACAAACGTTGGCATCAACACCACTGCGTCCGACAACTTTAGCCAGTTCAGGTGGACTGCGCCCGAGGGCCTGCCTGTTCAAGGATACGAAATCCTGTACCGTGAGACAAACGAGGCGCATTGGACGAATGTCATTGACGTCGGCAATGTGACCTGGTACAATCTTACCTCTGCTACCATTCACAAGGACAACGTTATTTTTGGAGTGAGGAGTGTAGCCGAGGGAGGATACAAAAGCCCTGCAGTCTTGCCGTTTCCCTTTGGATGTTCGAGGAATTGTTAGATCTGTATGTAGATGTTGAAAAATGAAAGATATATGTACATTTTTTGAAAGAAAGAATTTCCGCCAAGTGTCTTGTTCTGTGACTATTTGTATGTCTGGTTATTGATGGATATAGCCAAAGGGTTACTACGCGCATGCTGTTTGGTGACGGCGACTGAGTAGGAGAACACGAGACGAGGCCATTCGTGGGGTAGTTAGTGGACTTGGAGCACTAGGTAGTATTAGCAGGAGTAGTGGTATTGGTTGCTGCAGGCTTACTACTCTCATTCATTACAAATCCAGCTGCATCTTTCCAAAAACGGTTCGGATGCACTAGGAACCGTAGACTGTATTCAGTGATGTGGGAACAATCAGCACTGGTTGGGTATGGCGGGGCACCGTTCTAAGATCCGGAAAAACTACATTCCGTGTGCCAAGAGATATCACGTGTCGTAGCAAAAATATAAAATCAAAAAACATTGCGCAAAAACATACGACAGCGGGGATTCGCTAGTGGTCACCCACCTAACTACTAATCCGCCGGTAAACTGCTTGTATAGGGCAGATCGGACGGGATGCCTAATTCTCAGTTTCCTCTGGTCGTATGTATTAGAATAGTGAAAACAAATCTATTATATACACCGGTAGAAAGGAAAACCACATATCCAAAGACAAATCTGGAAGTGACTCAGGTCAATGTAGCCCCGGTCACATGGAATCTTGGCGACTCCAACCAAATGCGACTCTGTCCATCAACCTACAACTACTACCTATGCTACAGCTGAATATCAAAATTCTGGACCGCATGTAGTGGAGAAAGCAAGTTCCTGTATCCCACTAAACAAGTATACAAACCTGCGAATATTTCTTCAAAGTAAATTATTACATTAATGCAATTGAGCAAAAAGGAACATAATCGGCGATGTACTCCTTCGCTTGTATTATCAGACTGATAGGTCTTACACAAGCAACCATGCCAAGAATATATCAGGAATCCCCAGCCCATATCATAGACAAGCCATCCAAAAAATGGGAAGGTACAGTAGTAAGGTTATCATTCCAATCAGTCCCCAAACGAGAAATGACGATTCTTCACCCACATCTTGTACCCCCTAAAGCAAGACATAAACCACACAATGACCTCGCGACCCAACCCCTACTAACCTTACACGGAGCTGATAGAAAGCCACACATGCATATATCTGTAGGATATACTATGGATGACCTCAATAAAATAACGTGCTTTGGGGCCTTAAATTCCGAATACCCCAAGGGGGCGCCCCCCCATGTACCCCATAACGGAGCAGCAAAGTGGCCAAACCCGACAGAAAGCGAGAGCTCCATCCTGCAAGCCACATTTTGGGAAAAAAAATCTTTTGTAAATTATAAGTTGATTGTTTGGAGTTGGGTGGACGCGAGTAAGTGCCAGGGGCGCAAAAGGGTTGACGTGTGTCGTGGGGGAGCATTTTTTTACACTTAGCGCAGATGTCGTGCTCGCCCCATTGTAAATCGATCATCCACCAGCACCAGGAAGGGGCGATTGAGCCGCAACCTTCTCTCAATCAGTGCAACCAAAAGAAAAAATTGGAGTTAAAATGTTTCTAGACCTGCCAAGAGAGACGGGAATGGCCTTGTTTGTCTCAATAATTGGATGAGATGAAAGTTTTCTTACGTACTTCATACTTCATGTGTATATATATACTTGAGTGCCCCTTGTCCATCTAGTCCTCTTTTACATTCATTCACCACCTTTTTTTCTTCTTCTTTTGGTTCTTCGCCTCCCCCGCACTTGCAATCGACAATGTCCTCCGCATCGTCGCTTTCCAGCCCAAAGGGGTCTGGTCCCTTTTTCCGATCGGTCCCGTTCCAGATCCTCGTGGCATGCGGAGTCTCGTTTACGGCGCCGGGTATGTGGGATGCGCTTGGAGGACTGGGAGCCGGCGGAGCAGCAGAGCCGTACGCCGTGTCTGCGGCCAATGCTCTGGTGTACGGACTCTTCGCTATCGTGTGTGTTGCGGCGGGAGCGATTAATAACCGGATTGGACTCAAGTATGGACTCGCGCTTGGAGCTATTGGATATCCGCTTTATGGCGCCGGACTGTACACTAACAATGTGTCGGCGAATACCTGGTTTATGCTGTTTGGTTCTGCGCTTTGCGGAGTCAGTGCGGGATTCTTCTGGGCTGCAGAGGCAGCTATCATCATCGGATACCCGTCACCGGGCGACCGCGCCTTCTACCTGGCCATCTGGCAGACTGCAAAGGCATTGGGACCGATTGTAGGTGGATCCATCAACCTGGGCTTGAACGCAAACAAGAAGACTTTGGGTTCGGTATCCTCGACGACGTACATTGTCTTCATCGTCATCATGTGTCTGGGTCTTCCAGTGGCTCTGTGCCTCAGCCCAGCAGACAAGGTGTGGCGACGCGACGGTACGCGGATTGTGACTGAGCGTGCGGCTACGTGGGGTGCAGAGTTCAAGGCGGTAGGCAAGCAATTCATCAGCCGACGTATTCTGCTGTTGCTGCCTGCCTTTTTCATCAGCTACTTCTACAACGGCTTCATGAGCACCTGGCTCACCACCTACTTTACCGTTCGCTCCCGCGCCTTCTCCAGCTTCTTCACAAACTTTGCCGGAATCTTCTCGTCCTTCATCATTGCGTTTTTGCTCGACAACCAAAAGATTCACATCAAGGCGCGTGGCCGCATTGCGTTTTGCGCCATCATTACCATTCTGGTCGGAACATGGATCTGGGCGACTATTCTGCAGAAGCAATTTTATGACACCCCCGAGGCCCCCGTGTTTGACTGGTTCCAGGGTGGATTCGGAAAGAGCTATGCACTCGTCTTTTTCTGGCAGTTTGGCGGTCAGGCATTCCAGCAGTTTCTGTACTGGCTCGTTGGACAGTACGCCACGGATCTTTCCAACCTGAGCCATCTTACTGGTATTCTGAGGGGTGTTGAGGCACTGGGTCAGACTATTGCTTGGGCGTAAGTTTTTCCTGTGATGATTTTACATGGCACTGCTAACATGCAAAACAGTATGCAATCAGAAGGCGGCGCCAACCACTTTGTCAGCATTGGAATCAACTTTGGCATCACGGTGCTATGTGTCTTCCCCACATGGATTATCCTCTCCGAACTGGAGAAGAGCCACGAGGTTCAAGTGACGGAGGATGTGAACGACACGTTGAAAGACACTGCATGAGTGTAGTAAACAAAAAAGGGAAAATAGTTAGACAATTAATCATAATATGTGCATATTTCAAACTAGTTTCACTCACACGACTCACCTCTGGTTGGATCCAAACATGCTATACCCTAACCCAGTAGTTCCATGCCCTGCATATAGGCTTGGCGATTTTGATCCGAAATGGCGTGAGAACGAGCAATGACATTGTCAGCTCCACTGCACACTACTTACCCCACCCCAGAGCTACTCCAACGCCTCCAACAGCTGGTTTAAAACACACGAGGGTATGACTAGTAGTTCCTACACGAGCGGTTTGTGCATAGGCCTGAGCCCCGCTATCTGGCATTTCCTTTTTCTTTGCATTTCCTAACTTTGTGGCCGTTCAGCAGAATGACGTTGATTCTCAAAAAGTCGCTAAAGCTCGCGCTGGTCCAGCTGGCGTCGGGCGCAGACAAGGCGGCGAACCTAACGTCTGCGCGGCAAAAAGTGCTCGAGGCGTCAAAGGCCGGGGCGAAGCTGGTGGTGCTGCCGGAATGCTTCAACTCGCCGTACGGAACAAAGTATTTTGACAAGTACGCGGAAACACTGCGGCCGTCGCCGCCATCAGAGTCGCAATCGCAAACGTTCCACGCTCTGTCGAAACTGGCGCGCGATGCGGGGGTGTATCTGGTGGGAGGAAGCATACCCGAGCGCGACGAGCAGGACGAAAAGAAGCTGTACAACACGAGTCTGACGTTTGCGCCGAGCGGAGAGCTGATTGCGACGCATCGCAAGGTTCATTTATTTGACATTGATATCCCTGGCAAGATTCGGTTCAAGGAGAGCGAGGTTCTGTCACCGGGCAACAAGATTACGCTGGTGGAGTTGCCCGAGTATGGCAAGATTGCGATTGCGATATGCTACGACATACGGTTTCCCGAGCTGGCTATGATTGCAGCGAGAAAGGGGGCGTTTCTGCTGCTGTATCCCGGCGCGTTCAACTTGACGACTGGAGCGCTACACTGGGAACTGCTAGCGAGAGCGCGAGCGACGGACAACCAGGTCTACGTGGGACTGTGCAGTCCGGCGCGGGACATGTCGGCCGAGTATAATGCTTGGGGCCACAGCATGGTGGTGGATCCGAATGCGCAGGTCATGGAGCAGCTGGACGAGAAGCAGGGCGTGCTGATGCAGGAGCTGGAGGCGGGCAAGATTGAGGAGGTTCGGAAGGGGGTGCCGCTGTATGGGCAGAGGCGGTTCGATGTATACCCTGATGTCAGTGAAGGCGGCAGATTTGAAGAGTAGAGGAAGAATTCAAGATGTCGACTTGATCATGGTCGTGCTGAGCGGTGGCCGTTAAAAGGCTGCCGGTATTGTGATGAAGCAGAAAAATATGCGCGATGTTGGCATACTGTCGTCCCTGTGGCCTGCGAGGATGCGCCAGAGTCAGAATCAGAGCCAGGGCGCTGTTTGGGCGGATGGTTGCAAAAGGACGGGGGGTGTAGGTGAGCACTGGGCCGCCCAAAGGCGCCGAGGGGAGGTGGCTGGCAGGGGCTGTGGCAGGCAGAGCAGCGCTGGCTGGCTGCACAAGGCCAGGCAGAGGAGGCATGCAGTGCACAACAGAACAGAAACTGGGTAATTACGCGCAATGGCAGGTGGGTAAATTTTTTTCATTAATAATATTGTTATTTGAACGCGCCAAAGGAACAACTAATAAAAACATTTGTCTAGCGGTGTATGCAATCGAGTGCAGCGGCGTGGTGATGATGAAGAATGCGCAGTGCATATGAGATAGACAGCTAGATAGATAGACAGATAGATAGCAGGGCACGCGTCGCGCAAGTTGCGGGCGAAAAGGAACAAAGTTAGCAGGGCGACTTGGTGTTTGGGGCGCCGGCGTTACTGGCAGCGCAGGGCAGCGCAGGACAGCGCAGCAAATGGGCGGCGGATGGGCGGCGGATGGGCGGCAGACGGGCGGCCGATTGTGCTGAATGTAGGCCACGGTTAGCGAGGGCCGCCTGTCACTTAAGCCCGATGCTCCCCACTGCCCGCCCAGCTCCTCGCCCCGTCCCTCCCCATCTGCCCTCGCAGCTCTGCAGCTCTCCCCCTCAACCACCACCCCCATCATCCTCATCCCCCCCCCAACCCGCCATTCCAACGCGCCCATTCACCCACACCATGGCGCCTCCCACCAAGAAGAAGGAGGCCACGGGCGATCTCATGATTTCCACTGCAGAGTACAAAAAGACGCGCGACTCGGTACGTTCCACGCCCTTCAACTCTTGTTTTTCTCAACCCGCGACGCGCCTGCCCTCAGTCGCCCGGTCGCCAATGACACGACCCATCCCCCACGGCCAACGCCCACCACCGCGCCACCCACCCTTCTCTCCTCCTGTCCACTGCCATCGTTCCAGTCGCCTCGTCTACGCGACCTAGAAATGCCCACTTTGCCAACCTCTCTTCCTGCGCTTCTGCCAAAACCTGCACCCTTGTCGCAACCTGTCGCGACTCCGCCAGCCCGCCCTAGACCACCCAAATCATGGAGCGCAGACAAAATGGCCATGGCCAATCATGAATCAAAAGCTTACTATCATGACCAGGTCATTGCCTCGCTCCACAACCTGCAGGCGGGTCTTATCCACGTCCAGCACGGTATTACCGACCTCTTGACAAACTATCGCAAGCATTGCGCTTCTGTCCTCGGCGGCGAAGAGGGCGAGATTCCCCCTTTCAATGATGTAGCTGCTGTTGCTGCCTCTGTCATGGAAGCCGGGAGGAACGCCGTTGACGAGACAAAGCAGGTCCTTGCTCCCGTCGACAAGTCCGCCGAGGCCAGCAAGGGCAAGAAGCGCAAGCGCGAAAAGAAGGAAAAGGACCCCAATGCCCCCAAGAAGCCCCTCACGGCTGCTTTCCTCTACCATCAGCATGCCCGTCCTATTGTCAAGGCCGATCTTGAGGCTGCCCTTCCTCCAGGCGGTCAGATTGAGAAGAATGCTGTTCAGCTCGAGGTAAACAAGCGCTGGAATGAGCTCCCCGAAGAGGAGAAGGAGGTTAGTTTTCTCGACGCAACATGATTCCTCATCCCGTGCTAATCATTCCGCAGCAATGGAAGGCGTCCTACCGCAACTCCATGGAAGAGTACAAGGCCGAGCTAGCCGAGTACATTGCCAACAAGGGCATCAAGGCTACTGAACTCGTCGAGGAAGACGAAGGTTCTGACGACGCCGACATTGAAGTCGAGGTTGGTGCTGCTGACTCTGATGCCTCTTCAGAGGACGAGGAAGAGGCACCCGCCAAAGCTCCCTCTCCACCCGCAAAGACTCCACGCAAACGCCAGAAGACGACTCCCGCCGTCAATGGCAACTCTGCTCCTATTCCCATTGCCCCCGCTGCCACGAACTCCACTCCCGTCCCCCTCCCCAACGCGCGCACATCACAAGCTCCAGCCCCAGCTCCTACTACCACCGCAGCTGCTGAAACACCTGTGAAGAAGGACACGAAGAAGAGGAAGGAAAAGGCCGCGCCTCAGCCTATCGCCCCCGCCCCCGCCTCTTCTCACGAAGACGAGCCTGCGCCCGAGGAAACAGTCACTACCAAGAAGAAAACAAAGTCCAGCCGCAGCACCCGTAACACCGAGGCTGACGGCGACAAGGAGAATGCCGCCCTGGAAAAGGCTGAAAAGGCCGAAAAGGCTGGTAAAGAGAAGAAGCGCGATCGTTCTAAGAGGAAGGTCGATTCTTCCTAAGCCTGGTTGTCGTTGTCGTTGTCCTTTTTGGGGCCGTTATGGCATTAAAAAAGTTCTTTTTATTGTTGGCAAAAGGGGACTTTGGTGCTGTGGAGTATTTATCATGGGTGTATGAATAGGGACCTTCTCCGGGGAAAGACCTACCGATACCAAAAATGACTTATTTTCTTAGATGAGCGTTTGGCCTGGATGTTCTTTTTTTCCCCTCGTTCTTCTTCGCATCGTTAGATGCTGTGTTCTTGACTTGTTCTTTTTTTCTTGGGAGGGTAGAGGCAAGCGACATGTCGAGTGAGATAGGCGGGAAATATATATGTGTGTGTATTGACTTTTTTGTTACCCCGGGGGGGGCATGTTTAAGTATTAGTGTTATGAGATTTATACACCCACTTGCTTCACTTCTAGCCCTAGCATTGTCACCAAACGCTTCATCTCTGAAATTTCTTAACGCGTAGACAATCAACTTGAAGTTTCAATCCTCCTATACCCGAAGCCATTCCAGAGGCAAAGCTAAACAACCGTACAAAAGCGTATGTACTCGTATCCTACCCCAGTCGCACGTACTAGATAGACCCGACGTCAAAAGAAGAGAACCCTCAAAGCAAACTCCCCTCCTCGGCATCCACAAACTCATCCTCACTCCCATCCGCACTCTCCACCCTCCTTCCCTCAACCCCCCCAACAACCCCCTCTCCACCCCTCACCCCCGCCATCATCCTCGCCCCATACGCCCTCCGCTTCTCCCTCACATCCAAAAGGTACTCAAGCGTCAACCGCGCACATTCTTCCTTCGCCTTCTTCTTCCCAAACACATTCCGTACCTCGCCAATCGGACCCTCGTGCGGACCCGCGCTGCGGAAGAAACAGGCGATCGAGTGGAAATTTGGGTCCGAGGGGTGCGAAGTGTATTTCCATTCGGGGGTGGGGAGGGTGAGGGAGGCGGCGAGGATGGCGACTTGTTGGGCGAAGCTACTAGCACCAGCACTAATACTAGAATTTAGATTAGGAGGTTGGATGGGTGAGAGGATGGAAGAGGAGGAGGAAGGGGATGGAGGGGAGGCGGGTTTCGACTGCTTCTTTTTCTTGATGCCGCCGATGAGGGTGTCTTGGGGCCAGGTGCCGAGGGCTTTGAAGTGCTCGACGGCGTGGCGGGCGGCGTCTTGACGCGCTGCTTTTTTGGAGGAGAAGAGAGAGGTTAGGGTGCCGAAGGGGTGGGGTTGGCCTTCGAGGGTTAGGAGGCAGGCAAAGTGGGTACCCGACTGGTAGTCGGTGTAGGTTGGTTGGGGGCCAGAGATTGAGCGTTGGTATTCTGGTCGTGGCTTAGTTGTGTTGGGCTTTTCTCAATATCATCTTTCTGAACAAGGTGGAATGCCTCGAACAGACAAACAGCGCATACGTACCAAGTAGCTTGCCGACATAGTTTTCTACTGGCTCTCTCTCCGTAAGATTCTGCTGCTGCTCTAGCTGCCCTCCTACACTCTTCTTCCGGTTCTTCTCAGCCTTCTTGACTCTACCTTGCCTCTCCATCTCTTCCAGCACTGCGAACGCTTTCTCACTCAATGCTTCTTTGGCCTCCTGCTTGCTGTTGAATCTCCTATCCCCACTCAGCCCTTGCAGTTCCTCGACATTTTCAAGACCAGGAAAGCTAACGCTGGCAGCCCAGCCTGAGATGGTGTTCCCCTCATAAGTGAACAGCGGTTGCGGGATACCAAGGGCTTGATACTTTTCATGCAAAAGTATCGTATGCTTAGATGACCGGGCACCAACCACAACTGGGGTGAGCGGCGTCGTATTTTCACTTGTCGTTGCCTTCTTTATCGGAGGACTAGCAGTAGAATATCTCGCTTCACGTTGTGCTTGGTGCTCATCCTGATTCTGCTTCATGAAGTCGTCCATACTTAGGATACCTGTGGGCGGAGCTGAATAAGCCATCGGTTTCTGCTCAGCATGCGCAGAATTGAACATGGACAGTTGTGCGGGTGTGTTAATCTCCATGTTGGATTCTTCAGCCTTGCCGGTACTACCGCGAGTCGTTATACTATCGTGTTCCACGTATGGTCCGAAACTAGAGATAGACGAGTGTGGTTTTGTCGTAGTATAAGGCAGTGGATTTGAGTATAATGAATGTGAAGTGTCAAGCGGTACGGAGGGGATTATTAAATACTTTCTGAGATCGTCTCCCGCCGAGCCCATGGCAATGAAAGCGAGCGCGCAACCGTTTAATATTCCGGACCTTGGTTGGGGTGGGGGGTTGTCTCAAGCGGCTTAGCGGGGCAACTGGTGACCTCGTAATTGCGTGTTTGTATTATGCGACGCGCCGTTGCATGCACTCTTTGCTGTAAAAGTATCGACTCAGGTGATCAACTGGCAGAATACAAAGTAGAGCTATTTCTATTTTTGTTGGATGGTATGAAGGCTCTGAGGCAAGAAATAATAATCAGTAGACCACTTGGTCCATACGCACTGCAGTGAACGTGACTCGTCTCCGTCTTCACTCAGTTTCCCCTCACTTACGTCATACCCACTCTCAGCTATTTGCTGTCGTTACGCGAATTTTAAGAATAACTTTGAGCCTTTATAGCTTGTATCGTTTTTCCAACAATATCAGATTGGAATAGTATGCCCTCAGCCGGTCATTCGCTATATGATATCCATGTTTTACGCTTTGAAAAATCATAACTTGATCACTTCAATAATTACCAAGTTATAAACCCGGGAGCCCTATATGGCCTGTAGTGAAGGATATTATGTAGATAGTTATCAAACACTCTTTTCATCAGCAAACAACACAAATTTCATCCTCCATTGCCAATATCTCATATCCTTCTTTGCAATGCCAACCGAGTCTATGACCTCAAGTCCCTCCAGTCCTCACCCCCTACCCACAACATCATCTGCTCATATTTCTATTAAAGCATGATCCATCCTGAAATGATTAATGCACACCCCGAGAGGCCCACATGAGGTGGTTGCCATATGTTTGTATATCATAAAAACCACGCTCAGTCGGGCCTTTGAATCAAGAACCTTGCACATGGAACCCATCTTCAGCAAGCATTTCCTGTACTTGAGAAAATCGACCCTCTGTCTCTCCTTCTGTCACGACGGCAATTGCTCTCGTAGAGACTTTAAGATATTCGTTAGTGTGTCTAATAACTACTCTTAAGTTACAATGTTGCGCAGTAACCCATAAGAGCTCTTCTGAAATTGTCCGCGGTCTTCTGCGAAGTCTCAGATCGACTAGTATTTGCACTGCGCGTGGTCGATGTTGGCTTTATCCGCATCGTTTTCGAAGATAAAACTCTTGACGTAGGCGATGCTTTTGATGGACCGTTAAAGTAGATGGTGTGTAGTGTGTATTGATCTGATGACCGAGAGGTCTGTGATCTAAGCTTGTATACATAGAGTAGTAGGCTGAGTGGTTGCTAGATGTTCCACGTGACCATGCGATGTACCCTGGGCTTACACCCCTTCTACGACATCCAAAGGTATCCACCGTCAACACGCTTCAGTATTTCGGGTCGTGTCGCGACTATTGAGCCTACATACACACCACTTATTACACGTTGTAGTGTGACCAGATCTTTGATATTCAGACCTGACCTTAACAAGATTGCACGGCCGCGCCGCACCAGCGGGGCGGCGGCTAAGATGCGCAGCCACGTTCAGTTTGGTGCGCAACACCTTAATTGTCTTTCGGCCTGATTGTGGGAATTCTATCCTTCTTGTTCCCACTTCATTGCGAATTACTTTTCGCCTCTGCCACTGTCTAAACCTTCAGATACTGGCTACCCAGTCGCTGTTTTAAACCTAGTCTCCAGCAACCCTGGTGCACGTAGAGCAGTCTCGAGGACCACTCAACCAAGCTCTTTCCCCTGAACACAAGACGACTCTTATTTAAAACCTAGAGGAGAGCGACGATGTACGATTGCGTTACAGTTCGCTGCACTGCAGCTGTCTAGCAGTAGTTATGTCTAACGCTCTGGCGAAAGCCTCGCCCTTGAACCCTGCGATACGCCTCGCTCAGGCTGTTTCAGAGTTAGAAGCCGACCTCTCACATGGGCAAAAGTCGATGTTCCGAACGCTGAGGTCGCAGTCGCTCTCACAAACACCTAGCCCACGCGATATTATGCAGCTAACGGCTGAGGTTGATCGTCGCACATCAAAGAAGTTTAGTAGTGCATGTTTTGGGCCTCGCTTTACGAACTTCCTTCACGGAGTTCAGCAGTTCGCGACTCTTGGAGACATTATGGTCAGAGGATCGCAGAACTTGCTAGCATGTGGCGTGTGGTCATTGGTACGTATGTCGTTATTGGTTGGTGTCCTCTTTTTGTATAATTGTCGTAGTTAGTTGCTGATGATACGCCGCAGTCGATTGTGAACCTTTCGACCTACATCGATAAGCTGTCCTCGCTATTCATGGACGTCGGCCGTTCTGCCCCGCGCTACCAAGCGATTGCCCTGCTGTACCCTCGGTCTTTGGAGCTACAATCACAACTCTCCGAGTACTTTATCGTAGTAGTTGGCCTATGTCATTACCTATTCAAGTTTGGACAGAAATCGACTATCCAGCAATTTGCGTCCTCGCTAAGCGATGCGCACTTAAAGACCTTCCAGACGGATCTTCATAAGTGGGCAACTTCTATCAAGGAGCAGATGGACGTAAGTGAAGCTCAAGAAAGCTCTGGTCTTAGAGCTTTGACGAGGCAAGTGTTTAAGTCTACCTCATATCAGCAGAGACTTACAGCTAACTTACGGGTACTCAACTTTTGCTCGACGTATGACTACCAAGTAGCGTAGAAGCAAATTAGAAAGGCCGGTAATATATCTTTCTATAGACAACAAGCAGAGTACCAAGAGTGGAGGGATAGCTCATATTCTAGCACATTGTTATACCTAGGTAAATTAGGCTTGGGAAAGTCGGTATTACTAGCCAATATCGTAGACGACCTTAACCTCTCCGCTAAAGACCCACCCTTGGTGGCATAGTTCTTTTGCAAACATGACATTCCAGAAAGTCTACAGACACGGACGATCATCGGTTCACTGGCACGACAGCTTCTACGTAATGTTCCAGATCTTGGCGTACTTACTAAGAGTTGCGAAAACACTCACACTAAGGCGACACTAAGACGGTGCTTAAAACGTTTCTTCAAGGTTTTCCTGCTGATAAAAAAGTGTATTTCGTGCTTAATAGTCTAGATAAATGCGATAACAAGGAGAAAGAGACGTTAGTGCAGGCAATCGGGAAGATTCAGGTGAAGCTAAAGATACTAGTCTGTACTTCTTTTCGAGAAGAGCCAAACAATAGCCTGCAGTCGACTACTACTAGTAATCAACTCTTGGCCACTCATGCTGTCTCTATACCAGACGACAACCCAGACATCGACGCTTTTATCGAAGCAGACCTTAAGCGTTACCTTCGCCAAGAACGCCTAACAATTGGAGATCCAACTCTAATCTTAGAGATTCAAGATACGCTATCGAAAGGCTCGCAAGGAATGTTCCTCTAGGTAGCTCTTCAAATCCAGACTCTATGCAGTATAAAAACTAATCACGATATCCAGGAAGCACTACTAGACCTACCCAAAGACCTCTCCGAGACATTTACCAAGATTCTACGAAAGTTAGCAAAGTCAGGAAGCTCAGATCTAGCACTCCAAAGGAAGACACTACAGTTTGTGCTTGCAGCTTACCAGCCTTTAACAACGAACAAGTTGCGGGAAGCCCTAAGCGTTACTCCTGGAGATACAACTTGGGATCCTTCTAAAATCTTGAATGACATCTACTCAGCACTAGCTTGCTGTGGATGCCTACTTACTGTTGATGAGGAGGAGCTTACCGTTCGAGTTATACATCACAGCGTTAAGCAGTACATCCTTAATACCAACTTTTCGTTTTAAGAGGCGCAAAGGATGTTGGCAGATACTGTTGTCACGTACCTCGGCTATGGTGTCTTCGGGACTGAGCTATCAAGAGTCAAGGTCCATCCTATAGTAGCACAATCCGCACCATCTAAGATCGTGCAAGCCACTATTAGTTCGTCAAGCACTGCTCGTCACCTGGCTATAAAGTTTCTCGGATCAAGACGGCAATATGAGTTTGATATGAGCAAAGCTCTCGCGGAAGCGTACAGCTCCTTCAACTCCAAGCTAGAGCACGCATCTAGATTCTACGCTTATACAAAGATCTATTGGCAGGACCATATATTTTACGTATCTAGACATAAAGCCGCCATTTTCAAGCTTTGTTCTAAGCTGATCTATAATCGTGCGTCTGAGCTTAATAAGGCGGACAAGAACTACTAGACGCGTTTCTAATAGGCTGCCAAGAATGGTAACAGGAATGTTCTTGCGCTGTTACTATAGGCTAGGAAGGCTGACGTTAAGGCGAAAAACAGCGACGGATGGACGCCGCTGATGCAGGCGGCAAGAGGCGGACATAGAGACACAGTTGAGATGCTGCTTATAGTTAGCAAGGCTAACGTTGAGGCGAGAAATGGCGTAACGACGGCGCTAATGGTGGCGGTAGGATATGGAAATAGAGACATAATTGAGTTGTTGCTTACCGTTGGCAAGGCTGACGTTGAGGCGAAAGACGGGACTGGATGGACGACGGTGATGCAGACGGCAGGAGCTAGACGTATAGAGATAGTTGAGATGCTGCTTACCGTTGGCAAGGCTAACGTTGACGCGAAAGACGATTTCGGATCAACGTCGCTGATGGTGGCGGTAATAAATGGACAAAGAGATATAGCTGAGCTGCTGCTTAGCGTTGGCAAGGCTGACACTGATGCTAAAGACAAGAACGGATCGACAGCGCTGACGCTGGCGCTACGATATGGACATAGAGACGTAGTTGAGATGCTGCGTTTATATGCCGAACGTAAGTCAAAGGCATAACTGTAGACATTCATGGAGAAGCATCCACAAACTTTAGAAATTATTTAATGAACTGGAAGAAGTCTAACTTGGCCATTTAGGGAACCTATAATTATATAACAACGGCTGGTTCAGATAACCTGCCTCAGGTTGGAGGACTACTTGACGGCTTTACAGACATAGCACCGATTGTCAGGTGCGATGCGAAATCCTCTAGGCCCAGAATAGTAGTGGTCAGTCAAAGAAGTAAAGGAGCCTTTGCCGAGAAATCAAGGCAGTGCACTTTCGGTTGTAAGAAAGGCTACGAAATAGTGGCGAGTCTTACTTATGATTCAAGTGAAGATAACCATAGCAGGGCTCTCGTGTGCTGTAATCTTGTACGCTGCGTGGTTAGCAGGGACCGTTGTGGCGAGCCGATTGTTGGCTGATCAACCTTCAATGGCTAGAGATCAATGAGGAGAGCCACTAGAAATCGCTCAGCACAGTGGCATAGATGTCAGTTTTCATGAGCAGCAAACTACGTCAGATCTGCATGATCGATAAACGTCCCGTTTGTGGCTTCCGTACTCTAGAAGCGGTCTGAAACGCGCTGTACTGGCCGTGCCCGTTGATACGCACCGCTAGGCATATATCCTGTGGAGGCTTAGAAACCGACGGTCTAGATATAGCGTTCATACGCAGTGTGGTCATAGCACACTACTACTTTAAGTATACTGCGGCCAAGGGCGACCCAACTTCCGTAACCGGGAAGCAAGGGGTGGCCTTCAGGCCAACATGTGTTGCGCACATAATTCCTACCGGACATGTTTGTGCTCAATCGTCTAGATCATCGGTGCCTGCAACGTTAAACTTCTTGCGACCGCCTTCTGTAAGGCGTTGGAGCGCGACCTTGTTGGCTTGTGCTCCAACCTTCTGCTGCATCTTCTCGAGTTCCTTTTCAGGATCATCAGATTCGGCCTCAGCAAATGCAAGGACTAAACGACGACCCAACAAGTGAGTGTTCTTCAAGGCGTTCATGGCGTTGACGGCATCGCGTTTCGTAGTAAACTCTGCGAAACCGAAACCACGCGATGATGCATCGAACTTCTTGGGCACCCTCACAGACCGAAGTTGGCCGTAAGGAGCAAATAGAGCACGAACTTCCTTTTTCTGTAACTTATGTTAGCATACACCTGGTCAAGAGGAGGGCTAGAAGTCTTACACTCGCTTCGAAGGGCAAGTTCTTGATGATGATCTTGGTGCTTGCCGCCTTGTTTGCTGCATCTTCGTTACGACGCTCTTCAGCAGCATCCGCGCCACGGTGGGAAGCCTTTATCTGTAGCTTATGTCCCTCCAAGTCGTATCCGTCCATCGCCCGCAGAGCCGCCGTCGCAGTCTCAGGGCTATTGAACTCAACAAAACCAAAACCCATCGACAGAACGCCTCGCTTAGGATCAACTTTTGTCTTTACCTTGGCGCTACGGAAGCCTGATAGAGGTTTGAATGCCTCGATAAGGCGCTCTGTTGATGTGGAAAAGTTGAGGTTCCGCACATATAGAGTAGCGGTGTTTGTCGCTTCCGGTTCTGGAATGTCCACCAGCAAATCGGTGGCGCTGAGCTTTGTACCAGGCTGCGTTGAAGTTGGCACTGAGGCTGATGGGGTGGTTTGTACAAAGTTCGTCGCTACGCCTTCCTTGAACAAATCCTTTGGTGCTTTCTCGAGGTATAAAATCGAGTCTTTCATCTTTCGGTATGACAGGGACATGAACGCAGACTTTGCTTGCGCAACGTTGGCAAATTCGACAATTGCCGTCATGCCTGTTGGTGGCATCAAGAACTTGTTCACAGTGCCGTGCTCCTCGAACAGCTTGCGGAGCTCATCAGCTGTCACACCGTGAGGAATGTTCTTAACAAGGATAGCAAGATCACCCTTTGCACTCCTTTGAAAAGCTTCAAGGTCAACGCCGTGCTGTGCAAAGTATGATTTTGTCTCCTGAATGATATGGGTCTCGGCGTGTGCCTGCTTGACTGCTGCATCTGACGACGTAGGGTCAAGCAGCTCAGCTTTACTAATACCCATGCAATCCGCAACAGTAGACATAACCGCATCAGCCTAGAGACATGTGAGCATATTTCCTCCAGACACGATGGAGCGAACTGACATTCATGTAGAGCGAGTTCCAGTTGAAAACTGCCTTGGCAGCACTCTGCTTTCTCCTAATCTCTTTCTGCTTCTTCAAAGGCAACTTAGATATCTCGTATTCATCCAACTTGGTGTCTTTCTTTGCTTTAGCAGAAATGATATGAAGAAGGCGGCCCTGAAAGATGGTGTTGTCGTTGTCGAGATATGCTTCGACTGCGTCGTTCGGGTTTTGAAATTGAACAAATGCGAAGCCTTTGCCTTTGCTATCAGCTTTCTTCAAGGGCACATGCACCTGCAATGGTCAGCAAAGATACGTCGACATAATCTGAAGAATTGACGAAGAAGTTTCCCTGCTATCAGAAAGAAAGTACATCTACTAAAATGCTTTCGAGAGATCACCTCAAATGCCGAAGCATCAGTTGTCCCTATCTCAGAAATCATCATTGCACGGGGTGCGTAGTGGAAAAGAAAGAGATGACTGCTTACTTCTTCAAGAGCTCCGTGCTTAGAGAATTGCTCTCGGATCTCATCTTCTGTCACTTCGTAATGTAGATTTCGAAGATACAGACGACCAGTCTCGCGAATCTTGTCTTCTTCGTCAGGCGCAGCAGTCTCAGGCTGTTCCGCCATTGGTTGTGGGGGCTCTGGCTGCGCCTCCACTGGCTCGGCTGAGTCTTCTGCAGCTCTAGGAGGCTGTGGTGCTGGCGCTTGGGAAGCTGGTACGTTTGACACAGGTACTTCGTCATCTTCGACTAGTTCCAGGACTCTGTTTGTCCTTGAGCGTAGCCAATCCATGTCCGAAACAGGCCCCGGCTCAGCAGTTGGCACTTCCTGTACGTCTTCCATCGCTTCGCCAGTATCTACCGCTGCATCTACAGGATCCTTTGTAGACTCTTCAGTAGAAGATGGCTGCGCTGGGGCAGGCGTGGCTGTAGTTTCTGCCGCAACCTTGGGCTTCTTCGAAATGACTTGATATTCGTCATCGCTCTCCTCTTCTGGCACAGCAATCTCTGGGACGACAGTATCCTCAGCAGCATTTGCCTCATCTACATGGCTCTCGCCATTTGCCCAAATCTTCGTTTTGGAAGGCGGCTGGTAGACCTCGAGAAACTCCTTGAGCTTGGGATCCTGTTCAGCCTCGTCTCGTTTGCGCTTGAGTTCGTTTTCTTGCCGCAGTGGCGGTTTGTACTCGTCATTGATAGAGGCGCTCTTCTCCAGCTTCTGCTGTCGTCGCGACTTGGGTAGTTCCTTGTCGGCAATCTGTGCAAATTAGCCCCGCTTGTCGCCGCCGTCAAGATGAGAATGTACATACTGGGCGCGCAATCTCAACATAGATCTTTGTGAGTTTGATAAAGGTCTTGTTGAAGTACTTGACCGCCTTGGCAGCATCTTCTGGTGTCTTGTAGCCTACGTAGCCTATCCGTCGATGCGGAAAGAACTTGACGTCTGTGATGGGGTATTTGGCAAAATGCTTGCGCACGTCATCTTCGGTGAACTTGGGAGGCAGGCCGCGGACGAAGATGCGTGAAGACTCCATGCTACCGAAGTCTGTGTACGCTTTGGCCTGCTCAAAGCTTGGTGTGCTGGAAGCGGATGCAACAAATTTCAGTTAAAAGTTCGCGTCCAGAAAAAAAGTCTTAATACTCATTTCTGCGCTAGCGCACTAGCGCGCATATGGGAGCTCGGGCCAACGGCTTATGGCTGCGCGAGTGCCTACTCAAACACTAACACACGCCTTGCAACCTGAGCATAGCCTCACTCTCGTCCATTATAAGACTACACCTCTCTCCAAAAGACCAATATATTAACTACTACTTGTGTAATACCTTGAATCAGCACCATGGCAAGCGAAAAGTCAGATACCCAGAAGCAGGATGGTAAGGCCCCTTTTGTTTATGCCGGGTAGTTTTGCCAAAGCACAAACTGATATCATTGGCAGCCCAGATTAAGTCGGCGGATATGGTACGGAACATCCGGGATTATTCTCTGGGGCTCTCCTAACATATGTGTGACAGAGCGAAGAGATGCAGCAAGAGGCTATTGAAGTCGGTGAGTTATCTCCACACTGCGTGAGGCCGACAGAACAGCTGACATCGGGCAGCGCAATCGGCAATGGAGCAGTTCACTATTGAGAAGGTGAGCCGCACTACTCATCCGACCTGGGGTCATGACTGGGTCTTAAACTAACAGCTGGTGTTAGGACATTGCTCAGTACATCAAGAAGGAGGTGAGAAACATGGCCCTCGATGACTGTCATAAGCGCCCGCTAACGCCCAGGTAGTTTGACAGCAGGAAGGGCGCCACATGGCACTGCATCGTAGGCCGCAACTTTGGAAGCTTCGTTACTCATGGTAATTTTTCTTCTTGACCTTGTAATAACCAGTATCATCTGACCTCGCATCAGAGACGAAGCACTTCATCTACTTTTACCTCGGTCACTGCGCAATCTTACTCTTCAAGACACAGTAGATGCATCATCCCGGAGTGGGGTCCATTGTCTATCTACGAGCCATGTCATCTCTCATTGCGAAAGAATGCCTCATGGTCCAGGAGTGAAGAAGGCCGTCTCGTTTCAAGCTGGGACTCGGAGTGGTGCTTGACTGGTCTTTGCTGTATGTATAAGAAGACTGTATATTTTTCTCGGCATGTGACTGTTGTCTTTTCAACAGGACTCGGGGACTTTCTGCGATTCAATGGCGTCCTACCACCCAGACACGATGAGATCACCGCATCCCAATCCTACGACTGCGACGATTCTCCTTCTTTGCATCTTGATGACTTTGGAGGTCAACCTAGTGATATCATAATGAAACGATTGTGCTCTTGTTGTAATGTATTGACCATGATATGGAATGTGAAGTATAATCACGTGACTGATAACTATTGTCAGACATGATTGGGCAATTCACTAGAACGTAAGGCCATTTGAGAACAAAGCTCAGGTCTTGGAGTTTGTGATCTCCACATAGACCAACACGAAGAGTGCCAGATCTACAAGTGTAGGTAATGTGATCCAACATAAATTCGGTACAGGTCATCCTGCATTTCCCCAGATACCCAGTGGCGCGGCGAACTCGGCCGCTAGTACCAGTCGAGAAAATGTCTGCCCAGTGTGGCTGAGTAGCCTTTGATGACGCAGACCAGCTCGGCGCCAACACCTCCACGAATCCGTTGACCAGCACCACAGCATCACCCGACTTCTCAACACTTCACTTCTAACCTCCAAATAACCTGCCGCATACTCTTCATCGGTTTCCACAGTACTATTGACTTAGCCAACGCGTACGGAAATTACCGTCCAACAGAAAGCAACGCGCTTACCGTAACCACCTGTTCGAAGCGCGAATCGCATCCCATCCAATTGAATCAACTCGACTCGACTCGACTCGGACTCCTTGGGAATACCACAACCGCCTTCAAACCCCGCGAAAACGACTACACCACCTACAACCCCACAGCGCTGCTACAGCGTCCCCATAATCCGCAACAATGTTCTTCTTCTTCACCTGCGGAACACACAGTACGTCTCCCCCCCCTCATGCATTTCGTTACGCAACTAACGCGAATGAAATTAGCCTTCACCTCTGAGCTCAAAGGCGCCGGGCACATCAAGGTACAATGCCAAAACTGCGGCAACTTTAGAACGGGCGTCATGAAGCGCTGGGAGTGGTTTACGTTTTGCTTCATACCCGTTATCCCGTTTTCGCTCAAGCCCTACAAGGAGGTCGGCTGCGAGACTTGCCACTTTTGGCAGGATATCAAGTATCGGCCGGATGTGCTGCAGCAGATGGATCAGGGCCCGGGTCAGGGCCAGGGGGGGCCGGCGATTATGATGGGCGGGAATGGTGGGGGGCAGGGGCCTCCTCCGCCGCCGCAGGGCGTGCCGCAGTATAAGTAAGGAGGGGGTGGGTTGAGGATGTTCTGGGGTGGTTACGTTGGAGCGTGGAGTAACGCATGATACCAGTTGAGGGGGGTGTGGATGAAAGAGAGAGAGAGAAGGGAGAAAGGACCGTTATGATATCCCAAGGTCATTCTTTGGAATGCTTTTAAATTCCGGGACGGGGCGTATAGCGTTTGTTCACCATCCTGATACCACGCATGTTTTTCTTGTCATATCCTTTTTTTTTTTTTTTTTTTTACCAAACACACCTGGATAATACCATAATCTTTCATTTGCACCTCTAAGAATACTAGTCATGATCTTTTCTCTGCTCAAGAAAATGTGCTTAAATGTACAGCTCACTTAAACAATGTACAATATCTCCTCTTCATCCAAGGGAAGCTCGGATGCATCGAGATGCACGTCTCGCGCTTGCATCTTCAAATATCCAAACCGCTCGTACGTAGTTTGCTCCCTTTTCTCTGCTGTCTTCCGCAGCAGCAAACAATCAAACTTGGTGAAATTATAGTCTTCCGAGTAGTACTGCGCCATGACGACCGTCCTAATACGCATCTCTAGACCCAGCATCTTGCTCTGCGGCCTCGTCGGGTCAAACTCGGGTACCTTGCAATCGAGATTAACAGCGGCCCCAACACCGTCCTGGCTCCAAGCAGGACCCTCTAGATCAACATACGGCACCATGTTCTGACGTGGATATGTAAGTGGCAGCCACGGCTCTTGCGCTGCCTTGGAGAAACAGCGAGCTCTCAGCGTGAGACTGGCAGATGCTATTTCTCCAAAGGCGTCAGCGTTCACTGGCTGTACCTCTACTGCGATGCACGTAGCGAGGGCGCGGAAAGACTTGTTGTTGGCCTGGCTGTCCCAATATATGTCGCCTACAACAGAGGCCCAGGACCAGGATGGCGCACGCCATATTTGGGGCCGCCGGCGAATTCCACTATAACGCATCCATAGCAGATCCGATATCACTGTGTTTTCCCATAGACCGGCTAGATAGCGGGATTTGGTGTAAATAGAAAACATCTTGCTTATACCTTGCAAGGCGGGGAATACATCCTTTTCATACGTAAGGCGTTGTTGAGTGTATTGCTCGATGATCGTGTGCCATGTTTTCGAGCTATCTGAGTGGTCGTCGCCATTGGTGACATGCAGCTTGTCGTTCAGCCAGGAAAGACTGCACATATTTGAGAGTAAGGCGAAGGGGGGTGGGATGGAGCACTCGCAATCATTCTTGGTCTTGCAATCCCAGACGAGCTCTTCGTGCGTAAAATACAGGACCCGTGGAGAAAGCAGTCGTTCTTGTAGTGTCCATCCACGAGGTACCAAGGGCGCTCTGCCTTCGACCCAGCTGGCGTTCTTTAATCTTGGCCGGACGTAGAGGTCTAGCTTGGAACCTTTTTCGTCCGGATATGAGAGGCGGAAGAGAGAGCGTTTGGCGCCGTGGCGGAAACAGCCACCTGATGCATCTCGAGATGCTGTAGCAGCGAGTGTAATGTAAGCCCCGGAATAGATTTGAGCCATTTTGCTTCCTTCGCGGCGCCAGTCATCGACATCGTCTTGGATAATGCACAGCGAGTCGATCCAGAGATACTTTAAGCCAAGGCGGTAGGCAAAGGACACGGCATGTCGGAATGTGAGAGGGAGCCGGCTCCACTTGATTTGTTGCTTGTGGAGCGACAGATTAGATGTAGTCGTCCTGATGATATGTTTCTTGCCCCAGCAATGACTTAGACAGGCATAGGGCTCGGTTTCTCCATTACTTTCATGAAGCTTTATATTCTGTGGTCCTTGGATAAGGACAACACGAGATGGCAGAGGTGAAGTAGTGCGCCTACACGATTGATGTGTCTCGTCACAAGCCCGTAGCCAGGATAGCGTGCGCTTGATGGCATGACTGGATCCAGAGTATGATGCAACTTCAAGTTCTGGGGGAAAATACGGTATCTCCCAAGGATTTTGTTGCACTAAGGAAATCAGCATCCGTCACCACGCTACGATTACGTTTGGACGTACTGTGCGGAGAGTACACATCATAACCATAGCGCCAATCTGATGTGGCCAAGATTCGTGAATGCTCCATTTTGAACCGCATACTTCCAATGGGACTCGACTGTTCAGGAGACTCTATTGTATATTCAATCAAAGTTGCAACGGCACATAGAACCATGCAGCCAGCACAACCTCCTTTAGCAGACGACGACCACTCGTCGATTCGAAATTCTACACCTTCGGTCGGCCACACAAAGTTGTTGCATAAGGTGCATTTTTTTGCCTTTGCATATGCATCTTTGATCTTCTTTCCACGCGATCCGTCTTTTGAATTGCTGTCTGTGGCCCACCACTGGGGCGGTCTCCACAGAGGTGGTCTCCACGGTGGCAGAAGTGGATCCCAAGACGACATGGTGTTATCGATCAAGTGGGAACTCGCTCGCCTTGGTTGTACAGAAACAGAGAGGAACAGAGAGTGGATTGATACGAATACGCCAGGAAGCCGATAAGGACGGACACAGGGTCATTTTGAGTTGTTGAGAAAGTACGTGACTGGAGAAAGAGAAAGTGGGTCATTGAGAAGGTGAAATTTACAGCTTCTGAAAATTGGGGGCCAAAAGCCATATGTGCTGAGGCGGAGAAATCTCCTGCTCAAAGAAAGGTTGGGTCTCAGTGGTCCTGTGTTAGATGGAGGTAGTCCAGACTGGTGATGAGAAGCAACCGAGGTATCAGCCTTGCAGTACATGTTAGTCTGTAGTACTGGAGGCTACTGACATCAGAGCGATGTGCATTGCGCCAGGCCTACAGTCAGGTAAATGCATCACATTTTCACAACTTCCCAAGAGCTGGAGCAGCAATGAAGGAGAAGGCATGAGTTTGCAAGCCACCAAGGATAGACATAGTATAGGATGAGTGTATGTGAGGTGAGGGTTGAGGTTACGGCGCACCATCGGAAAGATAGCAGCGTTCGTGGCACGTGCGCCTGCTTTCTCCGTGAGGGGCCCGCGGCAGTAACTACCGTGGAGGAGTCGAAATGTTTGTCGGCTACGAGGCCAAGCTTGAGTGCAGAGACATTTTGGCCGAATTTGAAACAGAGGGTCTCCGGCCTTGAGAGAGACGCCCGGCCCCGTCGCGCAGGACGGTGCCGGCAGTGTCGAGGGGGCCCCGTTGAGCGGGGACCCGAAGACGAGTGGCAGAAGTCGATGCCCGTTGCAGTGGTGGATGAATATGGAGCAATTGAAATATAAAGACCAAAGGGTACAAACAAGATGCAAGTACAACATTGAAATCCTCATCCCAAAGCAATTGAACCAGAGCACAGAAGTCATCATGTTTGAGAAGAAAGAACTCCAGCCTACATTTGAGGGTATGTCGTGTGTGCAGTGAGTGTGTGATGGGCATGGCTAACTGGGAACAGAGGTTATGGGCTGTCAATCGGCATGCTACGAATGGGCAGACAGCTACGACAGCAAGGACTGGGATCGTCTGCGCAAGTGCATTGCTCCGACTCTGAAGATCGACTACCGGTCCTTCTTGGACAAGATGTGGGAGGCCATGCCAGCGGATGAGTTTGTGACCATGGCCTCTGACCCTGCGGTGCTTGGCAACCCCCTCCTCAAGACACAGCACTTCATCGGCGGGACACGGTGGGAGAAGACGGCCGAGGATGAGATTACGGGGTACCACCAGCTGCGAGTGCCTCACCAGCGATATACGGATGAGTCGCGGACGACGGTGGCGGTCAAGGGCCACGCCCACAGCTTCAACACACACTGGTACAAGAAGATTGACGGCGAGTGGAAGTTTGCCGGGCTGAACCCGGACATTAGGTGGTACGAGTATGACTTTGACAAGGTGTTTGCAGAGGGCCGCGAGCAGTTGGGCGAGGCCAAGGCTGCTGCTGGCATCCCGGAGACGGCGCCTGGCCAGGCTGTGTAGATGGGCGAGGGGTGTGTGGTCTAGAGTGCATACGATACGATACAATACAATACAATTACAATACTACATATGTAATGGCGAGCGCCATGGTAGACGGGTGGATACAATGCGAATCATGATGAAATGCAATGGATGTGTGAGGTGGGCTCCTTGCTATGCTGATTGATGGGTGCATAGCCTGCATAGATACGAAATGCTGATGTGTACTACGTGTGTGTGGAGAGAGAGAGAGGGCGTACGGGATCCTTGGGCCAAGGCCAGGTCCCTGCCGACGAGGTTGCTAGATGCAGACATAGGAGGAGTAATAGGCGTGTACGTATACGTACGCACACTTGTGGAATGGATGGGCTGGATGGGCTGGATGGGCTGAATGGGTCCACCGACGGAGGGCGGCTGTGACATGTCTCTGTCAGCTTGGCTGGGAGAGAGGTGCAGCTGTTAGCCCCTGTGAGCGGTGAGGGGCATCGGCCATTTGGTGCAGAGGGACGGCGCTTTGCTTTGGCTGGGCCGGAAAGGCAACAGGGGAGGGGGAGTAGTAGGAGTAATGAGCATGTATGTATGTATATGTATGCAAGTAAGTAAGTTAGTATACTCTGTATCCACATCACATATGCACACAAAGGACGAGTGCACAGCGCACCGCCCCGCACTCGGCCATGTCTGTCCCATGGCGCTGCGCGTCATTGAGCAGTGGCAGCGGCGCAGCGGCCAGGGGTGGGCCCAACGACCAGCTCAGCTAAAGTCAGCAGTTGACGCACAGGAGATCGTTAATTCCGGCCTTGCCTGGGCGTGCAATGGCGTCGCAGCCAATCTGCGGCCTGGTAGAGGGCGTTGCAGCCGTGAGGGCCACCATCCTTGTATCGATCTCCAAAGCTTGTGTCTGCCCGATCGAGCAAATCGTGGCGCCATCCTCTGCTCTCACGCCCCCAGCTTCGTCTCTGCGCGTCGCTACCGAGCGCCGTAAACTTAGCGGATTCGCTCGGCAGCACATCATCTGCGCTCTCTGCTCTTTTACCCCACCCACCTTTCTTCTCACACACATCTTTCCCCCCCCTCCCCGACTCTCGTCGCCGTCTTCTTCTCTGCTTCCCTTGCGTTCTGGTGTTTGGATTCGACCTGTTTCTCCCGTCCGCCTCCGTCCTCTGTGTCCTTGAGTCTTTGCTGCAGGTAAGCCCCCCCCCCCAAACAGCACAATTTTCATCTCTCGCCTTGGCACGCCCCAACTGTGCCTGCTGCATATCGACAATGCACGCAGAATTGTTCGCACGCAATTGCCAGCGCTGCCTTGTGTGTGTGCGCATCGAGCCCGCTGACGTCGTCGGTCTGCACGGACTCGTTCGCATCGCAAACCAGCCCGCTGCCCGTTGACGGCCCAGTTGTGAGCGCAATTGCCTCGTCGTCGTCGTCGTCGCCCCCCCGCTGCCGCCGTTGGGGTCGCGGTCGTGGTCATGGTGTCGTGACCCAACCAACGAGACGAGCCTCATGCCCGCCCCCGCCCCCCCATGTCATCCATCGCGTCGGGCCATCCTGCACACGGTACTGACTGGCCCGCACAGATTGCAATTCGAGCCTCCTCACGGTCACTCATTCACTGCCATCACCCGCACAGTCCCTGGTGCTCGATCCCGAGTTACTGTCGCCGCTTGTTCCGAGTGTCTCTTAGCTTACTAGGCTCCTTCCTTGGCCGAGCTGCCTTTGCGCCTGAGCCCGACGTCAGCGCCCACTTCACACCTTCACAGGCTACGTTTCCCTTACTGCGACACCAGGAGCATCGTTCCCAGTGGTGAGTGTGTGCGCGCCTAGGGCCCTTGCCCTGCCCGACCCGACCCTGCCCTACTCTGCCCTGCCCTGCCTGGCCTTGCACTCACCTCGCTCCCGCTGCCTGGCTTACTTACTCGCCCATTCACCGACGCTAACCATTGCTTTTCGCGCGCAGACATATAAACGACTCCTACACTTCTCAATCATAATTAGAGCGCCTTACCCTTACTCCCCACCTCCGCTAGTCCATCCGACTACCCCGCTTGATCTATCCAGCATGTCTTTCAACAACGGTTACAACGACCAGTTCCAGGGCCCGCCCCAGGGTGACATGAACAACCCCACCCCACAGCCGGGCGACATGGGTCAGCCCATGGACACCTCCGGCAACGGCTTCCCACCCCAGGGCAATATGGGCCCTCCAGGCAGCGCTGGCGGCGACGGTCAAGGCCAGGGTGCCGGAAAGACGACTCTCTGGTGAGTCCACGCATGTGCCCCCACGCTGCGCCCGCCATGTGCAATGTGCCCAACGCTCGCCCCAGCGTCACACGGCATGCAGCAAAATAGGTTGATGCTAACAATGGCACAGGATGGGTGAGCTCGAGCCCTGGATTGACGAGAACTTCGTCCGCAGCATCTGGTACAACATGGGTGAGACAGTCAATGTCAAGATGATCCGTGACAAGTTCTCCGGGTAAGCATACAATCCCACTCTAGAAAGCCACCAGGCTAACTACCGCATAGCAGCAATGCTGGATATTGCTTCGTCGACTTTGCGAGCCCTGATGCTGCGGCCAAGGCTCTGAACCTCAACGGACAACTGATCCCAAACTCGAACCGTCCATTCAAGCTCAACTGGGCCTCTGGTGGCGGTCTCGCTGATAGGAGGCAAGTCATGTCCGGTCTCTCACATGTATACTGCGATGATCTCTAACACTAAAAGAATAGCCGCGACGAGCGTGGCCCCGAATTTAGCATCTTCGTAGGAGACTTGGGCCCTGAAGTTACCGAATTCGTCCTTGTCCAGTTGTTCCAGAACAAGTATCCCTCGACCAAGTCGGCAAAGATCATGTCGGACCCCATCAGTGGCATGTCCCGTGGTTATGGATTCGTGCGATTTGCCAGCGAGGAAGACCAGCAAAAGGCTCTGACTGAGATGCAAGGCGTTTACTGCGGCAACCGCCCCATGCGTATTTCTACTGCAACACCAAAGAACAAGAGCGGTGGTCCAGGCGGCCCCGGCGGAATGGGTATGCCCCAGGGTGCGGGCGGCCCAGGCATGGGCATGTACTCCATGGGTGCTCCCCCAATGGGTAACTACTATGGCGCTCCCCAGCCCATGAACCAGTTCACGGATCCCAACAACACTACCGTCTTCGTCGGCGGTCTCTCGGGCTATGTTACCGAGGACGAGCTACGCTCTTTCTTCCAAGGTTTCGGTGAAATCACCTATGTCAAGATTCCTCCAGGCAAGGGATGTGGCTTCGTCCAGTTCGTGCAGCGCCACGCCGCAGAGATGGCTATCAACCAGATGCAAGGTTACCCAATTGGCAACTCCCGCGTGCGTCTTAGCTGGGGTCGCTCTCAGAACAACTCTGGACCCGCCGGTACCCCATACCGCCCTGCGCCACCTCCACCAGTGCCCTTTGGCCCTGGAATGGGCATGCCCCCGCAACACCCCTACGGCGGTGGTGGCGGCGGTTACGGTCCTATGATGAAGGTAAGGCGACAGCACGCCTTGAGGGTTGGATAATGCAAACGCCTCCTCGGCAGTTGAGCATTCTCTCCTACCTCAACCTCCCCCTCTTTTTGCCGCTGCCAGTGCTAACTCTGTTACAGTAAGCGCATTCTTTCCCTCTGTATTGCTTGCACGGCGCTTCATTCGTGGTTCATCCCGTTGGCTTTACTGCAACGACCCCTTTCATGACTCGGCAATGACGATTTCGAGCGATTTGGTCTTTAGTTCTATAACGGGCGGTACTCTAAAAGTTCTCGACTTTCTCTGACGACACCATCTTGCTGGAGGGCCATAGAGGGGAGTCTTTGTATAACAGGCCATCCATTCTCCCACTCGGACTTTTCTTTCAGAGCGTGCTACTCTTCTTTCGGGAGCATCTATGGGATGTAGCTAGTCATGCATGGGTCGGGTGCTGCTTTCTGTCGAATGCCTTTCTTTTACCGGTTGCGCTCTGTGACCAGCAGATTGGCTATCCTTCCAATCACACGATTCTTCTATTTTCTGCGTGGTTTGTTGCGTGCTTGCTTGCTTGCTTACTTGCTTACTTACTTGCTTACTTGTTTGATTCATCTAACGGTCTGGTTCCAAGTGCATCATAGTTGGTTTTCTTTGTTCGTGCGCGTATGTAAAGTTTGGCTGGCGTGTGTATGATTTGTTGCCTTGTCAGAGCTCAGGGAGTATTTCACTAACCTTGCTGCGCGCAGTCCTCCCACGCAGGGTTCGCTGCCTCCGCCTTATTCATCCATCGCAAACAATAACTACACTGGCTCACCAAACGACAGTCAGAACGCACCTACTGTTCAGAGCGGCGCAGCAAACGGTCTCCAATCCGGCCTTGGTAGCTTCACTCGTTTCACGCCGCCCCAATCGAACGATCCAAACGGTTCCTTTTCGTAGCAGATCCCTTTCTGGATTGGCCCGCCAGCCAGGCCAGATCGGCCAGATGTGCACACAGCAGTAATACTTGATGGCTTAGCAAGGAGTTAAAGGAGGGGGGGGGGGGCACTTCACCGTAATGTCGGCGTACATTGCTTTCGGATATGGGACTATGTTGTTTTAGCAAGGCGTTTGGCGAATACCAAAACAGCGAATACCCATGTTACGGAAGGAGGAGGTTCCTCCACCAATCTAATGTTTCTCACATCACGAAATGATTCTATGATATAGGCGTTTTATTTTGGAAGATGCGCGTTCTATGGATAGCGCATGTGTCGTCTTGCTATGGTTGATCGGCAACCAGACAGGTACTTGATAAAAACAAGGGAACTGACGGACATATTTGTTCCGATCTGTTAGCAGGATACGCCCTTCTTTTGCTCAGCTCATCACTGTACCCTAATCGAAATCAAGACGCATCTTTCGCCTTGGTCGGCATCGTCATATGGTTATCAATTTCCGTGATATCCAGAAGTCAATGAGTTAGTCACCATGTGACGTGTGATAAACCTGACCATTCGTACCTTCCTATGAGGCTCCTCAGGTTTGCCCGCCATTACCCAGCCCTCAACTCGTCAACATGCCTCGTCTCCCCGTCTCACGTAATCCCGCTCCAGCACAACTACCAGTTGCTTGTTGCTCTCTTGGATCTGAACAACAGCAATCACACGCCGATCATGCGCTACAATGATTGGGATGTGATCCTCTTTCCCCGAGACTCTCATGTTCCGATTCAGGAGTTCAAGACCGCTTGCTTTGTCTCGCAAGTGGAGTGTGAGTTGCACTGCTATCTAGTCTCTTTTAGGCTCGCTTGATATCACTTGGGGTAAAGTACACTGACACACTACAGACGGGCGTCAACTGCCGACGTTGACCTGCTTCATCACCTCGCTACCACCCTCGACACCATTTCGTATCTCACTTCATTCATGGCGTACGACCTTGAAAGCCTCAGCGCTCCTCGAGTCCCGACGCAAAGGCAATCAAAAGATAGTGTTCGCCGTCCAGGTCATTGTGGGCGAGGCCAGACTCTTGTAAGCCTCAAGCATTTGCTGCCGAGTGAGAGTGATACCTACTGATCAACTCAGTCACGGCTTCTTTGACTTGAATACGAAATGGCCTCAAGAGATTGGTGAGTCATTCAGAACAAAGATTGGGTAAGACAAGATCTGACTATCGTGGAGCCTATGAGAAGAGGTCGCTCACCTTCAATGATCTACCTTCGAGCCAGCGGAAACGGCCTCTCGAGTTCCCTCCCTTCAACAATCTTACGCTCACAAATAACATTTGGGATGCTCGTGACCCATATGGGCGCATACGCGTCGTGCTTTCAGAACAACTGATCAGCAAGACGCAAAGTCCTGGGAGTTTAGACTTTGGCACTGCCAATGAGCTCGTTTGCTTCTCATTTCAGCATGCACCAAAAGGTATGTTCCGAAATGCTAGAACCCTATGGTAGACTATGTTCAAGCAATGCAGATATCCTTCAGCAGACCGGAATCTCATGGCCGATCTCGAACCCACTCTACCTTCCCGATGCGTTTAACCGGGACAGCCAGTACCCTCAGGCATCTCCAACAACTTCGTGGACCCCTGATGCGCATCCTTTTATAGGAAACATGCACATGCAAACTCCACAATTGCATAATGTACAACCCGTGTTCACTAGATTGAATGACGCCGAGCCCAAGAGACAATCCAACGCGCACCTGCCACCTGTTCCACACTTTCCAACGCATTTTGTTGCCCCTACTAGCCACACTCGTCGTGCAACTACATGGAATGATGCATTCAGTACGCTCAATCACACTGGCGACACCGCCAGCATAGACGACTGGTCAGAAAAGAGGAAGATATTCGCGTTGTCTGATCACCCCATGCCGAATTACATGTACGGCTCACATACATCGACCAATGGTCTGCCATGGATGGGCAATATGTCTCAGCATGTTCAGAGCGAAAGTACAGACTGGGATGATTACTCTAAACCCCCAAAAGAGAAGCAATTTGTCGTTACGCTTCGGGATGACCAGTTGGGCCAGATAATCGATGCAATAAGCCCACCAAAGCATAATCGTGAGATTTCTCGGACACCTGGTGGACCGTTTCATGAGCCAGCTAGTCAACAAGCCGCTCACACTTACTATCCACCGAAATTCGGGACTGCTCCGTCGACCAAACGTCCGTCCTCTGGGGTTCTGGCTCGCAAACTATCGTATCAAGATTCCAGCAGTGTCTTACGAAACGTCTCGAACAAGCCGTCATCGCACAAATATCACTCCCAAGACGATGGAAAAGACAGAATGTCTGCAAGGCCACGCCTGTCTATGCCACATAACAAGGAAGATATTGGGTCATCGCAATTGCGATTTCCAACGCCGTTTCCCCATGCCAACCGCGTTCCAACGCCGAACCCTTTTGCTCAGGGGCAACCAGCAACCATTTCAGAATTATCAATGAGAGATTGGTCCTCAACTCAGGCAAGCGCGCATCGTGTCAACCGAAGCGATGCGCCACAGTCAGCCACCGAAATCAGCAGACTCAGCTCAGCTCAGGGGCCATCGAATTTTAATTCAAGGAGCAGAAACGAGGGCTTGATGTTTGATTCACCAAAGCTGTCAGACCAAGCGACCCGGCAAGATGAGTGTTCGATGCCGACAACCAGTTCGGATTCTCAAGTGGAACAAAGCTTTGTTCAAAAGGTACAGGGTAATTTCGCCCAAGATGATCAGAAAAGTATACCTGGGCAAGTTGAAATCATCGACGTCGATGCTGTTGATCCCAGTTTAGAGATGAATGCGGCAGTGGTTACCAGCAATCTCTCGCCGTTCAAACCTACCCACAAGTCTCGTAATTCACAATCAAGTACCGATAGCACTGATCGTCTAGAGAGACAGCTGTTTAGTGCTCTGGGGGAGGAGCTTGGTAGTTTCGATCATCATCATCATCATCATTATCATCAGATCGATACCACGGACATGGGACCTGAGCTTATGCATGCTCTAGGTGGTGCGAGGACGAATACTGAGCTCAGCAGTTCTGCGATGCTCGGCTTGGCGACGAGCAACTTTGAACCGGCAGTCAAACGGAAGAGACAAGGCACTCTGGGTAGAGGCAGTAACGGGAGTCCGATGAGTAAGAAGGAGAAGGCTGATGGGGCGGAAAGCAAGGAACAGAGGGAGATAGTGGTCAGCATGAGAGGAGGCTGATGGTATTCAAGGTAGTGTCATGAACGTGTTGCCTTTGGGGCATTCTTTTTGGAAGGCTTGGGGACTTGTGGCCTTGGCAGTTTTTCTGGAATAGGAGATAGGTATTCATTTGGTTGTGATGGAAGATACAAAACAGGGAGAGAGAGCGAGAGAGAGAGAGAGAGAGAGGCTATTGGGGCCAGAAAAGTAGATTACTTACGGGGCAAGTAAAAGTAAAGCAATAGTGTCTTTGAATGATGCAGCGTTATTTCGAATATACGTTCTTGTCAAAGACAATACTTGATTTGAGGAACAAGTCTGCGAAAGGAATTCGTTTACTCCCTCCCCAAAAAGGAAAAGTATGAATAATTGCAATTTGACAAGCATCGTAATGGTATCCAAGGATTTATACAAGATACAACAAACATCCAATCTTTTGTAACATGAAAGATTTTTTTTTTAAAAAAAAAGAGAGAGAAAGAGATCAATAAACAAAATACCCTTGCGTCAATGGTAACGTCTCCGCCGGCTCCGCCACACAAACCATGCCATCAGCCTCTACCGTATAACTCTCAGGATCGACCTTCATCCTAGGCTTCGTATCATTGAACTTCATATCACGCTTGCCTATGTTCCTGCAATTCTTGACGGCTTCGACGCGCTTGCGCAGGCCATACGAGTGCACGACGCCCGAGGCAATCGAGGCTTGCGAGACGAATGTTATGCTGGAAGCGGGGACGAGCGGGGCGAACATGGGGCGCATGATGCGGGGTTCGACCATGGGGATGGAGCCGTTGGGGTCGCCCTTTGAGGTCAAGTGTGTTAGTAAAGTCGTCTCAGGAAGGAGGTAAGTGGTGGAGGTGGAGGGGAGTAGTTACCATGACGGCGTAAGAGCAGAATCCGCTCTTTATAATCAAATTTGGCTTTACGCCAAAGTTGTTTGGAGTCCAGAGGACGAGATCGGCAAGTTTGCCTACTTCGACGCTGCCGATGAGATGGCCCATGCCCTGGGCAAGGGCTGGGTTGACTGTATACTTGCTGATATATCGCTTGACGCGGAAGTTGTCTGCGTCGGTGTCCTCGTCTTCCTTGAGCGTGCCGCGCTGCACCTTGTTCTTGTGCGCCGTGTTCCAGGTACGGAGAATGACTTCGCCGCAACGACCCATGGCTTGGGAGTCCGAGGACATCATTGAGATGGCGCCGAGATCATGAAGTACGTCTTCTGCGGCAATCGTCTCAGCGCGGATACGCGACTCGGCGAACGCTACGTCTTCGGGAATATTGCGGGACAAATGATGGCATACCATGAGCATATCGAGATGCTCGTCCAGCGTGTTGCGTGTATATGGCCGGGTAGGGTTGGTCGAGGAGGGCAGTACGTTGTCATGCTCAACCACGCTGATGATGTCTGGAGCATGTCCTCCGCCGGCACCCTCGGTGTGATATGTGTGAATCGTTCGGCCCTTGATCGCCGCGATAGTTGATTCAACGAAACCAGATTCGTTCAGTGTGTCGGTGTGGATCAGTGTTTGTATGTCGTATTCGTCGCAGACTTGTAAGCAAGCATCGATAGCTGCAGGCGTACTTCCCCAATCCTCATGCAGTTTCAGACCGCAAACGCCGGCCTCGGCTTGCTGTTGTAGTGGTCGAAGTTCAGAATCGTTTCCTTTACCCGTAATTCCATAGTTGAGAGGAAGCTCGTCAATAGCTTGAAGCATCTGTTTGATGTGTGTCTTACCAGGCGTGCATGTTGTCGCATTCGAGCCAGTACTGGGTCCTGTACCACCTCCGAGCATTGTTGTGATTCCAGATGCTATAGCCTCTTCCGCCTGCTGTGGGCAAATGAGGTGAATGTGTGTGTCAATACCGCCCGCTGTCACGATCTTGTGCTCGCCAGCTATGACATCAGTGCAGGCTCCGACCACCAGCTTAGGGTCCACGCCGTCCATGACATCGGGGTTGCCTGCTTTGCCAATGCCAACAATCATGCCGTCTTTGATTCCAATGTCGGCTTTGTAGATACCGGACCAATCGACAATGAGGGCATTGGTGATGACTGTATCCAAAGACTCCTTATCCGATCGACCACCAGCCTGGCCCATACCCTCACGCAGCGTCTTGCCTCCTCCGAATGCGCATTCATCGCCATATATGGTCATGTCCTTTTCTACCTTGATCCACAGATCTGTAGCGCCTAGCCTCACCAAGTCGCCAGTTGTTGGACCAAACATTGAGATGTAGGCTTGTCGCTCCATGGTACAAATGTCAATATGGGCAGCATCGCCATGGGGCTCGGGCTCATGAAGAAAACCCCCGGCCTGTAACTTCTCTATGATCGTGTTGGCAACAGACAGGTCGCCAATGAAGCCTGAAGCAATCTGGTTTCCACCCTTGATGATCTGATTCCCGCCAATTTGAACAAGAGTGACGGTCCTCGTGTCACCAGGCTCAAAGCGTACCGAGGTGCCGGCAGGAATGTCAAGTCGGTAGCCGTGCGCTCGTACGCGGTCGAATTGTAGCTGAGGGTTCGTCTCGATAAAGTGATAGTGCGATCCGACCTATCGTCATGAGTCGCGTGTTCTGTGTTCTCATGTGACGCCCTTGACGTACCTGAATTGGCCGATCTCCCACGCTCTTCACCCTGAGTTTTATTCTCTTGCGCCCCTCGTTCAGTTTGATGATTCCGCTCTCTCCCTTAACAGCGACTATTGCGCCTGGTTGCTTGGTGTCTTCGTACTCACTGGCATCGGGCAGAGGGAACATTTCATTCGAGGGAACAGGCAGAAAGGAGCCATATAGCGCCTTTTCGAGGTCTCCATCTTCGGTAGAGACGGGGCGATGGACGGTGACAAGATAGGTACCTGTGGGGAAAGTGCCCTCGACCATCAACTCCGCGAGCGATGATACAACTGCAGGCTGCACATGGCGGCGACCCAGCATGGTCTTGCCAATGGACATGAGATCGGCGACAGTATGGTTGCCATCGCGAATAAGCTATGGGCATTCAGCATGGGAGCGGGGATGCGCGTGCAGTCAGTGGAGGGGCTCGTACTTCGTGGAGATTGTTTGCAATCAATGCCTGCAGCCGTTAGCAGAGGGCATGCGAGGGCGTCTTGGACGTACAGCAGCTTCAGCGTGATTCAACTGGACGCCCCGTGCCAGGCGACGCTGGGCAAGCAGGCCGAGCTGGGATATGACGAGCTTGTCAAGCTGTCACCACATTGTTAGCAAACTTTGGTCAGGTACTAGCAGTCATGGCGGCCAGTGACACACCTCCTTGGGACACAGCTGCATGATGCCTGTTCACAAGCCAAGTACAGTAACTACGTATGTGTCGTCGGCGTAGTAGGAAAATACAAGGCCCCACCAAGTTCCTTTTCCCAGGCTCACCTTCTACCCTACTAGTACTTCCCTTTCCCTTGAGCAGCCTCGCAGACTTCACCGTTTGGGGCAGATTGCGGGGGCCGCTTACGATAAGGACCCGCCCGCTGCCGATAGCGAGCCTTTGTCATGGTCACCCGCACCCAAACACCTTAACCATAACCCAACAAACACTCACATGGCCATATAAGCATGAAGCCATGCCATGTGCCCCGATTCTATGGCTATGACTATCGCGACTCAAGCCAAGCTGATCAAGATCAAAGCCCACGAGGTGCTGACCATGCCAGGCGTTGATACAATACCATCCCCGTGCCACACCTCATGCGGTCCGCGCCAGTATCCTTTGCCTTGATTGCATGTTGCTTGATCAATCCTCACGTCCAAAGCCATGGCTGTTATAACAACATGACAGCCCCCGACTGCATATCCTCTATTCCAAGCCTAGGCAACGTGTGTGCATGACCCAGGTACCGCGCCACATAGGGCCACCCTTAGCCACCCTTTTACACGCCACCCAAGATGCACTCGCTCATCAAGCATCTCAAATCGGACAAGGCAGACGAGGAGCCTCACCAACCGCAATCAGATGCACCCGTCAAAAGAAGTAGAGCGCCGGCCAAGCCTCCATCAAACGACCCCAACATCCCGAAGAAGCGCCTTCATCTCAACCAGATATGCCTCTACGAACGCCGTCTGCCCGGAAGAGCGTACGTCTCCGCTCATGTGAACCGCTTGCAACACGGCTTCTACAGGTCCGATGTCCTTCATGGAGCCGCCATCAACCATGTGTACTTTGTCTCTGTCCGTTTTGTCTTTCATCCACATGATCCGGAATCGCATCGCTTCAGGAGTGCCGAGATTCAAGTGAGCCTGCACGGCGAAGACCCCAGCTCCGGCTCCCACAGACGGTCCGGGCGCTCGCAACCGCGCATCCTGAAGCACGCCCCAGAGCTCATGTTTGGCGCTGTATCCCCGGAGAACCTCCAGTGGAACTTCAGCCTTTCGACTTCATTGGGCGTGTCTCCGGCATCCCCCGTCGGTGCATATATAATACCGCAAGCATCTGTGCAAAGCAGCTACAAGGTCTTTCACATGATGAGTATCCAAGGTTCAGTGCGGTCAAGGCAAGACAGGTCGGGGCAGACTATTGAAGACTCCAAAGCCGTCTGGACGCTCAGCGAGAATGTGCTCCAGAAATCAGGATTACCGCGCGAGTTTGATTTTGTGATGCTTGTGCAGAAGCCAAAGGATGTTAAGAACATATACATGACGGTCAATGTAGATACCAGCGTAGCAACTTGGTATGGTGCATATCCCCAATGGTACAACAATCTCTCCGAGTACGTGCCATCGCAAAACTTTGCTGTCAGCTTCGAACATGACGTTGGCCAACGGTTTCTTCCTAGCCATCCTGGGCTTGGCTACAACTTTGCCGACCTGATACACTCGCTGGATCAGTATGTAATGATGCCAGGGACTATCTATCCGACGGCTGTAAGTTTGCTTAGCCATACAAAACATGCCACAAGCTGATTGCATCAGGGTACAAATCAAGGAGAGTTCAACCCGAACCAAACTCACCGGCGGCCACTTGAGGAAAACAAGGTCAATGAGCCCGACCGTCCACCTTCTCGCTCCAAGCGGCGTCCTAGGTCCCCGAGTGAATATCAATCACGGATACAGGACTCGAGCCAGCGAGAAAGACGGAACTGGACACCTGAGCATATTGATGTTCGACTTGTTGTCGACCACCGATTTCCTCGAAGCCCTAATCCACGGCGTTTTTCGTATTCGCCCCCGCACGTTGTGGAAACAAGACGACATCCATCAATACGACGCAGAAAGTCACAGATACGCTTAAAGGAGTGTGGCGAAGCGGAATTTAGAAGGACTTATACCCGGTGATGTAGAGACTGGAGGAAATAGAACACACACGCTGGAGGAGCAGTTAATAAACATATGGTCACGTGAAAAGTACATGTGCATGTGGCCCGATCCACATAACAATCGATTCGTCAGCCAACGCTCCATGTGTGCATCTAATATCCGACCACAAGAAATCAATGGGCCGATATCAGGATAGGGGAATTCTGCGTGACCTTGTGATGATCCGATGCGGGCGAACATGCAGTTTGCAGGTCGTTACTGGCTCGCTTACGTGCCTTGAATAGAAGCAATACCGTCAGTTGGGTGGCGCCGGCTTGTCACAGGGCGAGGCAACAGATCGGTAGTGGCTGATTGGATCTGTGACAGCTGCCGGCACTCGGTTGTGCGGGTTCGAAATGAGATGATGGATACTAGCAGGATTCAGCGCAAGGGATCCAGTGGTTGAGGATGCTCGATGGTCGTGTCTGCGGTCTCGGGGCTGAGGGAAGCTGCGGCTTCTGAGTGGCTGGCGAGTAGGAGGCGCTAGGCCGGGGTCGAGTAGTCGACGACCATCCACAACGCTGCGTTGCTCTCTCTTCGCACCCAACAGCCTTGTAGTTGTAATGAACAATGACACCTACCGTGGATGCAGTGGAAATGCGTCGTCTACTGAGATGACGACTGCCCGGAACCCGCCCCTAAATGTCTAGGGCTGACGGCCCCGTTCTGCAAATGTTACTCCGAATGATGTTTTGTCGCGTCTTCCTTCCCCAGGTACCCGGTACTACTACCACGCCGTCGTGCCTTCCTCGTCTCTCGCTCTCCAGGTCGTCGTGCAGCGCTCCTTCCTCCTCGTCCTCGTCTGCTTCTTCTCTCTAGCAACCACTTGTAGTCTTTCTTCTTTCCTATTGACCCTGAATTTAATGCTCCCGTCTTCCCTAGCCTTTGCTGCTGAACGTTCGTCCCAAATCTTCGCTTCCTCTGACGTCGCTCTATTCTACGTACATACGCTTCACATCAGGGCAGCATAACAAGAAGGCTGTAGGCAGAAACGGGTGGTACTACACTCTGATCTTGGACCAGACAAAGGATAAGTCGCAAAACTTAGTCCTTATCGGTACGGTGACCAGGTTTACGTTCGAAGGCAATTGAGGTTAGTTGGACACTACATGTATGATGGAGAATATGCAGGGCTGACAAGATACCCAGAGTCTTCGGATCTGATTACTGCGACCCATTGCCATGGCGTAGATTCCGCCATGGGTTCGCTGGCGCTTTCATCAAGTTTGATATCCAAGACAAACGACCGATCAAGAGCCCATAAACCTTCGCGACATTAATAGCAGTGCAAGTTCGTCGTCGGGGAAAGCCTATCTAAACAGAATTCACGTCTTGTCAAAAAGATATTTCACACAAGCTGAACATGGCGGCCTTCTACCCCCATTCACAGTCGCCATGGGCTTCTGATCGGGCTTCACCGCGGCTGCACGCTGGCAATCCTATGACGCCGGTTCACTCCCCGCACCACTCACTCACTTCCACAGTCTCCTCACGGACCCCAATTCACACACTCACTATCCATGAATACCGCAAACAACAGCACACGCCTACGCTCGCCCGAAAGGAAACACCGCCGCCAGGCAAAACGCTCCGGAGAAAACCTGCAGCACCTGCACTGAGCGACATTGAGCGTGCTGCTTCGGTGCCACCCTCGACTTGGCCAGATTCCGGTCTGCCACAACGCTCTCTTCACTTTTCGCAATCAGCCCATCAACTGAAACCGACTTTGCATGCTTTCCACCAACAAACACGACCCGAGCTACCATTTCGAGCGCAGTCGACTGAACCTCGCCAGCAGACAGGCAGCATATCAAGCTTATCCACTACCAGCTCTTCTAGCAAGGTACGTTACTTCAACTCGAGAAAGAGGTTACCAAGACCGCCTGCCACCACAGATCTGGTTGCATTTCCCCCTTCCCCTGTGGACGTAGAATTTTCACAAACACTACCACCGCCCCCGGCTACGCCGAGCCTGTTTACAGAGCGCACACGTTGGAGTGACGCACAAACAACAAAAACGCATTCGTCATTTTCGCTATCGCGATTCCCACAGCCACCTCACCGAGCGGACTCATCACCTTCTCCATCGCTAGACGAAAGAGAGTCTGTCCATGTGAATCCACAAGATTTTGTAGCTAGCAAGCCTGCAACGCCACCCACAACACCGGCAACCATTCACTACCGGGGTGCCTCGTTCGATCTGGTAAACCCACGCGACTCCCTATTACTACACAATATTGTCACTCCCTCGCGGGACTTCGACTCGAGTGACTACTTCCCTGTACCCACCTCCGACGACGCCTTTTCAGAGGTACGAGATATTCAATCTTTCTTGAAACTTGGCTTACCAGAGCACCAGATGGCCCCTAAGCGAGCTGTGTATGGAGACTTCCATGCAGCGCACGCAGGCATTCTGCGACGTCCCACAGAGTCTCCCAATCAGTCAAATACGGATCTTCCAGCTCCTCCAACGCCCGCAGCTCTCAGCCCGAATTCCTCTTCGTATACGTCTCCCATGTACAGCCCAGACTCTGCTGATATACCCTCTCCTCTGTTCATGAAGACGCCTGCACGTGAATCGCGCTTCTCTCTCAAAGGTCTGACTCGCAGCTTGACACAGCGACTGAGCAAAGCACCACTAAAGCCCCAAGATGAGGAGCTACAGCAAGTTCACAATCGAAAAGTGAGCACGGAGACAATGAGAATGGACTTGGAATTTCCGCGATCCTTTCGACCACATATCTCCATACCCGAGACCTCTTATGACCCAATCGATCCAATGTCTCCCATGACACATCCTGGTCCCATGTCGCCTGAGGGCTTTCCAGCCTTCTCTCCGGGACAGAATGAGGCAGAACTATCACGGAAGTACTCGATAGAACGATATGAGACACAGCCGCTTTCGTCAATGTTACCAGACGACAACGCCACGCAGTTAGAGCCAAGGCCCACTTCACAGCTACTGCATTCGGAGGAAAGAGTTTTGACCAAACCCTACTATGATGACATGGACTCGATATATCCAAGCTCGTCAATCTACACTAGACATGATCGTCGCGCGTCAATTTACCAGCAGGGCCTTATGAGCAATCGCAACAACAATGTCAATTCATTGGAGTGTGGAACACAACAACCTGCGTTGCAAGAAGTCAACAATGGCTTTCAAGAACAATCAGTGTTCGCTCATTCTTTAGGTTTGCCTCCACAAGAGGTACCACCACTCGCGCCAGCTTTTGAGTATAATGAACCTCCCTGCTTCCCTTCTACTTCGGGAATTTCTGGAATAACTTCGAACGAATCAGCCGACTCTTATGGAGATACACGCGATCTTCTATATGTCTCTGGTTACGAAGACTCTAGACAGCCTAATCTAACGCAGACTCTGGAGCATTCTTCAGCCTTCTCTCAACCAAATATCAACCCTCTCGGACCCTCCTCGTCGTACTCACAAGTCGAGACCGATAGTCCCAACACACCCAAGGAAGCTCTTGATCAAGCTGAACAAATCTTCCAAGACACAGTGAACCAACAAAGAACGGACAACAAGATTCCAGCCATCTGGTCCAGACGTAACTCGGGCAGCCAGCTGCTAAACAGAACAGTAACCAACAGATCTTTGGGTGATGATGAGCCAGCTGCTGTGGAAGAGCGAGATGATTGGGAGACAGTCGGTGGCAATAGTAGAGACTCAAAAGACCACGGGTCGCTCGACAGTATCGCAGACTATAGCAGTGATGAGGGAACGCGTAATAGCCTTGGATTGAATTCGGATGGCTCACTTCCATCTTGGGTAAAACAGCCTCAGTCACCAGCTCGATCAAACTACTACAATCACCCAAGTCCGATCCTTAATCAAAACTCTCACCCTTTCAGGTCTTCGCCTCCTGAATTGAATATCCGATCAGACATGCGCGCTACTCCCAACACTTCTTCCTCGCCATTACCCGCTCGACCGGCGAACCTATATGCCTTCGGTGACAAAGAGACACAAGAACTATTGGTTTCTGGCCCTAATGAAAACATCGTCATCGACGAGCCGCCAGCAGCACATGCTCCCCAATCAAATGTGCCTGAAAATCAAGATTCTGCATCCATGTCAAGCGCTCCGGGCGGTCCCATCGGTCGAGGACGGCAAACAATGCTTGAGAAGCTCTCAATCGTCGGTTCAAAAGGCAAGCTTACCGACACTCCTCGCGAAACCAGTACGTGCAAGACAATTAGGAGTGTTACAAGCACTATCAGTCCCAGTGTGAGACAAAGTTCGGCCGTTGGCCGACAAAGCTCCCGTTCAGACTACACTGGGTTTTATGCATCGCCGTTTCCTGCTACTGGCAGTGTCACGCGGATAAGCCAGCATCAATCAACTCATGGGCTAAAGCATAGCCGGGCGTCATCTGAGATGACTCTCTTTCCTAGTTCAAAGGCATTGAGACAAGCGCAAGAGACCTATTCGCCTCTTGATGGTTGTCGGGACCTCCGGAACTCGACTACTTTTGTACGAAATCAACGTCGCACGAGTCGATCCGCTGTACCAGGTCAGACAAAACTACGGGAAATGTTTCTATCGCCTGAAGCTCGATCAACTTCTTCGACAAAACGCACTCATATCACGCACGTTGTGGGTGGCGATCGTCCATCGACTAGTGATACGAACACACCTCTACATCGCTCATTCTCCAGCCTCGAGATTTACCCAGCTACCTCTCGAAGCACCATTGGCTACATACACTCGCCTCACTTGCTCTGTGTAGAACGTAAAGTTAACCCTGAAGATGAGGAAAGAAGGCGTAAGCTTTCTTGGATGATATTCGCGGCGTTTTGCGTGCTTCCACCGGCTATCATTCTCTTTCGCTTCATGGGAGACAGCGTCATCGCTTCAATGACGGACGGTCATCTTGGTCACTGCACGCCATATTCAAAGAGGATGGCGCTTATTGCCGGCATCGCAGTTAACATTAGCCTTGTTATTGCGGCACTTGTGCCAGTGTTGGTTGTGCATGCGCTGAGCGCTGCATAAGGGCCAGTGTGGAAGCCAAGAAAGCGTAAGGAACATTGTTACAAGAGTGGAACACGAATTGACAAACGGCAGCACTCGGTCCAATTGGCAACACACTCAAGGATTCTCTGCTGAATCAGAGCACAAATTCAACACTCTGGAGAGCACTTTCAGTCGCAATCACCATCGCATGGCGTCTACCCTTTTTCTCAAAAGTCATATCTTTATTTCTTTTTCTATTTTGTATTAAATAACCAGGGTTTCATGTATTTTCAAGACATGGCCATCCAGACTCTCACTTTCTTCCTTTCCTATGTCTGGGTTTGATGGTTGCATAATTGGTGGGTAGGGTAATGGCTTTTGAGGCAGTATGGGAGTTCTTTTTTTTCTTCAACAGGCTCTGTATCTAAATGTCGTTGGACTTGGTCACTTGACTTGTCCGGTCCGAGTGAAAACTTCGACTTTAGGTGTACATTTTTTTTCTTTTCGTTTCTTTTCTTGAAAAGCGTAAATGGGATGCATGGAGGTATTTGAGGATAGAAACGAGAGCTGACTTGTTTGGCTTGGTCCGGCTTGAGGGGGAGACTACCACACTTTGTTGATGAGATTAACCTCTTATGTTCCTTGGGTGGAAGTAATCAAGCACTTTTACTATTTTTCTGGCTTTGTGATGTCAAGTGTCTATCTAGTCTATTTCTCTCCCAGTTCACTAGATGACGTCACTTTTAGAGCCAAAAATCGTACAAACGTATACTGTCAATATTTTACATTGATTCATTTCATCTCTATACTAACGGCATCATCTTGAGCCGATATTATCGCTAAAAAAAACAAATGGCATAATCAACTAGTTTATATTTTTGACTCCTTGGTCAAATCCGCAATCTGCAACACAGCTTTACCAAAATTCTTACCCTCCAGCATACCCAAGAAGCCGTCAACCGCATTATCAATGCCCTCGGTAACGCTAATCTGTGCCTTGAAGGTACCATCCGCTAGCCACTTCTGTAGCTTCTCCTGGTGCTCCTTAGCGTGCTTAGGTCCCATGTTTGCGTCGCCGACGATGAAGCCGCGCATGGTGATGCGCTTGGTGACCATGTTCATGAGATTGCGGATGGGGTAGAGTTCCTCAGGCTTGCAGTTGTACTGGGAGATCATGCCGCAGGCGATGATGCGACCGAAGGTGTTCATGGCGTTGATGGCGGCTTCGAGTTGCTCGCCACCAACGTTTTCGTAGTAGATGTCAATACCCTTTGGTGCGAGGCGGGCGAGGGCATCAGCGGGCTTCTCCTTCTTGTAGTTGAAGCCGGAGTCGAACTTGAGATCGTTGGTGATGAATTCGAGCTTCTTGTCGTCGCCGACGCTGCCGATGACGGTGAGGCCCTCGTGCTTGGCGAGTTGACCAACGATCTGGCCGACGGCGCCCGAGGCAGCGGAGATGAAGATTGTTTCGCCCTTCTTGGGCTGGCCGATCTCGTAGAAGGAGGACCAGGCGGTCAGACCGGGCATGCCGAGGGGGCCGAGGAAGAACTTGGGGTCCAGGTTGTAGGGGTTCTCGAGCTTTTTGCAGATATCGGCGGCAGCCTTGTCGAGAACAGAGTACTCCTCAATGGGGGTGACGCTCATTGTAATCAGTGTCTCGCCCTCGCTGAACTTTTGGTTGTTGGACTTGACGACCTTGAAGATGGAGCGGTTGGTCATGGGCTTGCCCTGCTCAAAGGGAGGAACGTATGACTCGGTTCCGGGAGCACGCATGCGTCCACGCTGGTAAGGGTCGAACGAGGCATAAAAGTTCTTGACGAGAATAGAGCCCTCGGGCAGGTCCTGGTTGAGGTCGATTGGGCGGTCCTCAACGGCGATGTGCTCGCCAGGCTTTGGCCAGCCCTCAGGCACCTTCTTGAAAATGAGACCCTTATTCTGAACCATGGTGAAGTTTTGTGTTGTTGGAGTATCGAATGCAAAAAATAAAATCTAGACTGGGTATCAAATGAGAATAGAGGTTGTTATTGCAAGAGGTTGAAACAGGATTGATATGGTATGAGTAGTAGAAAAGAAGGGCAGCAACAAGCACCTATATAGTGGCAGTAGAACGTAATACTAAGCAAACAAATGATTTCACGGCCGAGAAAAAAGATCCTTCTTGCATCATCTGGATCTGTAATCCAGGGCCGCTGGGGCCTGGGCAGGCCCTTGCACAGCAGGGCATTTCGGGCAGTAACCGGCAAGTGGCGCAACCTAGTCGTTGCTGTGCAAGGAAGGTGTCTCGATGTGGAGGGAGGAGACTTGTCGGGGTTGCAGAATCTTCAAGACAGCAGAGGAAGACACGAAGCCATGACGAGCGTCGCGCCGGGGAGATACCGGCTTAGGAAAGGTGCCCGTCGAGAGGGTAGGGCTGATGAGCCGAGGCAAGTGGGGCAGTGATTGGTAATGGAGGGGTTGAGCAAGAGGACCCTCTCTCTATCCACCTCAGCGGTGAGTCCGGAGTGTGAGTGTCACAATAAAGTTCTGACCGTACACAAAGCTTAGCAGCAGCTTCTTGTCTCAAACTTCCAATAATCTATGCCGGAGTTGGTCAAGCTGACAGCGGCTGCAGTAAGCCGACGGCGCTTGTTTGGTCCGCGTGGGCACATATGCGGTACAACTCACAATTCGAGATGGGCAGACTATTCGCCGGGGATCTGATCAAGTTTGTGGTACGACGCATGTATGGTATTTGCATTCTACATACATACATACCCACGTCTACGATCCTATCATTCATGCCTGTAGTGCTTTAACCCTGGACCAGCCACGGCCCCTACACAAGATGGATACGACAAGAGCGTGTCAAGTTATGCAACTAGTCCTCATCATCCTCTTTACTATCAACGAAGAAGTCCCCATCACTTTCTTCCTCCTCGGGCTGCATGATGTTCTCGATAAGCCTGAGGGTAGCCCTAAGCGGCAGTCCCACCACATTGTCGTAGGAGCCCTCTATGCGTTCGATGAGCACTGAACCAGCCGTTTGGATGCCATATCCGCCTGCCTTGTCGTTTCCGTCGCGTGTTCTTACATATGCAAGAATAAGCTCGTCCGTCACTATCATTTGTCAGCCATGCCGCCTGTGCATTTCTCATTGGAGAGCGACTCACCGTTAGGATCGAATCTGACGGTCGTTTCCTCAATGTGCGTCTTCATAGCATAGCCCGGGACTACAGCCGACTCTAGCGGCTTCATTACCACCACGGCTGTCATGACCTTATGCTCGCCTTGATCTCTCAGCATCTTCAGCATGCCTATGTGATGTGCCTCGCTCCGTGGCTTTTCCAGTATTCGTCCGTCGTGGGAAACTATGATGGTATCGGCCGAAATTACAATTGCCGGCTCTCCGCGTTCTTCGTTGTTGAGTTCGGCTTTGTAGACGTCGAGCGCTTTGGCGGACGCGGTTTCGAGCACATAATTCAGCGCGCCCATGGAGTGGTCGAGGTTCTCGGCAAACTGCGAAGGGCATACATCGATCTTGGTCAGGCCAAGCTACTTTCATGTCAGCACATTCATTGCATGCATGCGAGGCGGCGGGCGTCTGGGTGCATACCTGCGCAAGCAGCTGTCTCCTTCTTGGTGATTTGCTTGCAAGGACGACCCTGGACCCTCTCAGCTGGTTCAGCGCGGGTAAGCTGAGCGGTGGCGGAGGGCCGGGAGGCGGTCTTTTGCCTGGCGCTGCGCCCGAGGCTGATCTGTTGTGGGCAAGAGGCGATTTGCGTACATCTTCGTATGAGGGTGGAGGATCCGATGGGAGTAGTGGTTCCTTGGCGTCCATTGTAGCGATATGACAATCAATAGCGACTACAGTCCGACACAAAACGTATGTAGAGTATAAAAAATGGTCTAATGGATGGGCGCAGGTCAATTATGCGGTGTTGGGTGGCTGGTAATGTCTGTTGTTTGTGTGCTATCAACGAGTCCGGGAAGTCGACAGGCCCCGGCCCAAGCTTCCTGCCTCAACATTGACGGTAGGTGCAGCGCAGATCTGCTTTACATCTGCTTTTCCTTTGCAACAGTAGTAGCGTATATCACATTCGCGATTCCTCGGAATGTATAATAGACTGTCACCAGACGCCGGTGTTGTCTTCTAAAAGCTGTTGTTCAGGGGCATCGCAGTCGTGCTTGGCGCAGGGTACACCTCGCATCATCTCGCAAGACCAGAGTCGACAAACATCTTTACGAGCCTTATCTACACTCCGAGATAATGACTACTGCATCTATCGTACAAAAAGGAAATTCTATATTTGGCCTCCGACTTTTTGTTGGGGAGCCGGCGTAAGTATTTTAAGTAAAAAAGCACGAGCAATCTTTTTTGGCGACTCGATACCGGTCACTAGTTGTGAGCTTAAAAACCGTGGCAACGGTTTTTTGGCTAACCAAAATGCTTACACACTGTATCCCTGGTTGGATAAATCGTTCTTAGACTAGAATGCCAGCCTGCGCCTTGCAGTCTTTGTTAGCGAATGCTAAAAATTGAAATTATCTCGTGTTCAAACCCGGCCACACTGATATCGTGTACAAGATGCTAGACCCATTTGGGTAAGCATCTTTGCTTGGATAATAGGGGCTTGTATAATTTCAAAGTACTACATATTTTCTTCAACAGCTTGCGATCAACGCGTTCAGCACTCTATACACACTTCTTTTCTTTTCTTTTCTTTTCTCCTCTAATAGGACCCTTTGTTTTGAAGCGGGAAGCGCTGTTTACGACGACTAGCTATAATGGCTAGCAAAAAATATGATGATGATATTGAGATGAACGACATAGACCAGGACTCGAGTGAAAGGGAGGCCTTCCTACAGAAGCCTGTAGCACTTATCGCGGAAGAAAACACAGGCAGACTTATCTCGCAGCTTGAAAATCATTCTGCTGCTGCTGTGCTGGCCTACTGCTTTTCTTCAATCAGCATGACAGTCGTGAACAAGTATGTCGTCTCCGGCTCGTCGTGGAACCTTAACTTCCTCTACCTAGCCATCCAGGTATGTAGTCCCCTGTCTCACAACGATCAAGTCTTGATGCCACTCCAAAAAAAAACAAAGATGCAAAATTGCTGACAGCTACGTAATCAGGCTATTATTTGCACGGCTGCAATCCTCATTCTAAAGCAGATGGGCACGATTCCTAACCTTGTTGCTGTGGAAAGCGGCAAGGCCAAAAAATGTATGTGTCTGCAAAATATGTTAACGTCGAACCTGGCAACCACTTGTCATCTACTAACACCGCACCAGGGCTCCCAGTGTCCTTGTTCTTCGTCGGCATGATCTATACCAGCACCAAGGCTCTCCAGTTTCTTTCCGTCCCCGTCTACACGATTTTCAAGAACCTAACCATTGTCGTCATTGCCTATGGCGAAGTCTTGTGGTTTGGCGGCAAAGTAACTCCCTTGCTCCTACTGTCTTTTGGCCTCATGGTACTCAGCTCCATCATTGCCGCTTGGGCCGATATCCAAGTCGTCCTCCACGGCGGCGTTGGAGACAAGACGCAGACTGCAGATGACGCCATGTCAACGTTAAACGCAGGCTACATCTGGATGGGTCTCAACATCATCTGCAGTGCCTCTTATGTCCTGGGCACGCGCAAGTACATTACCTCGCTACAGTTCAAAGACTGGGATAGTAAGTCTCTACTCTATGCGTCCCTATTCCTACGCTTAGCCGTTTTTCTTTCTTTTTCTTTTTTCGTTTGGAAACGATCCGATCTAATCAAACACTCTTCCAACAGCAATGTACTACAATAACCTGCTCTCCCTCCCCATTCTTCTCGCCTGCTCTTTCATCACCGAAGACTACTCTTCCGCCAATCTCTCGCGTAACTTTCCCGTGGAAACGCGCACCAACCTCATTGTTGGCATGATTTACTCTGGTCTGGGCGCAATCTTCATCTCCTACTCGTCTGCATGGTGCATCCGCAAAACGTCATCGACAACGTATTCGTTTGTAGGGTACCTGAACAAGCTGCCGCTTGCGATTAGTGGCATTGTCTTCTTCGGCGCTCCGGTGACATTTGGTAGCGTGACGGCGATCTTGCTGGGCTTCTTTAGTGGCCTTGTGTACGGCTACGGCAAGGTGCAGATGAAGAAGGAGCAACCGACTCTGCCAACGTCGCAAAAATAAGCGTTCGTTTTAGTAGGACTACGGGCCGTTTGCATAAAACGCTGTAATCAAAACATGTGTGCACAACTTGTTTCCAACGGTCGAATCCTTGACTGACCTCATTTATTTGAATCCGCCCAAGACAAACATTCTTCATGCTCTAAAAACAAAACAATGGATCCACTTCATGTATGAGCGTGCCAATCGGCCCTATCAAAGCCTGTTGACCCTCGTCATTATGCGCATGGTCCCTGACTCGGAAATGAACCAGAGTACAAACGACGTAACACAGTGGCAACACGTCGGAATTTTGTACTCGATGCGGTACTTCAATGTATGTAGTACTACGTGTATTGCGCAGAATCAAAACAACTCAAGTTTGGCAGGGTGGAGCCTGCTGATATTTATAGCAGCTCTTTGTAGTATCTCATGTTTCGACAGCTATGTATGTAGTTGCACATACTACGTGGCAATGCTAAATAAGGGTACGCTACTGCGCTTGGAAAGTCCAGCCCAAAAAAGCAGACTAGATAACGTACCCACGTTAACATGTTAATGCATCCCAACCGATGCTGTGCTTCAAGAATGATTGTAAGCCTGCAATAGAGCCATGAGCTCTCTTGTTTCTTCGGCTGTGAGGTTCTGTCCTTGCCCAGGGGGAGCGGCCGGTGACGACTAATCATCCGACTTCATCTCTACATCGCGTTTCTCTGTTTCTTGTTCTCCCGCTGCAGTGCCCTCTTTGGACTCTTCACTACCTCCCTTGGCACCGTCATTCTCTGCTCCTTCTTGGCTTGACTCTTTGTCCTTGACTTGTGTGTCCATAGATGCCGAGGGCTCTGGGGTTTTGCGGTCAAGACTTGGCCTCCCAATAGCACCCTCAATATCGAGCTTTCCATCTCGCTGGGGTCCTGTGTCTTCCATTCCGATAATCTCTGGACCACGGGCATGCGGAACTTCCTCTTCGCCTTCGACTGTCTCCATGATGGAAGGCCCGCCTTGAACGTCACCAAATGTAGTCTTTGCCGAGTTGGACGTTATGCTGTGAGGGTTGTTGAGCACGATTCCGGCCTCTTGCTCCTGGCGTAGCAGTTCGCCCTGGGTGACTGGGCCAGTAGACGGCAAGGTTTCACCATCGGGGTGTGACGAGGCAATCTGGGCTACGCTTGTAGGATTCTCTGGTTGTGCAGTGTTAGCCAGCATGCCTACAGTCACGGTCTCTATCCGGCCTGCACCATTGGGTCCGTCGACCATCTCTGTGCTCTCTGAGATCAACTCGTTCTGCCCTCGGTTCTGCAACCAGGGAATGGGAGTCAGCAAGGCGCCGCCTAGTGATTCGTCAGAACCGAGGGGCGCTGGCTGGGGCGTGGTGCTGGATGTAGCTCCATTGAGCAGGCCGCTCGCAGTGGGCAGAACGGCCTGTGGAAGTGGGAACACGGTGAGGGGCGACGACACGGAAACGACACGGTCGAGGGCGCGTAGGTAGGGTGGGAGGAATCGGTAGCGCTTCTTGGGCTCAAGTATGAGCTCGGCTAGGCGCTGGATGGTATGCGGAGGGTGCTTTGGAAAGTTCTTGGAGAGGGTGGTGCGTATTGCCGAGTAAAAGGTGTTGATGTCTGCTGAAATACCTTGAGGCTCGGTTGCTGCGGAGAAGGAGGGCACGGGTGGGCGGGGAGGAGTTGCAGGTGGGGCATTTTCCTTGTCGGTAGCATGCGAGTCTTGACTGGAAAGAGCGTTGGAGGTGCCTGGGCGCGAGGGCAGATCTGTGATTGCAGATGCGGGCGGGTTTGGAGTTGTATCTGTAGGTGGCTTGGGGAATTCTGCGATGATCTGGGGAGTGGGTTAGCGGTGGCTGCCTTGGTGGTAGTAGTGGTGGATGTGCTGGTGGTGGTGGTACCTCGTCAAGGCGCTGGAGTATATACTGCAGCGTGGCAGGCCACTCTGCTCTGGAGTCGTGCGCGCGTTAGCTGGGCCAATGCGCCCACAACGACGGGGACGACGACTTACGAGTCGAGCGAGCCATGTTCGGCCGCGTGCTGGAGAATGGACTCGGCTGTAGGAGGATGAGCGGGTCGAGTGTTGCAGCGGGCGTAGAGCGTATAGACTCACCGGAGGGCATGCCGGGCAGGGCGAGGTGGCTTCGGAATGCTGTATAGCGACAGTGGAGTGCTCTCTGAACGCGACGACACGGCTGTTCTCGCGGCAATTTGTCGGCGGTGCCGGTGCTGAGACGCAGGCCCTGGGCAGTGCGCGTCGTTGATGATGCAAACGCTTCGAGGGGCAATTGGCCAGCGCCGGGCTCAACGCCTATCTTGTCTGTTCATGTTGGGGCTCTGGGGCTGGGGGAGCAGAATGACGGCAGATTGCAGGCTATTCTTGTCTGCAGCCGGCCAATGGCAGGTGTGGCTGGAGCTGTGCCAAGCAGCGGGCGGTGCAGCGAGCGGGAGGCGCAGTCCGAGTGGGCAACAGGTGCCTTGTGCAGCGCCTCGACCATGTGCTTGTGCTGTGCAGGGCTTGTGCCTGTACCGTGTCTGAGCCAGAAAGGCCGCTGGTCAAAAGGCTCCGTCACGGCGCCGGTCTTCTCCTTTGCTCCCACATGTCCTCCAATATCGCCGTCAGACCGTGTTATACTAGAGACACAAAGTCAAATGCACACGCCCAACCCGCCCAACCCGCCACTCGCCAGGTCCTAGCAGCGCTGCACCGTCCACCGTCGCCAACAACCCGCTCCCGGCTAGCGGCTCCCACGGCGACCAGACCCCGTCAGCCTTCCCAGTCGTCGTCTCCACATCTACCTGCGCATACGCCTGGCCGGCCTACCAAGCGCTACTTTCGCTCTGCTGCACCACCCCATCATCTCCATCGCCTAGTCCATCTCCATCTCCGTCTTGTCCCATCCTTTTCTTATCCCGCCGTTCGCTCCTCGTCTCTGCCACCTCACCACGCCCTCGCAGCCCACCCCAGCCCGTCGCTTGTGTTCCCTCGCCAGCTGCCACTGCCACTACTTATTACTCGTCGTCTTCGGCCTCTCCGCACAGCCAAGCCCTGCCTAGTTTCAGCGACGCGCGCCCGCCAGACGCCCCCCAACCTAAAGCGACTCGTCTGGTTTCACCTCTTCTTTCGGTGCGCACACAGCGTCTCACCTGTCCCCGGCAGCCCTACAAACCGCCTGCCGCCTCTGTCCTCACCTACCACAGTTCGTCTGTGCCCGAAAAGCAAGTCTCTCCCCGCCAAACACGCCTATATCCACACGCTTTCAGCCGCCGCCAGCGGCTGATACTACGGCCAAAATTACTCACCACGAAGCCCGCACATCCCTCCTAGGAGGCCAACCTCTCAGCCGCAATTACCCACCCTACGCTAACAGCACCTACCAACAACATTATCAACAACCGCCCAACCTGGATACCCAGCCCGGAGGCTATCACCATCGTGAGGGCTTCCCCACGACTCTGCCGCCGCCCGTCCGACGTCCACCCAGAATGTACATTCCCAACACACGCTGGACCTGGGCTTTCATGCTCACGGCCATTGCCCAGGTCTCCATCGCCCTTGCCCTAGAATCGTGCGCCTTTCCCCTTTACCCCATCTACAACCGCAGTCAACTAACACGGCCTCAGCTATGTCTTTGGTAAATTCCAAAACGAGATCCACTTCGCCGCCGAAGGCGCAGGTGCAAACGAAACGCGCACCATCCCTACATTCCTTGCCGTCTTCATGTTTGGTTACATCTACCAACTCTTCCTCACATGGGACGCCTTGCGCCTCAAGAACACTATCCAAGTCATCGGCCTCGTTCTCTACAACATCGGTATTCTCGTCTACGCCGGTATCCAGTTCGACCAGATCAAAGATGCAGCCGACGACCTCAACGACAGCGCCTTCATTCCCGCCTTCTTCTGGGCAGACGTCAAGCCCATGCTGATTGCTCTTCCCTGCCTCATGGCTCTCGCTACCGTGATCTTTGCCTTTGAAGCCTGGAAGCTGTATGACGAGTTTGCCTGGACAATCTACAAGCGCATCAGCGCCGATACACGCCTCAAAAAACGCTATCTGACTTACCAGGTATTTAATTCCCCGACAGATGAACTCTATCCGAGCGCCCTGCTGACCCTTGCAGATTTATATTGCTCTTTTGAAGTTTGACTTCTTCTTTTTCCTGGCCTTCACCGTACAGTTTCTCGTCGTGGTTGAAAACACAAAGACGGTCGAACAAGCCCTTACCGCCGCCGCCCTCGTCATCACTTTCTTCCTTTTGTTCCTCGCTGGTTGGTGGGTCCGTCGCGAGTCTTTTGCCGGCATGATTAGCATCATCATTGTCTATTTCATTGCCATGGGCTACTTCCTGTTCAAACTCATCCGAATGTGGGTTGCCGACACTAACCGCCAGGAGGACTACAAGCCAGCCCGCAAGTCTCTGACTGCGTTTGCCATCCTCACAATTCTGCTACTCATGTTCACCATTGTAACGGCATGTCTGTGCACGCACAACTTCAACAAGGGCCTCAAGCCTCACATCAACGACAAGGTTGTGCAAAACGACAAGCCATACAGCACAGAGATGCCATCACTGAGTGGACCAGTCCCGTCGCAGCGGATGGAGATTGATTAAGTCGCCTTTTCTACATACCCAATTTACGCAAAAAAAGAATAATTAAATTACGACATGAATTCTTGGATACCCGCGTTTCGTGAGCACAGCTCTGATCATACACAGACAAGATCAGCTGGCCTGGCGTTATTTCATCTTGGAATCTGCCTTCGGGTGATAGGCGGTGAGATCGAGACACAGATGGGCCTGGATGGGATCTGATGTCGTATCCAAGCACCACGTGTAATACTATATCCGCGCCACTTCTGTTTTGTTTTCTTTTTCCTTCTTTTTATTCTCTTTTTTCCCACATGCAAGAACCGTTGTACAACACAGGTCTCGCATTTTGTAACTAGTTGTCTGCTCATACTATACCCCACCATGAACAGACGAGTCGCGAAACTGAATTGAGTTATGATCTTTCTCCAAACTTTACCCTGTGGCTTGAAGCCTAGACCATGACAAAGTAGGGCCTTTTTGTAGTCGGTTGCGTAAAGAATTGTTTGCACTGGAGAAGGGGGTGGGAATCAGGGGTCAAGCTAAGTTCCCCGACCGCCATGTGCGGCGCGGACCCTGCTGCACTACCGACATCATCGGTCCCGCAAGCTGACCGAACTACCTTTCTCAATTGTCCAACTTTCTTTTTCACACAACACAGCCATCTCCACTCCTCCAACTGTTGCGGTGTGTCGCCCTTGACCGCTTATATATCCTTTACATCGCCTCTTCTAAGCAAATACATTGCACACCTTTCTCAAAATGGCGTTCCGCTGGTATGTCGCACTGAAATAATCGGTCAACAGTCAAGGGAGTCAACGCTGATCGAGATGCCAGGTACCAATCAAAGCTGAGGACATCACCACTCCTGACGCAGAGTATCACTACTGCGGTACGCATTCTCTCGCCCCTTGACCTCTCGATCCTCAATCCATCTCCTTTTGCGCCCACGCACAACACGAAGACGATAAGGCCAGAACGTGTGTCAAAAAGCCTTATCCTCGGGAACTAGGCTTAGGGATGGATTGGGGGGAATAGATGAAGGCATTGAACAATGCTGACATATAATAGGTGCTCTTTGCAACTGGCGACACAATGGCACAGCAGGGTGTAGAAAGAAGAGGTCTTGACAAACACGACCTAATGCGGACAGGTCGTATGGCCGCCTATGGAGGATGTATGTCACCCGCTCTGCCTTGTTCAATGACACGACATTTCTTTTTCCAACACAAGCTCCATCTATCGGTTGCTAACAGTCCTTCCGCAGGCATCTTCGGCCCCGCCGCCACAACATGGTTCGGTTTCCTTGTGCGCCGTGTAAACTTGCCATCCAAGAACGGTACCATTGTTGCGCGCGTCGCCTGCGATCAGTTCCTCTTTGCGCCCGTCAACATGACAGTCTTCTTGTCCAGCATGGCCTATATGGAGGGCAACTCACCTACGCAGCGCCTCAAGGACGCCTTCGTGCCTGGATACCAAAAGAATTTGATGATCTGGCCCTGGGTCCAGTTTGCAAACTTCAAGTATGTCCCTGCTGAGATGAGGGTCTTGGTTGTCAACATCATCTCGCTCGGTAAGTTACGCACACAGACCTCCTATTCACCCTTTTTTTTTAATTGGTAGTTGGACTCGAGGCTAACACACGGGGTTTCCAATAGGATGGAACTGCTACCTCAGCTACCTCAACTCTGCTGGTGGCAAGAAGCCCGCTCTGCCAGTTGGTGAGACCAAGGAAGGTGGTCAATTGCCTCCCTCATAAAAAAAAGCCACACTTTGAGAAGTTGGGCCATAATGCATACATAGATTTTAGTAGGGTTTGGGAAAATTGTAATTATGTCGAGGCAGGGAAGACAAAAAGCGAGTTAGGGCAATTCTGTACAGGGATGATACCCAGATTTTATAGAATCGTGTCATTTTTAGTAGAGTGTGAATTCAAGAATCCCAAGTCGAATTTTGCTTTGCGTTGTTTTGTTCAGTGAGGCGTGTTGATGCTTGGGATATATTTTCTTGTACTCGACCTTGCTGTCATTTCAAATAACACCATCTGTGGTTGTTCTATATTTTTCTACGCCACTAAGTAAGGTCCTGGTTATGTATTTGTGGTCTTGAATCTCAACCATTCATCTTATTCTCTCTCATTCGTACATCTGAAGCCATTTTGTATCTTGCTTATTGCATTGCATTGATCAAGTATATTACCAGCATACAAAATGTAGCTACCCCCCTTTTCTTTGTCCTCACAATACGTATTCACTCACGCATGCGTACTTGTATTTAAATTCTACCATACGTGCGATTTCCCCAAGGATAAACTTAGATCATATAGAAGCTAAATACATAGATTTAAAAAAATGAGCATTTATAGAGTGATTTCTTCTATATCTAAAAAAGTACCTGAAATTGCTATGCGTATGCAAGAGGAGATATGATGTTGCCCTTTATCTTAGACACGGAGTATGGAAAAGAAATACATATCTATTACTCGAATAGTTCAATAACGTATCTGTATAGCGAGTCGGTCAGTAGACCGAAGCGGTCACTCTGCCAAGACCCCACCAAACACCACGACTAATATAGACTGTTGCAACGCAGCTACAGTAGTAAATTGAAATCGTAGTAGGCTATCCTATTTAGAATCTATCACTTCTACTTGCTTGCATGTGCGCGTATTATGCCCTGCCTCACCGCAGCGTCCACAGCGCCTTTGCTCTGGCTCGCCCACCTTAGCGCGCACTCTCTTCTTTGCCTTCTTCCTATCACCACGCACGCCAGACTCTTTTAGAGCTGCTAATTGCTCTCCTTCTTTAACTATTAGGGCCCCCTCTCTCTGTAATCGCTTTCTTTTATACGATCTTCGTCGCGTAGCGGCTTTGTTAGCTGCTTCAAGTTTAGAGACACGTTTTTGCGCCAACACCAGCTTCTGCGCGATAATCGCAGCGCCTTTAGCTAGCTTTTCAAAGGCAACTACTATACTTAATAGTGAGCTATCTATATGTCTCTGAATCCTCTGCTTCACTAGCGTCGATTGCGACCCTAGTTCTAGGGTATTACTTGGAGTTTGCGACAGCCAGGGTAGATTTTCTATAGCAGGTGGTGTTGGCGTACGCAGCTTGATATCAAGCTTCGATATCACCACCTCTAGGTTATGTGGAACTAATCCAGCGCCTCGAAATCCTCCTAAGATATTATCTTTTGTAATAGTCTTGCTATAGGCCTGCTGGAAGGCTGGGAGGAACTCAATCTTAGTTATATGGTTGATTCTATTGCGTATCATCTCCTCAGCTTAGCGCCCATACGCCCTCTTTAAAGGCGAGAAACAGCCCACATCAAGCGGCTGTAGTAGATGAGAGGAGTGGGGAGGCATATAAAGAGTGATAATCTTTACCTCCTTACAGTATTGTTAGAACTTAAGCGAGTCGTAGCTCTCATGACCGTCAAGAATAAGTAGACGATAGGCTCCAATAGTGCGCTCTTTTATATGCCTGTCAAAGTGCTCCAGCCACTTCATACCAAGCTCATTCGTCGTCTAGCCGTTCTTGGAGACCCCGATAAGCCAGTCTCTAGGCAGGCTATCCTCCTTGTACCAGGCAGAGAGGTGGTGCTTGCCTTAAAAGATAATAAAGGGTGGGATCGCCTAGCCAGCTGCGCTGACACAAACTACGCTGGTGACCTACTCCCGGTTGCCCTGCTGTAAGGATTTTGGCTTTAATCGACGTTCAGAGGCTGTGACTACTACTGACGTGTTATGCATGCCCATTATGAAGCCTGTCTCATCAAAATTATACGTATCGTCGTCCTAGATCCTATACTTAGCTTTAGTATTCTGTACTAGACAGAACCAGCCCTACATAAGCTCAGGATCCTCACAGAGGGCTCTCCTATAGTCGTACTTTCGATTAAACTTTATTTTAAGCTCTGGGCGACGCTTTATGAATGCTTTAGGCCAGTTTGGGCCAACAGGGTCGCGGTGGCGGGCAGCTAGCAAAGAATCAGCTAGATCTTTAACAGCAGGAAGGCGTAGTGGAAATCCTCGCGCATCAAGGTCTAGTATATAGTCGACAATCGTCTCCTCTTCTGTCATAAGAAGTTTCATTGAGTTAGGCGTACAATCTTGTCTAGAGAGCTTTCCAGCAAGTCGATCACTAAGAGTGCTTTAGGAGACGCTATAGATTGCCGCAGCGCGTCGCTGGCTAAGTGTCGCGTCACGTTGGATAGCCTGTATTGCAAGCTGTAATTAAGATTCTTTTGAAGAGTTTTGCACGTTATTGCGTGGAGGCATCACGTATGGTAGTCAAAGTTGGTGGGGTCTTGGCAGAGTGACCGCTTCGGTCTACTGACCGACTCGCTATACAGATACGTTAATGGACGATATAATAATGAACAACAACAACATCAAAGCAAGTCAAGCATATTCAAAAAAGGTCACAAGTTAATGACGTTACGAATTCCCATCTTTGTCTCCCAAGCTACTGAAATATTAAACGATGAAACCAAAAAAGAGCCCGATGATATTGTTTGTATACACACTACACTACACTAGATATATTTTTTTATTCTCCTCCTTCACTTTGGTACTAGAATATTTTGCGATGCAAAACCAAAGTAAAAAAAAAAACCCCCCTCGCCTCGATCTCTTTCTCAATGTAACCGGTGTAGCTATATATGTGCATGAGAGAGGAAGGAAAAGATGGAAGCCAAGAAGAGTAGAAGATTAACTAACAAGATACTCAACACTTGGACATGGACGAGGTGGTCAAGACTTTGGCACACACACAAACACACACACACATACATACACACACACATACAACATACGCAACACGCACACATATACACCTCCTTTAGTCCAAATCCAGATGGAGCATAAAAGCTAGGCCAAACGCATCCTTGAAAAAAACCAGAGATAAAAAAATAGAGAGGCAGCAAACCCCCCTTCATTTACTGCTAAATAGAGAACAAGAAAAAGGTTGTTTAAATCGAACTAGTACGTCCATAGAGATTGGAGGAAAAAAGAAAAACGCCTGATTCTTATGCAGGAAAAAAAAACAAAAAAAAACAGAAACAATAAATTAGCCTCTGGCATTTCCATCCACAGCACAGTAAGATATGTAGGCCCCAAAAGAACCAACAACAACAACAACCGGAGAAAGAGAAAACAACAACAACAACGCGCGCTGATGAATGTCCAGAAAACGGCATTTGCGTATGCTTATGCGTACGCGTACGCGCGGGATGATGGGTGTGGGTGGTATCCAGCAAACACTCGAGAGAGAGAGGAAACATTTGAACAAGAGAAGAGAGGAAAAAAAAACAGTAGTCCAAACAAGAGTGGTGTGAGAACAAGTAGAGAGAAAAAAAGACAAGAGAAGAAAAGAAGAAGAAGAAGAAGAACCCCGCCCCGCCTTGCCTTGCTCCCAATTGCGCCCTGGTCTGAACACTCTAAGAAACACGCACACACAACCCCAAAAAACGTCTTTCTTGGGACCGACCCGCTTGTCCAGCACGCGTTGCGAAAAAGCGACTGCCCCACACATCTTTTTGCTCTCAGGGAAGGCAAACAAAAACTTTATCCAACCGCTCTTCTTGCCAAATGCCAATCAAGTATTGTTGTGTTTTGCTGCACATCGTTGCAAAAATAAAAAAAACTTGACCTCAATTTCAATCAACGGCTACTCGTCCTCTGCTTGCCCATGCGCCTAAAGAAATCCATAACCTTCTTAGAGCTGCCAGAGCTTCCCTTGTTCGCAGAACCCTGCTCGTCATAAGCATCAGCAAAGCGTCTGCTCTTTTGTAGCACGCCCTTTCTGTGCTGTTGCTGGCTGAATTCGTCTCCTCCCATTCCTGCAGGGTAAGGATTGGATGTGTTTCTTTGATTAAATTGCTGGGATGTTGACATGCGACCACGACCGTTGGTTTCGCTAGCATCTGAATCATCGCCAGGTTGCTGGTATGGACGGTTACCCTTCGCAGCTGGGTGGGCTTCCTGGGGGTTGGGAAACTTCTCGTCAAACTCAGGAACCGACTGGTTGTAGCCATTGAAGTGCGTCTGGTTTGGTGGTGCAGATGATGGACCAGCTGCATTCAGGTGCGGGTTCCTCCTGTCCTGGTGGCCATCATAAAAGCCGGGCATGTTACTTTCCTGAGTACTCTGACTAGGAGACCTGGACAAACCGCCACGGCCAAAACCCATGCCTCCTGGACGCGAGCTAGCACGAGGGCGAGAGCTCGAGGGGCGGCGCTCGTGCGAGGATTGTGAGGGCGCACCCTCTCGCTGAGACGTAAAGGTCCTGGACAAGGACGACGGGATGAGAGAGAAGCGTCGCGACGGTTTCGGGTTGTCGCCATTGTTTGCGTTGTTATTGCTGCTGCTGCTGTTGTTCTTCCTGGAAAAGCCAAAAGAGGTACGGCGACTGGACTCCATGCTCGGCCTGGCGTTTGTGGTTGTACCTGTGATTGCACTGATGTTGTCATTAGAAATGGGCCCTGCCATGGATGTTGGGGGATAGCTCTTTTGCTTCCTATCGTCAGGGTAACCATATGAACCTTGAGATGTCAGAGACGCTTTGGGGTCCTGAGTGTATGAATTCTGGCGACCAGAGAACATGGATGTCATACGTCCAAGAGTTTCAGTCACAGTGTTGGAACGCCTGTGAGTGCTCTTTGCACCATGTGGTCCCATTTGTACCGACTGTGTTCGTTGCGCGCTTGGCTGGCCGATGTTGGGTGCCTCTGCAGCTTCCGAAGAGTCGTGCTGTGGCTGTGCATAAGGCGTGGATATCGAGTATTGCTTGCCCTTGGGTTGCGAGAAGCGACCTTCGGCATTTGTCTGAGCCACAGCCGCAACAGATGGCTGTCCATACGAGTTTCCACGCGAGGGCAGCCTTGAAGTGCCGAGAGCACCACTTGTAGAGGGACGAGTAGCAGACGTGGGCGCGTTTCCAAACGCCGTATAGTCTGACACGGATCGCTGAGGTTCTTGCTTCCTGGTTGAAGTCTGGACAGCGCCTGACGAGCGAGAAGGCCTAGCACCTGTGGCCGACTGATGTCCATCTGTGGGCGGTATCTCGGCTTCTTTTCCGCGTGGCTTGGGCACTGCTTCCGCAGGAGGAGAGGCCTCGCCGCGTGCGGTTTGCGAAGACGGCGCAACGTATTCGACTTGGACGGTTCGTCGCTTGGTATCGCGAGTAGCCTTGGGTTTGTCGGCGGGCTGGTTGATCGCATCGCGTTTTGTCTGGAGTCCGCCGTGCGCGGACGAGGAGGTAGCGTGTGATTTTGCGGGTTCGCGAACGGAAGCGCTTCTTGCGAGGGCGGGTTGTGGCTCGAATGTGTCTTCTAGTACAATGTCAGCTGTTGTTTCTTTGACCAAATCCAAGCATGAGTATTTACTCGAGTAGACAGATGCCTGCTGGGCCTCGGCGGCGGGGGTGTTGCTCGAGGTGATGAAGCCGACCACATGGGCATAGTCGGCTAACCAGCTATGACGCGCGACTTCGAACAGATCTGCTCGTTTGCGTGGGTCGGGTACAAGAATGCGCTTGAGGAGATCCCTTGCGTGGGGTGTTACGTATTCGGGAAATGTCAATGGTGTGGATACAATGTACTTGTAGAGCAGATTGATGTTGTCACCCTCGGGGTTTGCTGGGTCGTCGTCGAAGGGAAGGTAGCCAGCCAACATGGCATACTGCATATTGTTAGTGCTTGCATTTGTTGCATTTAGTAGTAGTCGAAACGTACCAGAATGACACCACAACTCCATACATCCACCTTGCGGCCGGTGTAGAGTGAGTCGCTGACCACCAGTTCTGGCGCCGCGTAACAGGGACTTCCGCAGCTGGTCTGCATGAGATCACCGCGTCGTGATGCGTCGCTGCCATCCAAGCCCAGTGACTTCATAAAGTCCTTGTCCCCAAGTCTATACTCAATCTCCTCGCTAAGCTCATCGTTGGGATCGAAGGTGTTTGCGAAACCAAAGTCGGTGATGATAATGTTCTTGTTGCGGTCAAGTAAAAGGTTCTCGAGCTTGAGATCTCGGTGGACGATGCCCTTGCGGTGTAGGTAGCCGACACCGGAGATGAGCTGCGAGAAGAGTTTCCGTGCCGGGCCATCCTTGAGGTAACGATGGTTTAAAATGTAGTCGAATAATTCTCCGCCTGATGCATATTCTAGAATAATGCCAATATGGCGCTCAGTCTCGACCATCTCGTGAAGGCGGACAATGTTGGGGTGGTCAAGGCCTCTGAGAATGTGGATTTCGCGGTAAATCTTCTGCAGTCTGTTGGAGTTGCTGCCCAGGGTTTCACGCCGTATGAGCTTGATGGCAACCTCGATGGGGCTGTCTCGTTTCCATCCCATCTTGACCTTGCCAAACTCACCCTCGCCGAGCGTCTGGCCGAGAATGTAGTTACCAAACTTGGATCGCTTCGCGTTTTCCGACTTGGAGTGGTCCTGACGGCTTTTTCCGCCGGCCCCACGGCCGCCATCGTCGACACCCTCGCTGCCGACCAGACTCAGTCCTGTTATGGGGGTGAGGTCGGCAGCTGAAGTGACGTGGGGGCCGTCGCCCTGCCGCGCCTGTGCGCGAGCAATGTCTTCTTGGGTGTCGGAGACGATGATGCGGTTTATGACGGCACTCTCCTCGCGAGGCAGACTTGTGTTGACGGGCGGCTGGCCAATTGCCGTTGCGGAGCGGCTATGAACGGGCTGGGACCTGGCAGAGCTTCCTTGCTGCCGGGGACTGTCTTTTGCTCGGCGACGCGACTGTGAAGCATCATCGCGTTGCTGGGACGAGGCGGCGGCGCCGTTGGAGGTGCTGCGGTGCGACGAGGTCCTGGGAGGAGCCATGGGGCCGCCGGCGGTCGTGGTGGTGGCAGACATGTTTTTGGTGGCCGGCGAGGAGTGGGAGGACTGGGGCATCGGTTGCGCGCGGGACGTGTTCAGGGCGGAGTCGTGAGTCTGGGGCGTGGAAGGCGTGTTTGGCGACGCGCCATTACTGGACCGTCGCGAGGGGCGGCGAGCAGTGGCCGGCGAGGCAGCTGCGGCAGACGATTGTTGTTGTTGTTGTTGCTGCTGCTGCTGTTGTTGTTGTTGTTGTTGTTGTTGTTGTTGATGATGGTACTGCTGACCGTAGGGCGGCTGCGATGCTACAGCGGCCATTATCTGGGGCGCAGGAGTCTGGGGGATGGCGATGGCGTGTATGCAGCAGCGCAGTATGCAGCAGCGCAGACGGACTGGTGGGCTACGTTATCGGGCCCAGGTATGGGTGGACGGCCAGGTGTGGGTGGGCGTGAACTGGCGGTGTTGAGCTGTCGAATGGGCGATGGCGGGGAGACAGATGGGTTTAGTTTGCACTACCGACTGACTGTGCAGCGGACCTGCACTGTGGCACTCTGGGGGGCACAGGCTGGGCGAGGGAGGAATGGGCAGCGGTGAAATTTGAAGCTGGGTCCCGGGGCAGAGGGGGGGCGCGTGTGTTGGGGACAGGAGGAGGGTTGTAGAGTCGACTGGCTGGCAATGCCGTCGTGGTGGTGGAGAGCGCGGTGTCGAGGGCGTCTGCTGGCGTGGTAGCCCCTTCACATGCGCGTGCAGGCGTGCAGACGTGCAGACGTGCAGGGCAGGTTGTGGGCGCGGGCGCGGGTTGCGAGGGCTGGGCTGGCGTGGTGCAGCAGTGCAGCGACTTGATGCGGCTTCGGGCTAGGCGTCGCTAATGGCTGACGGGGCGTGGGCTGGCGGTTGACGTTGACTTGAGCCTTTTGACGTCTTGGGCTTTGGCCGTGGCTCTGGCGCTGGTGGCTCTGGCGCGGACCTCTGGCTCTGACTCTGCCGTGGGCGTGCTGCCTCTCAACGCTCGACTCGACTCAACTCAACTCTCGACTCGCGACTCGCGGCCTTTTCTTGGTGCACAACTCACTCGTTCGCGGTCGACAGCGCAACGACGATTGACGTGCTGCGGCGACTGCGACTGCGGCTGCGGCTGCTGACTGCTCTGTTGCTGGGCGGCGTGGGTGCAGAGGAAGAGAAGGCGCGGCGGAGGTTGGTCTCGCTGGCAATTTCGGTAAAGGGCCATGAGCGTGGGAAAGGAGACACCGCGGATGCACATCATTGACAGGGGGCCCTCATCAAACCAGCCCGCCAAAAGCATCGGCTGGTGGGCTGCTAGATGCTGCTACTTACTTGCTGGTAGTATCGACGATGACTATTCCAAGTGCGCACGAATATCCCATCCATGGACATGCTGTACATGGTAGTATAGTATGTATGTATGTATGTATGTATGGATGTACTCTACTTACTGTACTGCACTGTACTGTACTGTACTGTACCGAACATATATATCATCCCATGTATACACTAGTTAGTTACATGTACTTAGGCATACATACATGTACATGTACATATGTATAACTACACATACAGTTCTATACATACCTAAGTATATAGTCATGGCATCGGCATCCACTTGCCTGGCAAACCACCCACGAACCCTTTTTCCTTTCTCTTTCTCCAAGCGCCATCTCATCCACGCTCTCGATGCGCCCCAGGGCCGGCGGCTGCTGCTGCTGCTGCTACTGTTGCTAGCTGGCGCCATGGTGGCCCACTATGTATTTCCTCTCATGGCCAAACTGGTCGGATGTGGCCAGTACCTGGGGGGGTCCCATGGCTTGTTTCATCCATCCACCCCGGCGCGCGTAAATTGCCCGTTATGCGCTCGCCCGCCCGCCATCGTCGGCCTAGTCGCGAACTGCCACCCCTTCGGCGCAGCTGCCATTCTTCTCCATAGCTAATAGCCCTTTGCCCTCTGCCCTTAGCTCCTGCTCCTTGAATGCCTCGAATGTCCCTTGTCTCGACCTGCCGCTTACAAGATGCTGCATTCCATCCAGCCACCCATTCACCCTTTGCATCCATCTGACCGACGCCTATCTGCTCCCTCGCACATGCATCCGTGGTTGGCTGCTGACCGTTGGGCCCCCATTTCGTTTCTTTTTTGGTGTGCATGGCCGAGGGGAAGCATCTGAGTCGGGGCCGCAAAAGCAAACTCGCAAAAAACATGCATTTCAACATCAACAATAACAACAACAAACAGCCAGTCGCGGGAGTCACATGACCTGCATCGGAATCGGGTTCCCATCACGCTTTGATGGCAATGATGCTGTCTGTAGAGTGAGTACTTAGAGTACTCCAGTAGGTAATGTAATGTGCGCTAGGACAGTTGTATCATTCAGCCCTAAACATGGTCCCTGAGGCTCATGTGATGAATCTCTCTGCCTGGCCCTCCTTTGCTGTGACCTTACTTCCTTACAACCGCCGGCAGCCAAACAAACAAACAAACAAACAGACAGACAGACAGACAGACAGACAGATGACGGAACGGGGTGACATACTAGTAATCATCCACCCTGACACGCCTGTCACCGTGTCTAAGCCCACGCCCCAAGCGAGCGACGAAGCGCCCTGCATACTAGTGCCATCCACCCAATGCACGACAAACCGACCCCCAATCCCGCACTACTGACTCCTGCCCACGGTGCACGACGCCTCCCTGCATTTTCCCTTTTGTGTACCCATATCCATGAACTGGGTCAATTTCCATATTTTAGCAAATAACATCTTGACCCATGTACAATATACCGTGGATAATGAGCGAATGCAGCGCTTCCTACCTCCTACCTCCTACATCCATACCCGTTAGGCCCGTCCTCGGAAATGAGGTTGCCGGCGTGCGCGCTCGTGCTCTCGATCGCCCTTGCCATAGCAGAGAGACCCACCTTCCCGCTCCCACCGTTGCTCGACCTTTTGCGCCATTCCCAACCTTTCCCGTCCCTTTGCCTACTTCGCTTGGTCCAACACGAGGCTCCTGCCGCTTGCCCTCGACGTCACCACCCCAAAATCCCATCACGCCTTCCAATTTCCTCTTCTTATCGCCCCTCATTTCTGCTCTCTCCCTCTCTCTGCCCCAGTCCCTTTCTCCTTCTCTTGCATGGTTTTACCCCCACCCCATTCTTTGAAATAGCTTGCCCCGGATTTGATGACCAGACGTCATTTCAATTTCCACTACACATTTAATACTATACTCTACACCCTGGTCCACTTGATTCCAATACGCACCATGTACTTCTCTGTAATCTCAATCACTTGAATTCCGCTACACACTCCTACTCTGCAAGCTCAATCACTTGGTTCATCACACTCCCATCAACACTAGCCCCCCATCTAAATCTTCACCTCACTTGGAAGACTAATCTCCAGAATATCGACCCCCTTCTGCAATTCACTCTTGCTCGGCATCTTGTTCCTCCTCATCAGTTCGGCCGCCTGCGTCATATACGGGTCCTTCATCATGGATGCCACCGCCACAACAGTCTCCCCTTTGGTGTAGTAGGCAACAAACGATGGCTTCTCCAACTCTCCCTGCACTACCACATCATCGTACCCGCTCGCCATCGTGTTACCACAGTACCGCAGCTGAGAACCAAGTGCCGACCAAAACACCGGAATAAACGGCTTGGGCTTGCTTCCCGGGTTGTTGATTGTGTTGGCCACTGACCGACCCGCGTTCTGCGCAACGTTCCAGTGCTCGATGCGCACCGGTGATCCATTACCTCCAGGTCCATGGTAAGGGTACGTTGCAATGTCACCAATCGCGTACACGCCACTGAGCCCCTCGACCGCAAATGACTCGTCCGTCTTCAACGATCCGTCCTTCAGAAGCGTGATGCTCGGGTTGTCCTTGAGGTACTCGGTAGCCGGCGCAACACCAACTCCCTCAATTACCAAATCTGCCTCCAAGACGGTGCCATCCTTGAGATGTACTGCGCCCACCTTGGATGCATCCGCTGTTGACGGAGTCGCCTTGTCCACGCCCGCGCTTAACTTGAACTTCACACCGTTCTTCTCAAGCAGGCCCTGGAAGATTGCGCCCACTTTCTTACCCATTACCCGCTCCATTGGCACTACCGTCCCGTCAGTATATCGCTCAAGTCTAGGCGCCTACGTTACTTGCCTTCTTCCATTCCAATAATGGTAACATCGTTCTTCATGCCTGCCAAGCAGTTGCCAACTTCCATGCCGATGAATGAGCTGCCAATCACGACAATCTTCTTTCCATTGTCCCCAACGGCCTTGAGGATGTTTTGCACGTCTGGCAGAGTTCGGAGAAGGAAGACGTTGCCCAAATCGCCCTTGAGCCCTTCAAGCGGCAGCCACCTCGGCGTGCCTCCAGTTGCCAACACAAGCTTGGTGTACTCGTATTCTTTTCCCGATTTTGTTGACACCTTCTTGCCAGAAAAGTCGATGCTCTTCGCTTCATCTTCAATGATATCAATGGATCCGTCCTTATAGAAATCTTTTTGTCTCCACGCGAGTTTCGAGATATCAGCCAGTAATGCCTTGGACAGCTTAGTCCGGTCAATGGGCTGATAGCCTTCCTTTGAGATGACGGTAATCTTGCCAGTGTAACCTCCACCTCGAAGACCCTCAATGGCACCTAGTGTACCAGAACCACCACCAATGACAAGCACCTTATCGTCGCTGACCAATGAGCACTTGATGTTCAAATGTCTCCGCTTTGCCTTTAGTGCCTCTTCCGTGGTCTTGACGTACACGGCACCATCATTCTCGATTACCTCGTACTTGTCAATTGGGTCGAGGGCAGGCGCATCTTCAACGTCTCCAGTCGAAACCTTGAAGCAAGCTGTGTCATGTTAGCTCTGCTCATATAGGATTTGCCGCAGCAGCCACCTACCCCCATGCCATGGGCATGTCAGACGGCCTTCAGGCGTCAGTACGCCCTTGACCAATGGCGCTCCGTAGTGCGTGCAGTTCGGGCTGGTGGCATGAACTTGATCCTGGACCTTCAACAAGAGCACCTTTCCCCCCTCAACACCCTCAACTTCGGCTTCTTTCTTCTCTCCATTCTTCATCTGCAGGGAGGTGACATCCTTGAGCTTGAACTCTTGCGCCATCGCTGTGGTTGATGACGTGAACGTGGATCTTTGTAATCGGGACGTTGGGCTGAAGTGAAGTTTGAGTGAGGCTCGTAGAGGTTGCAATGCCCGGAATAACTGCATCAACGGCTACAACTAGATCGTGTTGGAAGTAAGAGTGTTGTCCATAGCGACACGTCGGGAGCATTTAGGCCAATAGCGGGGAGCTCATTATTCATGATGTCACCGAATACGATGCGCTAAGCAGGTATAGCAGGGGGGCTCGTAGGACTCGTTACCCCGCTCCAAGAATCCATTCATCTTCATTCGTGTTCAGAAGCTCAACAGTCGGGTTCTTGGCAAGAGACTCCTACGTATGTACATTCGGGTACTTAATTGGCGATGGCTGAATAGCGTCGCTTCTCGTAGTAGCGCCAGAGCGCGTCTCCGCCGGGTGGCTGTAGGGTGATCCCCTCCCCACATCACGCGCTTTACTGCATTATCGATTTTCGCTTTTCGGCAGACCTCGTTAACCCGCCCTTCAATAGGTATTCAGCGGCTTTTGAACTCTTGAAGATAGGGTCTCGGGATAGAGAAAAGAAAGAACGTAGGAGCATCGAGATGGAAGATATGCAAGGGGCTAGCGCGGTGAGAACCAGCAGCCTTGCCTCTGATCACGTGGCCTAGATAACCAAGGTCTTTTTTTTGCCTTTATTTGTCATTTGAGCTCTTGCTCTTAGGCCCAAGAGCAAATGAGCGCGGTGATGCCACGGAAAATGGTGTCGGGACGATGGTCACTGGTTGTTTTCCGACACCTCGCCGTCTTACGAAACACAATCACACCCTCACGGATTCCACGTGCAAAAGAAATTCTCCGGCTAAACCACTAGGTTCAGCCGCACCCGTTTCTTTTCTTCACTCGCTATACTCTTTCTATGCTGCGATCAGTCCTTCGCCTAAGACAATAAAGCAATAATCGCTATTGGATCTAATGCACTATGCGTGTTTTATCATTCCACCCCACCACCACCACCACCACCTGAATCCCACTGGAAAGCAATGCCACCCTTCGAACTTGAACTTATGAAATGTAGTGCTTCAGGCTTCTTTTGTAATTCTGCTCATCGATCACCGATTCACATTGAGACTTGATAGTGCAGACACAGGCAAGTAGCAGCACCCAACGGTGATAACATTAATCCTGCCTCTAGCATAGCCAATGTAGTCAGCGTCGCTAGTGTATACACACTCTATGCCTAGCGCACTCGTCCACTGAGGCACATCCCTCGGGGAATGTAGCAGCGGGAAGAGGGCAAGCGAACCAAATTCTGATCACATCAATGACCACACGACTATCACAGCTCGTCAATTGCACAGACACTTTGAACTTCCGAGGCGTGGTCACTGACCAGCACAGACGTAACCTTGCCTTTGACGCTACCCACCTCAGAACCACACTTGGCCGCAACATCGCTTACTCATGCAACATTGTCTACGCTGACATGAAGTTTTTTTTTGACCTAATCGTCATCTTCTATTCTCCGCAGACCGGTGCGTCTATTGAAACGACCACAGACGGGCCGGGTACCATACACGGAGCTCAGCACTACACTTCAAGAACCCGTAGCTCTCGCCGTGGAAGCAAAAGCTTCTGCAAGCTTCGCTTAATGCGCGTATTTGAATTCTTAACTCTGCAGGCTGGTTACTCTGTAAGGAGACGCTTAGATCCAGCTGCACCTTGCCCGCGTCCTGCCATCGATCGGATGAGAAGGGTCGAGTTTGAGCTTTCAACGACGCTAAGGGTGCTCTTCAACTAGGAAGACTAAATCTCCAATAAACGATGCAGCCTCGCCACCATTGATGAGACGGTTATAAACTGGTATCCAGTTTTTCGCCCGTTCCTGAGCCATAAACAGAATGTCGAGTGGCTTGTAGGCAGAAAATAGTACGAGCGTGTACCTTTCCGTCCCCCTGAAACAATATGGGTGCCGCATTCGGAGGGGTAGCCGCCTATTTCATGACTCAAGTTCTGTAGCGTTGTAGCGGCAGTTGCGTAGAGCCGTGTTTAGCCAGAGGAACAGCCAACAATGCCATCATTTACAGATAAGACAACTCATCGCAAGCTAGCCGGAAGGGTTACATTGTTCTCAAGATCAAGAAAAAACAACAACTGGATTCTTGTCCTTTGCTATTGTCTGCCCTAAGTCATGGGGAAAGCAAAATTGGGGGTTAGAAGGTTTGACGAGTGCGACGTTGGTTCAAACACTAGGGATCTTCAGACACCAACCGGAGGTGGGCCTAAGCACCGTGCGCTAATCGTCAATAAACTTTAGTCTCTCTCGCCGGACCCTACAAGATATGGACTAACCCGCGTCGCCCTGCATAGCGGTCTGCGTCGCAAAGGCCTCCTTCGACTGAGGATCTTCGTCCTTTCGTGCACAGCGATCCTGTCCAAGATTACATTCGTTCATGGCCTTGCTTTTCCGACGTCGATGTTCTTGACATAAAGTCGCTTTCGTACCAACCGTATCTAACGGAAGTATTGGCGTGGCGCCCCATTCATTTACACAGTGTATATCCTTTTTTGTTCCCTCCTTTAATTGTAATGTCTACCACACTCGTTACCAGTCGAACGCGACAATCGACTACTACACCCACTTCAACGCGAAGTATTGCTACATCTAGCACCAGCTCAACACCAAGACCAAGACCAACATCAAGCACCACCACCACACCTACAACATCTTCATCACCAAAAAGCACGTCACAAAGCAACCTGGCATCCGAACTCGCCACTAGTCAACTTGAAACGGATGACCGGAGTACCAGCCCTACAGAAGCTTCACTTCAATCTAATTCTCCCTACACCAACACCCCAGCCATCGCAACATGTTCTATGAACAGTGATTGTGCATACGACAAAATATGCTCCAACGAGAGATGTGTTACCATGGACAGTGCGGCTCCATTTGGAGGAGCTGATTCCACCTCACGGCTAACCACCGGATCCGCTATTGGAATGGGAACAGGACTTGTCGCCCTTTTGATGTTGTTAACAGGAATCACGGTCTGGATACTGAAACGCCGGGCACAAAGGCCCCGCAACCAGTCAGTTGAAGCGCCCATACAATCTCGTAGCAGAACCACTTCCGATGCGACAGATCAAAAGACTTTGGTGGCGTCAATGCCGAATAGTCCCCAGTATCCAGCCTTCAACTCTCAAAGTGCTATGAATCCGGGACTTTTCACCAGGGTCATAGCGCCTCAGGAAACCAAGGAGGTTGCCAGCAGCAGACATGGGTCAATGGACAGAAAAGCACTACCGCTGCTTCCCCTTCCACAACTTCCCCTTCCACCCATACCAAAGGAGACCAAGGTCTACGCACTCAACGTCAGTATCAACAAGAGCATGATCATGGACGAAGACATGATGCAAGCCGTGAGTCCGATGCGGGGTAACGATACTCCACGTGGAGGTGCAACGCAGCGCGATCGCGCACCACGGTACAAGTTCGAAGAATATATTCCACCTGTCGCCAACGCTCCTCCGCCCATTGCGATTTCGAGAGCACCTGCTCCTGGACTCCAAAGTTCGGAGTACGAACTCGGGCAGTATCCGAAGAAGGAACAGCAGAGTGAGGCTGTCCCATTGTCAGATGGGGGTCCAAACGGCGGCCTAGAGCCGTTAAGTCCTGTCGTCGAGACGTTTACGAGCTCGGACAGCAAGGCGCGCCAACTCTCCTTGCCGGACCTTCCACCCCCAAGTCCAAGCTTTAGTTTCCGTTCATACGACTGGTACCAGGATATCATAGAAGAACCGTCAAATGGAAATGGTGCACGAACACCAACACAGGCCAAATTTCCTAAGATGCTTTCACTTTTCCCTCAGAGTACGACCAGAAACATGGACCTAGGCGTATTACCAGAACCTTCTTCGCCTGGTGCATCTTCTATTGCATCAGGCACGCATTTACACCCAAGCTCGGCGGCCATGTTGAGCCCCACGAGCCCCAACTTTCGCTTATCACCAACTGTTTATACCCCGCCACCCCGGCAATTATCACAATCACAACAACATATACAAAAACAAAAGACGCAAACAAAGAGCTCATCACGAATTTCGGCAGTTAGTACTGCAAGTCACAAGACACGTGAATCCAGAAGCTGGCTCCCTGCTGAGGGACTTTACCTTGCCGACGAGGGCGGCCTTACCCGATATTTGACTTTCCGCCGAGGGAATGAAGACAACAGACCAACGAGCTATTCACCTTTAGCCTGAACTAGCGAGTGTACCGAGCGCATACACGCTAGGTTCTGTCCCTCCATTCTTCACGGTCCGTAAGAAGACCTTGGCCGGCTTTGTTGGTTGATGAACCTCAGGCATTACTCTACCGCCGCGACATTGACCAGCTACTTTGAGAGCGGAAACGGTTCTCTTCTGAGCGCGTCTAACGCATGTGCAACGCCGCACGCGCTTGTGCCCGACTTTGGACCAACGAGGGCACGGGAGAGTGTCGCGGCGCGGGAAGGAAGCGGGTCGCAAGTACGCTGAAAAGCATACCTTGTGCCCCAGGCGCGTTCAGACCAGGGATCATACATACGCAAAGCACACCCTGTTGTAGAGCATTCAATAATCTGTGCCCACGCACACTTATGTAGTCATAATAATACCCAAAACGAATAAAGAAATCATTTTTCAGTGCAATACATACGCTCTGCTTGGTGAAAGACTACCTCGACGACGTGCTGTGTGACAAGCTCTCTAAGCTTTGCACTCGGGACACTAGGAGGCCCCGATGTGGGGAAGCGATACGATACCCCACAGTACTGGGGAGCCCGACTACAGAATGGTCGGCTGCCATAATGGTGCGATGCAACGGGAACGATGGCTGAACCGATAATTCTTCCGAGAGCTCCACCCATTTGTATTCCAGAAGATGCGATGCTGCGCGGATTGCAAAATGTCATTTGTAGAGTAATAGTGGAATCCTACTTTGAGCACATCACGTGAGTCCTCGGCATCGGGACAAGATTTACTTGCAACCTATCGGCAAGTATTCTAGATCTTGAGAGACCTTTTCGAAGGAACACCAATGCATAGCACTCTATCATCCATGTCCTTGTATCTCAACATATACATTATGTATGTACGTATTTGAGTGGCGTCCTGGGTTTTCTACTATGTATGTCACATCGAACAGGTGCTGCATATGTTCACCAATGAGCCTGCGAGGTCGCTTTTTCGCACCCAGCCACTCGCTACAAGCCTCTTACCCGGAAGCTTCTCAAAATCGTAGTGTTGCGTCATGTTACACTCACAAAGATATTTCGCCATCTCCACACTTGTGCTGTCTTCGCGAACAAGCCACGCCCCGGCGGAATTCTATTCGTTCAATGTCGGGGCGGCACTCCATGTTTTTCCCCGCACGCGCCTCGCTTATGCAAGCCTCATGCGCTTGCATCCGGCTTGCATTCCCATGTTGCCCATCGTCACTCAAGACTGCCTCATTGTAGAGAATTGCCCTATGCTCAATTGATACATAGTAGCTCGTATGGCTCAGCAAATCCTTCACCAACCAAACAGCGATGACTATAAAGGAACGACATGGCCGCCATGGGGCACTGTGAATCTTCAGGCAGCTCTTGACCGGTTCAGCACCGCCATCATGACGCACACGAGTTTCGTTCAAGCTTCCACCGTGCTATCCTCTCTTCTCGCACTCACAGCTGGTCAAACGTCCACCACTTCTTCTAATGGCGGGTGGAGCACTACGCTCGCTGGCACGCCCACCTACTTCAACCCGGTCTTTACCATTCCTCCATCTGCGGACAAGGGCGTTCAGCAGATTCCCAACATCTATGATTCACAAGCCGTGGATGCGCAAGATGTTTGCCCTGGTTACACGGCATCAAACCTTCAACAGAGTCCTCGCGGCCTGACCGCCACATTGACCTTGGCCGGAAAGCCATGCAATGTTTACGGCACCGATATCCAGGAGCTAGAGTTGAAAGTCGAGTACCAGGCCCAGGGAAGGCTGTCAGTCAACATCGTACCAAAATACATTGGTGCAAGCAACCAATCGCACTGGATCGTCCCCGAAGATCTCATTCCGCGTCCTCAGGTCGAAGAATCATCCGAACAGACCGACCTCAAGTTCAACTGTGAGTTACTTGGAATTCATTTCATCATTTTGCCAATGTTTATTTGATTGATACTGTATTTGTGATGCCCAAGAAAACGAGCTGACAAGCATGCAGGGGGCAACGAGCCATCTTTTTGGTTCAATGTCGAGCGCTCCTCGACCGGAGACGTCATCTTCACAACTCAAGGCACCCATCTCATTTATGAAAATCAATTTGTTGAGTTTGTAAACAGCCTGCCAGAGGACTATAATCTCTACGGTCTGGGTGAACGAATTCACGGTCTTCGTCTCAACAACAACTTCACTGCGACCATCTATGCTGCTGACGTAGGTGATCCTATCGACCGCAACCTGTACGGTAGTCATCCTTTTTACCTAGAGACACGGTACTTTGAGAAGGGCGAAAACTGTAGCACCAAGCCCTTGACGCAGTCCGAGATCGGCCAGAAGAAAGATGCCAAAACAAATGGTTCGCCTTACGAGTCGCGTTCTCACGGCGTTTATTACCGCAACACCCATGGTATGGACGTAGTGCTGAAACCTGATCACCTAACTTGGAGGACTTTGGGAGGTGCTATTGATTTGTACTTCTTCGACGGACCTTCTTCGACGGACGTCACTAAAGCGTATCAAAAGTCGGCTATTGGTCTACCAGCAATGCAGCAATACTGGACTTTTGGCTTTCATCAATGCCGTTGGGGTTACCGCAACTGGACCGAGACTAGAGAAATCGTTGAGACCATGAGAGCTTTCAACATCCCAATGGGCAAGTCCACCCCTAACGTATTTTTGATTAGTGTTGTTGCAAACTTGCTAATCGTTATGCAGAAACCATATGGCTCGACATTGACTACATGGATCAGTACCGTGACTTTACGCTGGATCCCGTCACTTTCCCTCCATCTGAAGTGGCCGACTTCTTTGGATGGCTGCATAGAAACAATCAGCATTTCGTACCAATTGTTGATGCAGCTATTTACATTCCAAACCCGCAGAATGCAAGCGATGCATATGACACATATACGCGCGGCAATGAATCTGGTGTGTTCTTGTCCAACCCAGACGGCAGCCAATATATCGGTGCTGTCTGGCCTGGGTATACCGTTTTCCCTGATTGGTTGTCGCCCAATGGCGTATCTTGGTGGGTGAAGGAGATGGTCGAGTGGTACAAAGAGGTACCATATAGTGGTTTCTGGGTTGACATGACTGAAGTCTCTTCTTTCTGCGTCGGATCCTGCGGTACCGGCAACGTCACCCTGAACCCGGCTCATCCGCCCTTCTCGCTTCCTGGTGAGGTGAATAATGTTATCTATGATTACCCGGAGAGCTTCAACATCACAAATGGTACCGAGGCGGCGTCCGCTTCTGCAGCAGCTTCTGCTCAAGCTTCTAGGAAGGCAACTGCGACGGCGACGGTGACCGACGAAGTGACTTCTACTTCGACAAGCTACTTCCGCTCGACCCCTACCGCTGGGGAGCGAAACATCAACTATCCTCCTTATGTCATCAATCACGTACAAGATGGCGCTGATCTTGCTGTTCATGCTGTCAGCCCCAATGCAACCCATACGAATGGTGTGGAGGAATACGATGTCCACAACCTCTTCGGTCACCAGATCATCAATGCTACTTATCAAGGTCTCATTTCGGTGTTTCCTGGGAAGCGACCCTTTATCATTGGACGTTCCACATTTGCTGGCAGCGGCAAGTGGGCTGGTCATTGGGGTGGTGACAATGCTTCTAGATGGGCCTACATGTTCTTCTCGATTCCACAAGCACTTTCCTTTTCATTATTCGGTATTCCGATGTTTGGTGTCGATACCTGCGGATTCAACGGAAACACTGACATGGAGCTTTGCTCTCGATGGATGCAGCTTTCGGCCTTTTTTCCCTTTTACCGCAACCACAACGTACTCTCCGCCATTCCTCAAGAGCCCTACCGATGGGAGGCTGTGGCTTCTGCTTCAAGGACTGCAATGCACATTCGCTACTCTCTGTTGCCGTACATGTACACGCTATTCAATGACGCTCACAAGACTGGATCAACTGTGATGCGCGCGCTAGCATGGGAGTTCCCCAACGAACCCCAACTCGCTGGTGTGGATACACAGTTCTTGCTTGGGCCAAACATCCTAGTCACACCTGTCCTTGAGCCTCAAGTCGATACTGTCAAGGGAGTGTTTCCTGGTATTGTTGACGGCGAGACGTGGTTTGACTGGTATTCTGGCGAGCGTGTTCAGGCTGAGGCTGGTGTAAACACGACTATCTCAGCACCTTTGGGTCACATCCCTGTATACATTCGCGGAGGTTCAGTCCTACCTATCCAGGAGCCTGGATACACGACTACCGAGTCCCGTCAGAACCCCTGGGGTCTCATTGTCGCACTCTCCAGCGAAGGCGGCGCATCTGGCCACCTATACATTGACGATGGCGAATCCATCGAGCCAGAGTCGTGCCTGGATGTTACGTTTGCTGCTATAAGCGGAAAGTTGGAGGTTGATGTTCAAGGCGAGTTCAAGGACACCAACGCACTCGCCAACGTGACAGTGTTGGGAGCTCCGGAGGTCCAACACGTCAAGCTGAATGGTGAGGCCATAGACGCCAGCCATGTCGATTACAACAAGACCAGTGGCGTTTTGAAGCTGACGGGACTTACTGAATTGACAAGTTCCGGAGCTTGGCAGGGTAGCTGGACGCTGACTTGGGAATAAGTAATAACTGAGCAGTTAGCGCATATGTTCATGCGACCATAGCATATTCATAGTTGATGCTTGGTCCGCAAATTTAATACAACTGTATCAAAGCATCCTCCAAATCGAATCCTGATTAGGTTCATGTGACAATATTTTATTTGTTTTGCTGTCGTAGTAGTACGCGTATTCCAAGTTTTGAACCGCGGAGACGTGACGAATGACGTCAGAGCAGACATCGCAGTTTAGATGATGGCACCTCTTTCCAGTTTGCATGCGATTCCTACCATGGTATTTCAGTAATATCTATAAAAAATCTCACGCATTATAAGAGACTGGATCTTTCTCGAACAGCGTGCACCTGACGATGCCACCCAAGAAGCTGAACCAGCAGACTCCCTCTGTCCCCGAAGATGAGCTTAAGAACATTGCCGCCAAATCAGACAGTCCCGAAGACAAATTAAAACAAGCAGCCGCCAGCGCCGAATCTGCCCTTGCATCCGCCAAAACCGCATCTTCTCTCCGCGCTGCCGCCGAAACCATCAAAGATCCCACCAAGCGCGAAAAGTACCTGCGAGATGCGTACGAGAAGGAAATTGAGGCCCATGGCAACAGCAAAAAGGCACGGATGCTGAGCTCGGGTGCTTTCCAAGGAAGTGTGGGTGGTGGCGGTATCGGCATGGCTGTTGGAGCTGGACTGGGTACGGTTGTAGGAACGCTTGTGGGTACTGTCGCGACGATACCTACGACGGCGGTGGGCACGCTTGTTGGGGCAGGTGTTGGCGGTGTACATGGGCCGTGGATAAAACTTGGGGGTAAAAAGGGGGAGAAAGATAGTGATGGTAATGATGTCAAGAAGGCGGAAGGGGAGGATGGGGAGGATGATACGAAGGAGAAGAAGGTGGATGAAGAGATGGAAGAGCAGATGGCGGGTGAAGAAGATGGCATACCGGACCCTGAGGCGCTGAGACGGGCTGCGGAGGAGATTTCGAGGCAAAGGAAGGAGAAGGAGGGAGGGGAAGGAGGAGATGGTGGGGTGAAGGAGAAGAAGAAACCGAGGAAGTTGGAGGTGAGGAGTAAAGCTGCTGCATAGCATATGTTCCGAAGTATGCAAAAGAAAAGATGGAATTGGTACTACTGCTGCTTCGCAAAACTCGATTTCGAACTTACCTTCTTGCGTAAGGCTTTTTCTAAAAACTTCCGACTGCGGGTGTGCAGCTATCGATATTGACGGGACATCATACCACTGTCTTGCTAGTGCTGGTCAGGATATATGCCTGCCTTTATTTTGTGGAGGATGTCTTTGGAGTTATGAAGGAATAAGGATCGTTTGATATAGTATGTATTTGGGCTATGAGTATTGATCCCCGAACCTCAAAGACAGCCAGAAAAGCTCTGAGTAGGGGCCTTACCCGACGACTATTACCCGATTTCTGTTAGATTGTACACTACATGCGGTTAAGAGAGACGAGGCTTAGTGGAGCCGACCTGAATATATCGATGATGAATGAGGCTAAGCACTCGCTGTTCCGGGTTAAGACAGAACACTGGCACGACAACTTTCTCTTCTAAGCCAAGGCGAAACACCCTGACTCCTTGACTTACAAAATAACACTCCACCAAGTTTAGAGACTCCGGGCTTTTATGAGACGGTGTGGATGATTGGGATACAACGCTCAGTCTCTTCTGGATGGTTAACAGCATATAAATGCTCACTCGATCGATTCCAATGAACTCACGTTTAAGTTCTAGAATTCAAGCTAAATATTCAAACTCGAAAGCATACTTCCTATCGTCTGCAGACTCGTTTGCCAAGGGCATCAATCCACTTGTTCCTATCTACAGGTTGACCGGATCATAAGCAATAACTCAAAAGGCAGACGGGCAATGTGACTTTTTGTACCCTCTTTCGTCCAAATTGAATCCACTCAATATCGGGGCCAAAATGCCAGTTACTACCATACTTGGCGGGAAAAAACGATACTCTATAAGAAGGGGTATACGCAGCGTCGAAGAACTAGAAACCAGACCCATCAAGCTCAAAAACCCCCGTACTTACTTGTATCTCTCCAAAAAAACATCTTCACCATCGACCCGCTCAACTATCCTTACCACCATGAAGCTCTCCGCCCTCCTTTTCCTGCTAGCCGGCACATCTTCTGCCTGGATCGTCAAAAACTGCCGAAGTAACCTCCAGCACAACTGGTCAGCCGGGCACTGCTATAACTACGATGTCGGAACGAGCCTCATGTACCAGAGCAACAATGGATGCCAGATTACGTTTTACGAAAGGGAGGATTATACTGGTGTGGGATTGGGGTCTAAGAGCCAGGATAAGTGTCTTGCGTTGCCGGGGAACTTGAGGATTAGGGGTGTTAGGTGTGATGAGTAGTTGGATAAGGGGGAAGTTGTATCATGAATTTTTTTGAGGAAGATTGTCAGGGAAAGTACCATAGTAGTGGCGATCGAATCTGCGGGATTTGAAAGCTGTACCAATGTAATCTTCTCATCGAATTGTGATTAGAAGGAAATAGAACTGAGACGCGGAAGATGAAAGAATCGCCGTCAGCTCTTCTGAGCAAGAGTGTCTACATGACCTCAGCAAACTGACGTTGTTCCAAACGACCTCAGGGCCCCAAGGACCAACTTGAGCGTGACTTGAATCATTCTATTCACTCATCTCCCAATGGGCCCAACACAATCTTGAGAGGGTCTGCTCGCATTCGCACCAGGAACCTGTGGGATATCAACAATCAGCATAAGACAATAACTTTTTCAGGCAAGAATATGGTCTAGACTGACATTGAAAACGACAGCGTAAGGATCCCACGAAGAATCAAGATGTGGAGCATACTCGATACTATTCGTTTGCTGATTGACAGGCCCTTCGGCTCCATAAACATGGGACAACCAGGCATAGGTCATGTCCAAGCTGGCCATCATGCCTGAAGCGGTCCAGAACTTGCCATCAACAACCCACCGAGCCTGTGGAACCCAGTTGACCTCTGGACCATAGTTTACGATCCATTGGTAGCCGCTCTTATTGGTCGTGGCGCGTTTGCTGTTGAGGAGGCCCGATCGAGCCAGGTGCGTTACTCCAAATGAGAGCCCGAGAATATATTCGGCCTGGTCGGCACGACGAATAAGGAACTCCTCGATCTCAGTCCTATTGCTCAAGGTAGCGTTGATGACGCCCGTACCACCGGGAATCAGGATGACATCGAGAGCTGGTGCATCGGCAAACGTATGGGTGACTGCTGTTTCTGCGCCTAGCGTGCTGCCGAAATCACCCCCAAGATGTGGCTGGAGTCGGGCACTGACGGTACCTTTGACGGGACCCTTTTGGTATGAAATGATGGAAAGGGTCATCTTGTAAAAGGCCGACAGCTTTGTGGGCTGTCAGTGATCATGCAGCCTACATACGGGCGGACAACTCACAGATGTTAGGTATTCAAGCGGTCCCCAGACCTCAATGGGCTCAAAGCCATCAAAGATGATCTCGGGAAAAAGTTAGTCACAGTGATCTTGAGTATTGAAGAGGAGGGACAGGCGGCGCGCGACGTACAATGCCGATACTCAAGGTTCTTCTCTTGTTGAATTCATGCTCTGAGGTGTTCTGGCCGACGGTAAAAGGTACTAGAAGGAGAGAGCAGAGGCAAAGAGCCTTGACGAGCTGTGTGAATATCATGACCGAGCAATGTTACTGAGGCTCATGTGTGTGTGTGTGTGTGTGTGTGTGTACGGAGTGGGGTGGTGGAAGACTCTGAGGACGCGTTGATTGCAGTGAAATTTGTGTTCAGTATCAGTCGCCCTCATCTCATCCTGTCGCCAACCTCAGCCTAGCTGCAGAGACCGAAGGATGCAGAGGCAATCCCGTTGACCAGGCAGCGAGATGTGGCGCTGGCGACCATGGGCAATCTAATGCACGTTAGTAACGGGCTAATGCTACGCGGTGTTGTACATGTGGAATTACCCATCAAAAGCGAGCCGTTGGAAAAGGCGTATTCCTGGGCGAAACCAGGTGCATGCATTTGTGAGGCAGTTTGAGCAAGTTGCCTACCACAGGCTAGTACATGTCACGGCTTTGTCTTGGCCCCCTGCAGTCTTGCCTCCTACAAAGATCCTACAGCCGAAGCGGTCCAACCATTTGCGCAGGGACATTCCTGGTTCATAAAATAACCGTATCTGGCATCGATGTTGTGCACTTTTGTACATATCCTTACCATTGCCGGCTTTCGCATAGATGCCCCCAGCACGTAGGAGTAGACTAGTCTATATATGTAGTACTACTAGTATTACTACCTGAAGTCCCTGCTTACTATTACTATACAGCGGGCCCGCGCAACGGTCCCCCATTAGACATCGGCTACGCAACCTCACCAGACATCTTAAACTAAACCTGAATCTCTGTCATCTCACGATAACCCTAAGAACTACCTCTTCCACTACGAAAGCCCATGGAAAAACCGTACAACCACCCGGCAGTCAGGGTTGAACGATGGTAAGGCGTGCAAGCGACATGCTTGGAGTATGCGCCACTTCATTAAAATATAGTGTCTTATGTACAAAGAACAAATGAAACATCCTGGGTCACTACCGCATCAGAATCACGTTCAAGAAGAGCGCTCCAGTTTTGTAAGCACTTGATTCACATACGGCATGCTGCACCTCCTTATCACCACGATATGTCCTTTTGGCCAATCTGACCTAGACAGTAGATGAAAGGTATATGTCAACTCATCTACTTTTGATTGTAAAAAATCATATTCACCATTCACTGAAACGGTGAACGCACGTACTTGGTGTGACAGAGGACTGTGAAGATGAGATCCCCACAGGAACAAAGAACACATTTTCCACATAAAAGCCATGGCAGCACATCCTCCGCTTGTATACCAATACGCACAACAAATCAGTTTCCACGCCATGGACTCCATCGCAAGTAACTGCGAGCCAAGCGCCTTCACATTGCCCATCATCTATGGTGCCGAGTTCCAGAGCATCACAGCTTCCCTAGTTGAGAATCACTCTACCTTTGTGCCGTACTCCAACAATCCGAACTCTGGCGATGTCGATGCGCAAAACTTGCAGTTCTGCAACGTCACCATCACCCATACGCACCCAGGTACTAACGACAAGGTTACGACCAGGATCTTCCTACCTATAAAACCGACCTGGAACCACCGCCTTCAAGGTATCGGTGGCGGAGGCTGGGTAGCGGGTCTCCACCCAGTCATTGATGAGCGCATGTATGCAGGCCTAGCGGGAGGGTACGCAACAGTGTCTACGGATGCCGGGGTTCCAATATCAAACATCGCTGATGACTGGGCATTATTGAGTCCTGGTAACGTCAATCTCTATGCGCTCCAAAACTTTGCATCCGTTTCCATCAGCGATGCCACGCTGGCCGCGAAAAGTATCATCAAGGATTTCTATGGCACAGCTCCAAAGTACTCATACTTTAGCGGGTGTTCGCAAGGAGGGCGGCAAGGTATCATGGCTGCACAACGATACCCCGACTTGTATGATGGCATTGCGGCTGCTGCACCTGCGATATACTACTCGCAGCTCTTCATCTCAGCATACTATCCACAACAGGTCATGAGCGAGATGGGCAAATATCCTCGTCCATGTGAGCTCGATGCACTCACTACAGCTGCTATCAAAGCCTGCGATGGCCAAGATGGCATCCTGGATGGACTCATCTCCAACCCGGATGCTTGCCAGTTCAACCCTTACTCCATGGTCGGAAAGACGATTGACTGTCCGGGTGCTACCGGGTCCACAGTAAGCGTTTCAGAAACCGCAGCCAAAGTCGCCGAAGCAGCGTGGAGCGGCGCTCGCGCAAGCGACGGCTCGCAACTCTGGTATTCGCACGGCTTCGAGACCAATCTCACCGCCGAGGAATGTCCTGCGCAAACAACCTGTTCGGCAAATGGAACCTGCACCGCTGTACCAAGGACGACGTGGACCGACTGGATCAGGCTGTTTGTAAAAAAGGACGCCAAGTTCAATGCGGGTACCATGTCGAGAAAAGACTATGAACAAGTCTTTATCCAGGGGATTCGAGAGTTCGACTCCATAATTGGAACTGGCGACCCGGACCTGCGGGATTTCCACCGCGCTGGCGGGAAAATGATTACGTATCACGGAATGGTGAGTTCGTCGATGTTTTGAAGCAAGGTATCTTGAATGCCCTAGTACTAACGTGGAGAAACAGGCTGATAACGGTATCCCATTCCGCAACACAAGACATTACTATGACGCCGTGAAAGAAGTCTCACCCGACGTACACGATTTCTTCCGACTATTCGAGGCTCCGGGGCTAAGCCATTGCACAGGAGGAGCTGGTGGACAGCCTTTGAAAGTTCTGGACGCGCTTGTAGAATGGGTTGAGCAAGGTGTCGCTCCTGATTCTTTGGATGCTGTTAATACGGTCAACAAGACGAACCTGCTGTGTCCTTACCCTCAGAGGGTAGTAGGGAATGCTTCTTTGGGGGTTTCGGTTAGCGGAGGCCAGAGCTGTAGGTAGAGCATGGGAATGTATGACACTCTAGAATCTCTATTTTCATCAGTATATATGTTCCACGACTACGATTTCTAATGCATTGTACCCGTATGCGGGTATGATCACGATGGAGCTTGCTCAAAATTGTGCTTTTTATTGTTATTCTTGATTCATCGATACACCATTCAGTTTTCAAATTCAATCCACCGACGTCTATTTCACCCGGTTACTCATTTAACGTTCGTCCCAAAAAAGATCTAATTGTTGCACCTAAGAACCACATATTAGCCCGCCGTTTCACAAAAATCAGAAAAAAAGAGGATAATATAACATACAAGTGTCGCTTGTTACCAACAAGCGTGCTAAGGCACTCCGGCTCCCAACCAGCAGTAGCTCCATCGCAGTACGAGGGGCAAGCATCTCGTTCCTTACTACTGTAGATGGCCCATTTAGGAATTATCATTAGTAGTAGCTCTCATGAAATGAAAGGAGTAAGAGCGCTTTGGTGGAACCTTTTTTCCAAGGAAAGTTACAAACGTACACAGCAGTGGGATCCATCGGTGTACTTGCAGTGGAAGTAGCCATTGCAGGCCTCTGCCGAGGCGAGGAGAGCAAGGAAACTAGCGGAGAGAGAGATAATGCGGACCATTTTGAACTTTTGTGCGAAGTATTAATGGTATGAAATCTGTAGAAAAGAGCTCAGTGTGCTTGTTCAAGTTATGATTCTGGAGGCGGGACGGGAAAGAGTGGACAATGTCTTTGCTTTTATATTTGAGGATATAGCCTTTTAGGAGGTATGTAGAAAGCAATGATAGATGTTTCTGTGAGAAATCCCGCATTCTCTCCGTGGTTGAGGCTAGTCATGGTTGTTGGCATGGTTCGCGCTGTTGCAAGCCTGTGCTTTGGTTGTAGCTATTGTGAAGCTATTACTGCATTTTGTAAAATTGATTGTATCCCAGTTCTATCGTGATATAAACGTTCTGAACTGGATTCTATATTATTGAGATTGCTTAGCGCCCTTCCGCGTTCGTCACGCCCGGATTATGTGGCAGCTATGGCTAAGACAGACGTTACAGCTCATTAAGTTTCTTTGTTTTACTCGTATTCTCGTTCATTCAAAATTTTCTTCTGAGGTGAGGATACAGATTAGGCCACGGTGTTATTCGGGCTATTACTACTCATTTGATGGGTGCAAAAACCCGAGACTCGGCACGTGCTGTTTCTACTAACTAGAACTCAACCCATGGGCTTTGCCGTCTCCCTTAGTTGCTCAGCTAGAATTTTCCTAATCAATTGCATCAGGGTCTGCGACGGAATGTCTAGATGTCGATTTTGATGATCCTAGGGTAAACCTTCTCTGCTCGGTGAAATAGCGTCATTTGATAGCTGACATTAACGACTGTTGCATGGGCTTGTGTTTCGCTGTAGTATTGTGTCACATGCATATTTACTGCGTGGTGTAGCAAGAACTATTATGTATTTGCTTTTGAAGCACTTCTGAGCTTACTTTACATGTCATTGTTGTGGTGGCTCTTGATGTCGCAATAGGTTAGCTGCAAATGCTGCTGTCACAATTGTACTTGCTTAGGGAGGGATGAGCACGAATGACAAGCAAAACATAAGGTCTAGCCTTATGATGCACCGATAATAGCGCACACTGTTGCACAATTGATTGCTGTTTCTTCTCAAGCTGTTGTTTTGAGATCAAGGTAGGGCGAACACTACCGTATCGCAGAGTCATGTAGTGCACGCCCCTTATCGTCAGCCTCTCCACTAACAATTTTCTAGAATTTTGTCCATACGGACCTATTTCAAACTGCAAGTGGAGAGCCAAATGCTTTACGGCCGAAAAAATTGCCATTTAGAACTTCTTAGCCATTTATCCTTATAACTAAATTACCATCACTACACTTTCAGAAGAACTAATATTTCCCTCACTGGAACGTCTACGCAAAAAATAAGACTTTAATAGTTCATGCTTATCACTACCGGTTCTTATTTACAGTTTTTCTTACCAACAGTTCATTTTATATGTCGACTCGCTGATACAAATACTCTTTTTTTTCCCAATTTACTTTTACTATGTTACTTTCTCTTCCTAAAAGTATGGGCTTTAGGAAGAACGTAGTAAAATAATTATCTCTATATGTTGCGTTTTGAGTAAGCTATAGTAGCGTGTAGATATTAGTTCAAAATCTTTGACTGCTGCGCTAAAGTACCCAAAAAGATATGCAACAAGATACATGCGTGGCCTGCTGGATATCAAGCACATGATGAATGTTCATGACTGCAATGATCCTTGGATCCTGACTGCCCTACAATTGCGCCCTCACACCTTCAGGCAAAGCCTCGGGCAACCCACTCGTCGGCTTCCAATACCTCGGCTTGCATGGGAAACACTTTCTCCATCAGCAGCTTGTGTACATCTTCGTCCTTGTCCAAACACAAGTCCTTGATCACAGTAAGCTTGTAGTCCAGATCGGCAGCCTCGCGGACAGTTGACAACACAGCGCCCGCAGTAGCGACACCGCACATCACAAGATGGCTCACTCCGCGCCCGCGCAGGACAGTGGCTAGGTCCGTTCCAGACAAGGCGGAGACGCGACGCTTGGTAACGAAGACATCGTCTTGGCTTGCATGGCCAGAAGCCCCAGCTCCCTCTGGCTTGGACGGAAGTGTAAGCTCGTTAAAGAGGGCGACGGACTGGTCACCCTCGACAAAGACGTTGGCAGGCACGTTTCTGAGCCGTTCACCCATGCTGCTCGTTGGGTTGAGCTCTGGTCGGCCGGGCCGGAAAGCAACGTTCACATGTACAATAGCGATGGGTGGCTTGTTGCAGGACTTATTGGCGGAGCGCACGGCTTCGAGCAGCTTGGATGCTTGGCTAATGTATGCTGGTGTCTTGTCTGGGAAATTGTCCATCATGATGCCCTTTTGTATGTCGAGCAGGATGAGGGCGGTGTTGGTGGTTGAAAAGGAAGCCATGATGGGAAGTGCTTAGTGGAAAATGATGTGGCACCAAAACTGCAGACTGATGGTGTTGTGGGTGCGTGTGGAACCAGGAGGATGTGAAAAGTCAATGGAATATAATTTACGGGGTGTAGTCTTGCGTTTTACTTGCGCAGTGTCCTCTGGTGAGGCACGACATGATGGGGTTAAGGGCGGAGTCTGGGGCACAGTGTTCGGAGCCGACTCGGCTGACGGGTAGTTGACGATCATGGTGCGCCTAAGTAATACTTATCCCCCGGGATTAGGGCCATGAAGAATACTCAACGGAAAACAAGACCATCTGGCGTGTGCAGCGGAACCATATATAACGACACTGGTGGTTATATATCTGGGAATGATGAATGTCGTCAACTATACATATATAGGAGAGCAAGTAGGCGTTAGAAGAGGGCAGATATAGATGATGCATGTATCTAAACATGAGATCATCATCAAGAACATAGAAACATGGAGCACTATGCATACTTTGCATCATTGTACGTATGTTGCCAGAGGCTTTACTGTTGGATGCCGGCATTCAGTGCGGAGTTATGAGGACCCACATTAACTCAGCCGTCAGCCGAGCCGAGAAGCTCTCAGCCGACGACACCTCTTGTAAACACACCCATATGCGCGCGCATACTGATTTCTAGCCCCGACTCAGTGAATGATAGCGGCGGCCATGGCAGAGGGCGCAAGTAGTTCGCCCGGCCGGAGTACGCGCATGTCGCGCAATGCGGCTTGCACCCACTGCCGTACCTCCAAGGTGCGCTGCAACCCCAGCTCCATCGCCGGCCGGCCATGTCAGCGCTGCACGAAGCTCAACCTCTCATGTGTCGTCAATCCCACATGCCGCCGCATCACACGCAAGAGGTTAGTTCTTTTCTTGTCTAAAGGATACTTTGTCCATGTTAGATGTGGTCTAATCAACTGACATGGCACCTTGACAGCCAACTTGATCAGCTTGCCCGCGAGGTGCAAGCCATCAGGGAGACCGTGGTGGTAACAGACAGCAACCATAGACAGCCAGCACTTCAGACACCATCAAGCCCGGGCACCTGGTCACCGAGAGTACAGGATACCAATGAGGCTTCGTTGTCCAGTGTTACACCAGCTTTCTCTGCCACTGCATCAGAGCACAATAGTCGTCGCGATGACAACGCTGTCGACGTCCTCGACGACGATGTACGAGTCATCTCGACAGCAGTGCCCAGTCTACACAGAGCGCTCGACTCACAGCCCTTTACCGGGCCAGAGATTGATGAGCATTTCAATGTGTACGCATGTCTCGTCATGTTACGTTGCTGTGAACAGGACTAATCATGGCATGCAGCTACTTTCGCTATTTCCATCCCCACTTCCCCATCCTCAGCCAACGCGACCCAAACAAGTGCTATGACACGAGCCCCTTTCTATTCTGGGTCATCGTTCTCATCTCTTGCCGCCGTCAGCCCACACACACCAACTCTGCTACGACCCGCCTTCTCACAGAGCACGTGAAGCACGAGACTGATGCCGCTGTCCCCAAGGTGCCTCAGCCTCTCGCCCAATTGCACGCCATACTCCTTGTTGCCGCCTGGGGGTTGTATCCGGGTGTTCGTTTCATCAATGATCCAGCCTACTGGCTGAGTGGCATTGCTATCAACTCGTGCCTGCTGCTTGGCTTCAACACGGCTTCCGGCAGGCACCCGGAGTATAGTCATGTTACTCTTGCCACCACTTCATCCAGTATCGAAGCTGCTGTCACATGGGCAGCGTCTAGTATCTTGAATCGAAGGTATATGCCAAGTCTGCGTTACCAATAAGACTCTTTTTAGCCGACTAACCTTGGCAGATTGTCAACCAACCTTGGCCTCCCATGCACGGCTCCAACGAACAAGGCCACGATGAACATGATCCATGAAGAGGCTAGCATTCTGCCCGTCAACTTTCTCGTACAGCTCGAATGCCAGGTCTTCATGGACAGAATTAATAAGACGCTAGGCTCTTCTCTTGAAGAGTCCAACGGAGTGCCACGTGAGTTAGTCCGCATTTTCGAAGATGAATGGGCCGTAGCTCGAGCACGAATCATCGCCAAACACACGGGTAAGCAATTCTGTTCCTTGGTGCTCATTCCCTTTTTGTCCTTTTACAGTGTCATGTAGCTGACTACCTACGGCATGCAGATCCAGTATTATCCCTCCACACTCTATTTGTTCTTCTCGAGGTCCAGATGTACTATTTCCTCCTGATGCCAACCCAAAACAGTCAATCATCCACCGTCGTTGGCTCACTCAGCGGTCGAGATAATCTACCTCCCTCCACCGAAGCTGACATCCTGCGATGCTACACTACGGCGTCAGCCGTTATTACTAGAGCAATAGACCTCGACGAGACGACAAATTTCCTGCACTACCTTCCGCACTACACCGTCCGCCCCATTGCACATGCCATCACCGTCATCTTCCGCGTCATCCGCTCCGACCTGCCTCTCAGACACTTGCAGATCGTCGTCCCCGAGGAAGCCGCCAAGTTATCCGCTCATTCAATCACAGTCTTGCGCCGCGTCTCAGCCGTCGAAGGGGATCTGGCTTGGCGGCTCGCGCGGTGCGTCGAGTTGTGGGACGTGACAAGCGCACCGTACTTCGCCGCCGCCGCCGCTGCTGCCAATCCTTCCAATGCAGCAACGGGCAACGACAACGAGAACAACAACAATAGCGACCCAGCTGCCTCAGCTGGAGCTGGTCTAGACTATGAACCTGTTCTCGTCGAGATGTTCCGCCAGCGCATGATAGCAGCCTTAGGGTGGGATTTTATGATCCGCTGGAAAAGCAAGCACGGCCCCGTGTATATGGGACCGTATAAGCCACAGCCTCAGACGCAAAATCTGGGAATACAGGTCGGTGCGGGCGAGGCTGGTAGTCACAACCAGCAGGCGCCATCGGCAAGCTCTACCGGAACTAGTGGTCCTGTCAACAACAGGTGCCAGGGTACGTCTAGCGGTCCTGACGGTGGTCCTACTAGGTTCCAAGCAGTCCAGCAGGACCAGCAGCGTTTTCAGTCACAGCAACAGCAACAGCACCAGACCGGCGTGCCAGCGAATGTCAGTGGCGCAACGGTGCCGCCAGGCGAGACGGAGCCCTCTCTCCCTTCTACCGGAACCATGGGTATGGACTCTCTGCTTGGAACTGACTGGGGATTTCTTGACGACTTCATTTGCGGGTTCGATAGTCAGGATTTGTAATCCGACTTCTTCAAAAGCGGTGAATCCAACCATTCGCCAAAGTCTAACAGTACAGCGCCACCGAAGGGCTCACCATCAGAGATGCACACAGCCATGTCATTAATCAGTGTGGCTTCCGACACAGACTTTGTGACATTAGAATACTTATCACGGGTGAGTTCTTATTACAGAAGTGGCGTCAAATTGTCTATCGGATCCCAGCATTCCTTTGAGATTGCCGGATCCTTTATGTAGCGACGCTCACCTTTGTGCATCTGACTGGCAGACATGTGGGGCGGGGAATTATATTCTAAGCTAGACCTCCAGTCAGCAGCCTCGGTATTGTAAGACGGGTCGGCCCGCAATAAAGTTTGTTGGATTTGGGAGCCGGGATGCTGCATGCCAATCAGGGAGGGGGGAAGTTCATCCGCGCCTTGGCCATGCACTGGCCTACTGTGGGAGATTGCGATATATCTCACCGAGACCGAAGGAGCGTGTTGCGGGAAATCATGCAGTTTGTATGAGTGGTTGGGCAAAACGACGAGAACAATGAGCAGAGTCACGACAGCACAAAACTTGATATAGGTCAAGCAGGTGGCAGACAGGATAAGCCTGGATGTGAATCTGACTATTTCTTCGGTCTACCAGCGCTATAGCCAATGACTTATGTCCAAAATTGAATGCAAATGTTGGTTCAGTCTGTGTGCATCGCAATTCAGAAACTTTTTTCTTCACTTTCCTGGACAGCCCTCTCCCTTTTGGTCTTTTCCAAAGCCTCAGCCCGCTGCTTCCTCTTCTCCTCCCGCCCCTTCCGCCACCCCATACTCTTCTTCAACAACGTCCAAAGAGTCAGCGGAGACGCAACCATACTAATCCCCGCGAGAATTGTGAAAGCCCATCCACTGCCCACTCCGTCAATCATGGGCTGAATGGCGGCACTCGCGCCAGCACCCACCAGGCAGCGCGTGAAGTTATTACTCGCAGTCGCCGCGCTGGCAGCCGTGGGGTTCATGTCCACTATGAGCGTGCTGACGACGTTGCTGAACCCAGTCAACCCTAAGCCTGCAAGGAACAGCATCACGCAAGGAACGGCGAGGTGCGTCCGAGCGTGGAGAACCCAGCCCCAGACCAGGACCACGCAGGTACCCAAAATGAGGGCAGGAACACCAACCTCGAGACGTGCGCGCTCGATCGGAAACGAAGAGAGGTCCTGTTGCCTTTTACGCTCATAAGGGAGGCCGAGCAGGTTGCAGTGTCGCCGGAAATTCCAGTCCAGGCTGCGCCCAGCAACCTGCGAGCCCACTATCGTGCCTAGGCCGAGCGGGAGGTAGATGAGCCCTGTCTGGAGGTCGGTCAGGTGGTAGATCGAGGTGAACTGGGCGGGGATTGAGGTCATGATGCAGTAAAAGTTTGCGAAGATGAGGCTGCTGTAGAGCAGCAGGAAGGCCATATTCGGCCGTAGGAGCAGCATCAGAGCGTGTAAGGCCTTGAACTTGTGCTTTGTGACGGCTTGCTGCCCAGAGGGCGATGGCCCGGTAACTGAGTGCTCTCCATCCTGTCCATTGATTTGCACCTGTTGTTTGCGACTCGATCTGGTCGCCAGCACGTCCTTGCCAACCCACCAAAGCGGCCTGTGGGCGATATGCTTGGGCCGAACAGACCCGTCACCCACGATCCCGCGGCATGTCTCGGGCATCCACACCACAAAGACGACAGCCAACGTCCCGCACATGATGGTCAGGATCCAGAATATCCACCGCCACCCGAGATACTGTGCCAGTGTGCCGCCCAGAACAGGGCCCAGCGAGGGCCCCAGCAACACAGGCGTCGACATGTAGCTCACGTATCTGCCGCGTTCGGCGGACGTGATGATGTCGGACACGACACCCTGCGCCAGGGCCACAGTCGTACTGGAGCCTGCAGATTGCAGCATGCGCAGGACGAGCAATGCCGGGTAGTTGGGTGCGAGGGCGCACCCGATATTAGCTGCCATGTACACAACGAAACAAAACATGTAGGCTGGTCGCCGGCCTGCTGAGTCGGCATAGGCGCCAACGAACATTGGAGTGATGCCCTGAAATATCTTTTGCCTATAAATTAGCAGGGGACTATGTATCTAGAGCAAAATAGGTGAACTGACCATGTAAGTTGTAACCGTCAGGTTAATAGCGGAATATGAGACACCGAACTCTTTGGCGATGGCGGGCAGTGCTGGTAGATAGACCGAAGCTGTCAAAGGCGAGAAGAAGGCTGCGGTGGCTGCGGCCATGACGATGCCGAGCTTTTGACGATGGGTGAAGATTGAGAATGGTTTGCTCCGAGTCTCGACTTTTGACATGGCGTTCGCATTGGCTTCGAGATCTCTTTGTTGCTGACCTCCATTTTCGGTGTTCGAGTGTGCGTCTTCAAGGTCACGATCTGGTGGTGGCGTAGGTTCGGTTTTGGTGTGTGTGGTTGCTGATTCGATGCTTGCTCTCAGTACTAGATGACTGCGAGGTCGCACTGCGTCTGGTGGTTGTGTCATAGTAGCTACGCGTGTAGAATCGAGCTTGCTTGCAATGGCTTCTCCAAGATGCAGCGATTTGCTTCTGGAGCGGCGCCATTTAGGCATTCAAGTAGCATCTCGATGTCGAGCTTGGCGGGCAAAAAGATCATGATGCGGCTGTTGTTCACGGTGCAGCGTCGGAAGCGAGATCGGCTGAGAGTGCCACATTTCGGCTCAGTGAACCGAGGAGGTAACACTGATGCTGGACTTGTCGGCTCATGGTGCTAACTGCGGACTTAGGAATCGTGGATTTCAGTGACCGACGAAAATCGTGTTTTTTTATAGAGTGATATTTTCTGATTTACTAATAGCTAAAAATGATTCGAGTTTGTAAGAAAATGTAATAGCTTGCAATAAGAAGCATTCAAGAGAGCATTCTTATAGCTAAAAATTATTACTGGATACCTTGAAAAGATTAAGAAGTTTAATGAAAGACATATAGCTTTTTTCTATACTATAGATTCAAACTATCTTCTATACGACTTCTACAAGTCTTCTACATAGCAGGACCTACGCAGATGTTGTAGCCACAGCTCCGCATGACTTGACCTCAACTGGCACTAATTTCGAGCGCAAAGTTTACGGAAAGGTCGACACTATTTCGAAAACAGTTTTGGGAACCTCTAGCATAGCCGCTAGTAATGCCCTGCGTAAAGATTCCTTCTGTACAGGTTTTGGGTATTTCGTCTACACCATTAGATGCAACATATCTTCATAGTCCCTCTACCATAGCTGCTCTAGGCTGTAACCCCTGAAAAGAAATAAATCTCTTTCTCCATCTCTGGAACCTCTTAGCACTTGGATGATGAGAGGGGTGTCGAATTTCTATTACGCAAAACTTACACCTGTTTCCATCACTGTTGTATTGAAGAGGCCGGGGTCATGCACTCTCAACCCACTGCCTGCTTTATCTGCTCTATTCCCACTAGATTGGGGAGCTTTGATATCTTTGAAAGCTGTTGCAATGACCGAGATTCGCTGTATTGGGGCCCTATATTCTTGAGTAGTGCGGGAATCTTTCACTAAAAGGAAGCCGTTGGACATCTTGAAGATGGCGATTCAGAGATAGTGATTCAAGAACTTTTTTTTTCGAACCAAAAACTAAACAGCTAAGGTGAGCTTGATGTATAAATCATGAATCGTTGGTGCAGATAATGTTTGTGGCTAACATGTATCACATTGATGTGAAGGATATTTAGTTCGCTGAATAGCCCGGACACCGGACTCCTTCTCTCAAATCATGTGTGGAGACAATAACAAGACTTGGCATTACTCTACTACCTAGGTAATTAATTATGTACAAAATTTTGGGAAATTTTGGCACGCTAGTAGCTTAGCATCTAAAATATCCCTCCTGTTTTGTAATTTCCTCAACTTGGAAGCTTCTTAGGCACTGAGACTCACTATTAAGCATGATGTCGCGGTATATACCTTGATCTTGACCAAAGCGCAAAGCTAAACCTTTGCTTCTATAGATAATCACTAACTTGAAATGTTTTATGTGTTCATACATGGTCGAACTGTGTTCATGCAATCAAGCAAATGGTAAATTGGTGGTTCTTAGCAATAAATTCCCGGCATATTGTAAACCGCCGGCATTGATTTAATTTTTCTCTCCCTTCTACTATCAGGGCAGTACGTAACACGCAAACGGAGTTAAAACAAGATACTCTTCTCACTATAATCACATGGATCGAGTTATAAGCAAAATTGATGATAAGAAGATCCTGTACAAATGATATTGCAACCTGCTCGTGTCTGAGTACATGGCTGGACGTAGGATTATGACAAATAGGTTACATTTGCTATCATAATACTAGAAAAGGAAATCTCGTTAAAAAAAATTCCTCAAATTACAAGAGGAATATCAGAATATGATGAATGGCATAGGAATATGACACAAATGGCCCGAGCTCGTGTAACATTGATGTTGTAGAAACGCCGAACTAGAATTACTAATTTATCCTAGTTTATGCTATTGGAACATGATTTCGCGGCTCAATCTCCTAATCGCAGCCGCAATTTTTGCTACGAATTTTGGCTCCTTGGGTATCTCATGCCCCCTGTCATTCTGTATCAAGGTCGCATTCTTATCCTCGCAGATCTGATGCAGCTTGAGAGAATGCTCGTAAATAAAGTCTTTCCTCCCGACTACATGGAGCGTGGGAACGGTTATCCTGCCCTTAAGATTTTTCTCAGAAATGAAGTCTCCATTCCTACTGATCACGAACGTAGAAAAGCGGTTCAAGATTATTGCGCATTTGAATGGTGGAGCCTCGTATGGGTGGCGCGTTGACCACTGAGCGAGCAACCCACATGCGAGGGTGCCGCCATGCGAAAAACCGATCACTGCATCGAAAGGCCCTTCTGTCTCAATCAAATCCAAATGTTGATCGTATGCTTCTTCTACAGTAATGCCATCGTCTTCTGATGGCCGCGGCCAGTTATAGTAGGAGTAGTATGGGCCTTTGAAAAAATCCTCAACTTTAGGCCCAGGGCCAGAGTCAACAACCCTTTCGGTAAAATGGAAAGTCGCAGTATGATCTGATTCCAGATCACGAATCAAAGATCCTTAGTGGAATTGTTAGAATATGATGGTTCAAAGGCAGGGAAGTATTACGAAGTTGGAACTGAAGGATCTTAACCTCTGTTAGTATGATCTCACTGGCATTTTGTATTGAACAACCTTTGTATTTGTCCCTGCACCACTGAGGTAAAGGCCTCTTAATTGCGGCATGTTGGTGGGGAATTGGAATTTGATCGACGGATTTCTTAGGTATAAGTTGCGTGGGCAAAATGAAAGCGCAAGATCTTATGCATGTACTTATATGAGAGATTTCTTGCAGCTTAAATGGAATCAATGACTGGACAGGCAGTGATAATTTCATTTATCTATTGATTTGTTGATGTCGCAGTTTGTATATCCGGATTTTGTAGTAATAAGTTACCGGGTTGAATTAGATGTGCCGGGACAACCGAGTGGTAGCGTTTATTGCTGTGACTACCAGCTGGAGGTAAAACTCGATTTGGCGACTCCTAGTTATTATTCGTCTAGCTAAACCTCGTGACTCAATCAATGCAAGTCTGCTCAAGGAACAATGATATTCAACAGTCTATTCTACACTCGATACGGAATTGAGATTTAATTCATCTTTACATTGTCACAAGTGCATAACCTCTTGTGTTGCCTTGCATGGGGCGTGACTAAGGCTTGTTGTGGTAACGACTCTGGTCGTGCTAGCCTCGCCAGGCCTCTCGAGAGAAAGCCAGTTTGCCGCAACAAGGCTTCCGAGTCCGACAATGTCCGTAAAATATGTAATTTCAAACCCAGACCTAGCAGCTACGAACACGGGAAATACAGTTTCGTAACATTTCGGGGAGACATATTTCGGAGGCTGTTCGAAAAGCAAGAATATTTAACGATGGTTTTCTCCCTGGAGAGGTTGTGAGCCAATATATTGGGCACCATCCTTTGTAGGTATTACAAAATCGCCAGTAGCTTTGGATACGTGACAGTTTGGTTGGTACCAATGGAGAATGGTTGTGGCATTGTAATTGTGGACGACGTCGGGGTCAATCAGGAAGACGATATGATTGGAATCTGGTTGAAGAAGCGTGTGTCTCAAGACTGGCTGTTTTATGACATATGTTTTTTGAGTTTATTAGCCGTTTCTTATAAGTTTGTGGGGGTTTCAGACCTATTTGATGCAAACTTTCACCTAGACGGACATGCTGATTATTTGAATAGGTCACATCGAGTGATTTTGTGCATGAAGGGGAAAATCCAGGCGGGATTTGAGCAACTGAAAATATTGGCAATAGGTAGAAAAATATCCTTGTGATGGGTGATATCGTATTGAATGCACCAAAGTGCCCAAGATTCGTGCCTGTTTTTCGACAAATTTGACTAATCAAGACTTTTCCGGGAATCAATGTTATACTTCTTGATCAGTAGAATAGTAAATCGGTATCTCTCACGGATTCTGGATCCTACAAAAGATAAAAGATCGCTTAGCTTTATTGAAAAGGATTTTCCAGTTGAGATCCCAACTAGTCGCTGCATCATCGAAAAAGACTATTCACAATGATTATTCATCCTCCAAAATGGGTTCCCCAAATACCGTCGATACCAGACTCGACTCTAATTCTTGATTTCCTGCTTCAAGAAAATTTTGGGCGCCCTAAGCTATCTCAGCCCCATTCATCCTTTGTTTGTGGGATCTCAGGAAGAGAATATAGCGTACCTGAAGTCAGTGAACGGATGACATCAATCGCAAAAGGTCTCTTAAAGAACCTTCAATGGGAAATTAATTCTGAGACACAATGGGAAAAAGTAGTAGGAGTTTTCGCTTTCAATAGTGTAAGAAAGTCCGAACATGTAAACCGGAAAACTGATACTAAAGTGGTCTGTTTTGTCAGATTGGTACTCTTTCAGTCGCATGGGCGGTGCAGCGTCTGAACAGCATTGTCACCCTGGTCAATGCCATGAATACCGCTGAGGAGCTCACTTCCCAACTACGCTCTGCTGGTGCAAAAGCACTTTTCACTTGTGCTTCGCTGTTATCTCCTGCAATAAAGGCTGCAGATATTGTTGGAATCCCACGTCAGCATATCTTTTTGCTGGAACTAGCAACTGACCAGCCAAATCATGGTTCAAAACAGCGTCAAAACTGGCTGCCGGAGGTCAGAGCCTCCCTCCACAAGAGCCAATTGGGTGGTCACCCGGCCAAGCAAAAATGCAAGTAGCGTTCCTTTGCTACTCGAGCGGCACATCTGGAACATCTGGAACATCTAAAGGCGTTCTCATTTCTCACTATAATGTAATCTCCACCATCATCCAGATGCACACCATGGAGCACAGTGTACGAAAGGAACGGCTGCATTTAGCTCGCAGCACAGATTTAGATATCAGCATTTGTGTTCTACCGCTGAGCCATATCTACGCATTGGTTGCAATCGCCCATAATAGCTTCTATCAAAGCGATAACTTGTCATAATACCGAAATACGAAATTAACGGCTTTTTGCAAGCTATTGAGATGTTCAAAGTTAGCTTACTTTATTTAGTAGGCGTTAGAACTAGAGGCTCTAAACGACATGCTGATGCTTGCGGGTTCCTCCTATCATTTTCAATGTCCTGAAATTTTCTACACTGGTTAACAAGTATGACCTCAGTACCATATCTGCCATCTTCATGGCTGCAGTACCTTTAGATAAAGAGATGGCATTGGCTCTGGTGCAGGTTTTTCAACAGTGGAAGATTCGTCAGGCTTACGATTTGTGTAATTATGGCATATGTTTACATAACTGTTGACACTGCTAGGTCTAACGGAGTCATGTGTTGTCGCAACCAGTAGCCTTGAGATTGACATCTTGCCTGGCTCGTCTGGCTCTTTAATTAGTGGATACGAAGCGAAACTACTTACTCACAATGGAATCGAGATAACATCTCTAGATACACCTGGAGAGCTCTATCTGTGCTCCCCTTCTATTACTTCCCTTGGGTATTTCCGAAATAATCAAGCTAGTAAGAAAACATTTCCCGAAGGTGGATGGTTGAGAACTGAGGATGAAGCTATGTTCAGGCTTAGTGAGTAAGGCAAGAATGAACATGTATGGATCACCGATCGTTTGAAGGAGTTGATCTAGGTTAATGTGAGTACAAATTTCTTTAATTCTAGCAAGATCGCGACCGTGATCGGCTATTCGTTCCAAATCATTACCTCTTAATTTCTCTCCAGTCTATAAGAACACCCAATATATTGACAGTACCAGGGTTTTCAGGTAGCACCTTCTGAGATAGAGTCTCACTTTTTATCACACATTGCAATTGCAGATGTTTGCGTTATATCTATTCCAGACTCGCGGACTGGAGAGGCACCCAAAGCCTACGTAGTGAAAGGAGGAGATTACTGATAGATAGATGGTTTGAGCCTCGTGGAGATACTCAAATTACATGTTCAAGAAGAGAAGGCTCGTTATAAGTGGTTGAAAGAGACAGCGTTTGTTGAAAGAATCCCAAAGAGTGGAGCAAGGAAAATTCTCAGAAACGTGGTTAAAGAATGGGAGAGAAGTTTGCGTAGGCATGAAGGGTCAAGGCTAGGATTATCCAACAAATTCAAATTTCTGCTACACAAGGTGGTGGCCAATTTTGTGCAAAGGTTCAATGTCCTCTGCAACATAACTTGTAAGAAGATTGCTTGGCCAGATAGACTATTTCGTGATATCCAGTGCGGAACGTCGCAATAATATACTGCTCACTGCGCTGGATGTCAGTGATGGGTCCTGGTTACACTAATAAGGTATTTTGGCATGAGATTCGCTAGAGAGACATGTATTGCAGGCTAACATACGAACCATGAATGTACAGAGCACACATTTTACTTCTGCCTCCTCTCGTCTTCTATGAGCATGCAATTACTGCAATTGCAGCTTTTGTTGCTACAGTGCGATATTCTACATCCCAACCCCAGATATAATGATTGAAAGCATTTGTGTATTCCCAACTTACCGTAATCATAAGTCAAAAACATCACTGACTCTAACGACCTGTCCCGTCGCCATACTCTTATTCCCACATATACCGGTGAGTATACTCAACGCGCCATCAACATGGCTCGCAGCCCTCATATCTCCATCAATCTTCGCACCCCCTTCCCCAAACAAATCAGCCAGCAAAACTTCATCGCCGCCCCCATGGGCCCCGACACTCTCCGGAATCTTCACGTTGACAGGCTTCTCAAATAGCTTCCTCAACGTGATACTTCTTGTCTCGAGGCTGCCCTCAAGAGACTGGGCACCCCCGCTATTCACATAGCTATTCTCTACAACCTCCATCTCCAGACGCCCACCCGTCCCGTTGAACGAGACGCGGAATCCTTCCCATGGTGCATACGCGGTGAGCGAGTATGTAAGCACCGCGCCGCTGCGGTACCGTACCAACAAAGACATTGTATCTTCAATGCTGATGCCGTCTCCAAACACTGACTGATCTCTATAATACGCATCTTCGTGCTCGGCATCCAGGTACATGTGGCGCAGCTTTTCATTCTCCTCCATGTGCAGCGCAAACGGATCAGCGGCGGCTACCTTGCTTCCGTGGGCGCGGGCATAAAACGCGGTTGTGCCTCTGGCTTCTGCGTTTTCGCGCCCATAGAAGCGCAGGTCGCCTTGCGCGTACACGGTTTCAGGGCGCGACTGTAGCCAAAAATTTACCAGGTCGAAGTGGTGGGTTGACTTGTGCACCAGCAGCCCTCCCGAGTTGCGCTTATCGCGGTGCCAGCGCCGGAAGTAGTCAGCGCCGTGAGAGGTATTTAGCATCCACTCAAAATGAATGCTGGTTACAGTTCCGATGGCACCGCGGCGTAGTAGCTCCCATACTTTGGTGTTGTGCGGTGCGTATCGGTAGTTGAATGTTACTCGTACTTTTCGGCCGGTGCGCTCGACGGCATCGAAGATCTCTCGGCACCGCGGTGCATCGATGGTCATGGGCTTCTCAGTTACAACGTTGCAGCCGAGTTCTAGTGCGCGTACAATGTACTTGTTGTGTGTGCGGTCAATAGTCGTGATGATGACTTCGTCGGGCTGTGTTTCATGGATCATACGGTCAAAGTCTTGTGCTTTGAATGTAGGCACTTGGACGTGACCGAGGGACTGAAGCTGGGAATTTGCATAGTCGAGCCGTGTTTGATTCGTGTCGCATAAAGCTACAATGGCAGAAGTCGTCTTGTACGTTGTCGCTATTGCAGTGTAGAAGAATGAGGAGCGGCCGCCAGTACCAATCAAGGCGTATTTCTTCTGTTTCTTCGTATCCGTCATCATCCTAGCAGTGAAAGATCGTTAGATCCAATCTCAAATGGATTGTATGTTTTATCAAGGTCTTGGTGTGTAATTACTACATCTTGGAAAATGTGATGATGGGGTGTCGGTATAAAGGTACCCCGGCCTTACCCCTCCGGCGTTGCCCCTCCATCTTCGGTACGTTATAGTCCGAGTTGTACAACCATGACCTGCCAGCATGTAAATCATATTCGCTGAAGCCAAAGGAGTTACAGGCGAACTCTTCTTTGAAGTAAGTGCCTGAAAGGATCCACCCCCGTGCGGAAGTGTAGCCCAGGAATAATCCAGGGTAACAGGGAATGCCTGTGCGGGGAACGCGGCCCTCGTTTTGTGTTGCACGTCATATGAACAGTCATTCGACTGATTCAAGGACGCCATACGTGGATGATTGTCTCGCTGGGAACGATTGACACAGAAAGCCAAGCCAGAAGTCGGGTTGCCATGTGCGATATGGCCCTCTACATATACTGACTATCTAGAAGACTGGGACCTCAATTACTCGGGTTCTGGTTTCCAAGAAGGCATCTTTTTCTCTTAAATAGTTGGTTAGATCCTTTTGTTCACTGTCCCGCGGATATACCCGTATCTTCAATTCTATGTTCGAAAATCGCCATGCCTACGCAGGTTGAAAATCCATACGACGACAATGATACACAACTTGATGTATTAGCCTCTGGAGAAGTCCAGTATAGGTCACAGCAAGTGTTTAGTTACAATTTGCCAAAACCATCTCAGCAGATTCGCATCGCATATAGTTCATGGAAAGTATCATAACATCAGAGCTTGACATGACGAAGTATGCACATATTAACGGCGCGAGGCGCTAACCTCGATAGCCTGTCACGTGCTACTGGGGGAACCGTCAAACCTCACCATAGCAACTTCCAGGTTTCATTCACTTCCTGCCTACAATCTGCACTCTATACACCTCATACCTATGGAATTCTCTGCATGTATCGAGATGTTTCTTCATGGAAACCCTCCGACGAAGGAACAGACTTGCCATAAAGCTTCAAGCAATTGAGATGATATAAGACGATTGCGTGATTGAGTGAATAAACTATTTAACTCCACAATATTCAACTCTTAATATCGAGCTATTGAAAGAGAAAAGATTAAGATAACTATATCCACAATGATGGTGCCGCGCAGTCATCTCAAAGATGATCGAGCCAGTGCATACGCGTCATACGATGACGACACGACGTTAGCTCTGACACCCCGAGTGCAACAAAGTGTCCCACATATCTAGATTCGGGATATTCAATTCGTATTCCATGCATTTCATTCAGCCCTAGGCAGATTATATTCGGTCGACGAGCTCAACAATCGTTTGTGGAGTAGCCAGCAGCATGGTCGGTCGGGTCCTCCATAACCGAAGCGCGGTACGGAGGAAGTTGGTGGCAACCTCGATCCGCAGAAAAAGTCTGTCCAAGCCAAACATTGTATTGAAACCTGAACAAAGTTGATATATAGCTGTGTCTGCCCTGCCAGTGACCCAACAGAACTCATAGGCAATATTGCCTCCCCAGTATCAAAGCCAACAAATAAAAGATCTGCGTAGCCTACCAGTTGGGTGGTGGGATGGAAGTATGGAAACAGCATTGTTACAGGGCACACTTAAAATGACACTTGTCGGTGAATTCTGTTGCACCTGGCAAGATTAGCTACAATTGTAAACCATCAAACTAGTTGCTCTACCTGGGATTGTAGTAAAGACGTACATACTTGAAAAGTACTGCATCAGTACATACGTAGCCAAGAAAAGATTCGATTAAGCGATGACGCAATGGAGGCGTTGTTTCGTTTTCGCCCTCTCCAATACTGCCAGATTATCAGGCATACGAAGCTGACTCTCCGGAGCTTTGATCCTCTTGGTCGCTGGCACCATCGTCAATATCCTTGCAATCTTACATGGCATCATCAGTATCCAAGTTTGACGCTGTACATGACATTCCCACGCATAGAAAGTAACTTCGGGTTGATTGCACAAAGTTTTGTATTCAAAGAAATGTGTTAATAAATATAAAGTGACAGAAGAGTAGTTTATATACATCAAATGTCAAGAGCCTCTGAGAAGCTGGAGACACAGAACTCTACACGGCTCAAGCGAGAGCGGAGCAAAGCTCATTGTAAGATGGTTTAGCCTTGAAGGAGCCGTCAAACAGGAGAGGTCCACCGGCAGCACCGATCCAAGAGTTGGTGTCAGAAACACCCCAAACAGTGATACCGACACAGTTCTTGATATCGACACAAGCATCGAAGACGGTGACCCAATCAGCGGGCTTACCGTTGTTGATATCCAACTCGGTTACGGCGCACTCGGGGGCAGCATCACAGAGAGCCTTCAAAGCAGCAGGGACACCAGAGATGGGGAAAAGAGTGCCTGGGGAGCTGATGTGGGACTGGGAGCCAATGCCGTCAATGGGAACACCTTCTGCAATCCATTTCTTCACGTGGGTAATCATGCCCTTTGTCTTGCCGTAGTTTGCGCCGTCAAGGTTGTAGTCATTGATATAGAGCTTGGCGAGGGGATCGGCCTGGCGGGCAGCGTGGAAAGCGGTAGAGACGAAGCCCTCACCAAGGACGTTGTAGAAGACACTGGATCGGAAGCCACCTTGCTCGTCAAAGATTTCGTTCACAACATCCCAGGCGTAGATCTTGCCAGCATAAGTACCAACGAGCTTCTTGATGTGGTTAACCATGACCTCTTCGAGCTTGGCCTTGTCACGGATCTGAGAAACCCATGGAGCCAACTGAGAGTGCCAGACGGTAGTGTGACCGCGGACGAGTTTGTCGTTACCAGTGGCGAAGGAAACAAGGGCATTAGCGCCATCGAGAGTGAATTGGCCCTCGCTACGCTCTGTGGCATCCCACTTCATGCTGTTCTCTGGAGTAACGCAGCCAAAGTTGTCGACGATGACCTCCTTGTTCTTGCCCGCGCTGAGAGTGTACTGATCAGTGGCAACACCAACGTATTTCTTGCCCTTGGCCTTGAAGGCAGCATCAAGATTGCATTTGGCGCCATTGCGACCACTGCCAGCAACATTGGGAGCAGAACTGTTTCCGCCAGAGCCAGCAGCCGGAGAGGGGGAAGCAGAAGGAGTGGGTTTAGCACCAGGATTGCTTGCGGAGGTAGCAGTCGGAGAAGGAGAAGCAGCGGGCTTAACACCAGTGTTGCCACCGGAGATAGCAGCTGAAGATGGCGATGGGACAGGTTCGTCATCAGCCTCACAAGACTCATCATCACCTTCATTTCCCTCAGTGGCAGCATCGCCGCCCTCCTCATCAGCATCGCAGGACTCGTCTTCAGCAGGCGAGGAAGCAGGGGCAGCAACAGGTGCGGTACCGTTAGGCTCCATAGCCGGGACTTTGCTGGGCAAGCTGGGAACAGCAGAAGTGCTGCTGGCAGATGGAGGAGCAGCTTCTCCGCCAGGAATACACTGGCTGTACCAGTCGTTGTACTTGAGGCAGTGAAAGCCAGAAGCGCAGGCACTGTCGCCTTTGTAGTTGACGCCGCCACACTGGCCAAAGGGAGCCACGGCAGCGAGAGCCGTCGTCGAGGTCAAGCCAACGACGGCCATGTAGATGGATGCATCACGGAAATGCATTGTTTCTGTATGTAGTTTGTGTTTCGATCGGAGAAGAGGGTTATCGCAATGGCGTGTTTGAAGAGAAAAGAACGGAAAGGATAGAAGCTCGCTCCTATGCTATTTTAACAAACTCAAGAAAAAGAAGGTCACGGAAGCACGCTTCCAAGTAAAGATAGAGAGTGTGGGATGAGAATGCAGGAGAATAATTCTGAGCGAATATAGGGCATATTGACTCTGCATCTTATACCTTTTGCACATTACTTACATGGAGTGGAGTGACATGCCATGTTCGGTAAAACACGCATGGAGTGGGTCGGTGGAATTCGGTCAGTGGTTCCTCATGTTGTTTCATGAAACCCGTAGAAACGCCACTCATCCTGGGAAGTCATTTCAGCAATCCATGCGTCCCGCTCGAGACCGGCAAGGGCTTGATAGCGCTATTTGCCATGTTCGAGACTGCGGCATGGGGGTGCGATAACAGCAAGCAGTGGAGAAGGCTCTACTGCAGTGAAAAAAAAACTCAAAGATGAAAACCCGAGCTCGTTATGGCGCCAAGGTACGTATTGCAAGCAGCTGGTGTGCGAGCGCGTCGTTGCATAGTCGAAGTCTGAGGTTGTGCACGATGCCTGTGCGTCCGCGTGCTTACTTTAGTCCTACCGGTTGCGAAGCGGCAGCCGAGTCTCATCTAAATGACGCGCTAAACTGAATGCGGGCAAGGCCTCATCTAAGCGCGGTACCTGCATGGCGTTTGGGGGTTAGGGGCCGGTTATGAAATGCTTCATCCACCTTCCTTGGACTCGGCACGGGAATTGCACGCAAGCTGGATGCTGTTAAGCTTTTCACTCTTGTCAACTGGTGCTTACATTCAATCTAAGACCTGCCTCGCACCGCTGATTAAGGTTTGCCCTTTTACGACTTGTATACATGAATCACATGAGGGTTGCAGTATGCGAGCAGACCCGTCGTTCCCCACTCGCCACCAATGCCAGACTCCTTGTGGCCGCCAAACAGGGCCTGGGGCGTGGGCTTCTCGAACGAATTGACAAACACAGAGCCCGCTTCCAAGCGTCGTGCAATCTTGCTTGCCTTTTCCACGTCCTTACCCCACACGCAGGCGCCAAGACCAGTGTTTGTGTCGTTGGCCCGCGCAATCACCTCTTCCAGATCTGACCATGGCTGTGTAGGAACGATAGGGCCGAATGGCTCTTCCTGAATAATACGAGAGTCGTTTGGTGGGTTGTCGATGATGGTGGGCGTAATGAAGAATCCCTTGCTAGCAGCGACATCGGGCTCACCAACAGCGAAATTGTAGCCCTTGGACTTGCTGTCCTCGAAGAAGCCCTTGACGCGCTCGTATTGCATCTGGTTCTGGACAGGTCCCAGCATATTGTCGCCGTCGTCTGGGCTTCCAACCTTGATTTGCTTGGTAAAGTTGACCATCTCTTGCAGGAACTCCTTGTAGATGGACTCGTGGATGTAGATTCGCTTCGTGGCAACGCAAACCTGGCCAGAGTTCTGGAAAGCACCCATGACAACCTCTGGTGCGACCTTCTTGATATCCACATCGGGCAGGACGATAGATGCATCGTTTCCTCCCAGCTCGAGCGTGACACGCTTGAGCGTCTTTGCGCATGTCTCCATGACCTTCTTGCCAGTGGCGGTAGATCCGGTAAAGCTGATCTTGGCGATACCAGGATGCAGACACATCTGGACACCGAGTTCGTTGTTGCCGCCAACCACTTGGAGAACGCCTGGTGGAAGAATGTCTTGGGCAACCTCAACAAATTTCAGAGCAGTGTAGGGTGTGAAGGGCGATGGTTTGACAATCATGCAGTTTCCAGTCAGGAGCGCGGGCGCGACCTTTCCGACCATCAAGATCAAAGGAAAGTTCCAAGGGCAGATGGCCCCGCAGACACCAAGCGGCGAGTACTCGGTGTAGACAGTCTTTTCGTCATCCTCGAGCTTCTCAGTGGGCAGATTGAGCGTAAGGTGGTGGCTGATGAAACCCGCAATGGAACCAACTTCAAAGGCAGACCACTTCCTCTATCTCGTTATTAGCACAATGCTTATTAAAGACACTAGCGCGCTCGTCTATCCAAGTACGTACCGGCTTTCCAGACTCCTTGCATAGCAGGTTGATAAACTCGTCACTGTGCTGTTGGAACGATTCCATGACCTTGGCCAGCAAGGCTTTCCTCTCCTCAACGGCAGTATCTCTCCATGCTGGAAAGGCCTTCTTGGCAGAGGCAACAGCGTCGTTGAGATCCTTCTCGCTGGCAACGGGCACGTCCCACAGCTCCTGGCCTGTGGCGGGGTTGATGCCGTGGTGAATCTGGTCGGAGCCGCGCTGCTGGCCGTCGACAATGTTGTAGAACTTTTCGAAATCGAGCGTGGAAACCTTGCCTGGAGACATTGTGGCAGCTGAACAAGGACTTTTGGGATAGGGTGTATGGGCGAGAGTGTGAAGGACAAAACGGGGCCATGAGGGGATCAAGGTTTCTACTTAAGTCTGCATTGGAACAGCACATGCCCTTGGCCTTGCGGCCGCGCAGACTCGGCCTCTGGTCTGGCAACCACCATCCTCGGTAAGTCAGTCGGCAGCTGGCGGAGTGTCGTGGTGGGTTTGGCGGTTTTCGGGTTGGGTTGGCAGTGACTTTGCGACGCTGCCGCCCCACTTGCAGCCGCAGGATCGCGGGGCGAGTACCAGTCTAGGCTTGCATGCTTGCATCATCCCACCTGCCCCTCACCTGCTGCCCCCCTCTTTCACCTCCATCGTGCACTCTCAACCCCTTTGCACCACCATTCTCCATCTGCCAAGGCGTTTAGATATCGACGCTTTACTGTATACACTCGCGCTACCTCATTCGGGCCTGTTCTCGAGATTCTGACAAATAAATGCTGCTGGCCGGCCACAGGACGGAAACCACCCGCATCGCTATTGCTGAGGCGTGTTTGTAGACGCAACCCTGCTACGATGCGTATCCATCCTTCCTCTGTGCTAGAGTATCTCTGCCCCGCCGGGCGTGCTTTCGGCGGTCTGCAAAAGTGGACTATGAGCGGTTGACGAAGCGCAATCAGGTTTAGCACGGACGGCCTGGTGCGGACGAAATTCTTTGCTACCCTACTACCCTGCACCCTTTTCAGACTGGCCACACAACTACTACCACTACATGGTCTCAACTCTGTGCTTCGAGCCGCGGTTGTCGCCTGACAAATGCACGTTGATAGGGTTACCGTTGCGACCGGATGGGGCTTCGCCCTTGGCGGGCTCCACGCTCCGTACAGTAACTAGCGGAACAACGCGTATAAGAGCACAGGCGACCAAGGCGAGTAGATTGTTGACAAAGTTGTTTCAGATGAAGAAGGTCTTGTCCAAAGACATTACTGTGTACATGAGTAACCACTACCATGCGCGTGTCAGCAGTTGCTGGGCGTCCTTAAACGTATGCTATTTGTCATCTGGGTGATTTGCAGTAGGACGTGGGTAAGCTCGGACCAAAAGATCTGCTCGTTACCTATGGTCAGCTCGTGTGGCTACAAGACTGTCGCGTTTTTCGAGTCAGGATTCGTGGCAGTGCCCATGGAACTCGTTTTTCTCATGATAACGGTGTACATTCAGGGATGGAGATCTGACGCTGTGAATGTTCCGATACTCTTTCATACACTTTCACGCACCGGAACCATCGGCTATGGCAATAGCTACAGCCATAGTCACGTGCCCGAGGATATGTCTCTCCATCTAGGGACTCGATGGCACCTTATGGAGTTGTCTTCATATCAGCCATAGGGCTCTGATTGCATATGCATCCAAATGTTGTGCACTTCTACTCTGAATAGAAGCTCGCGCCTGATGAATTTAATAATGAACATGCAAAATCGCAAGCTCTCACGTATAGTCAATCCGTTGACTGCCTTGCGCCCTTTCGCTAAATGACTCACCAGCTTGGGCCTCGAGAGAAACACGGCTCTCCATTGCACCAAGACATCAGGGCTCTATATACCCAGTATGTCATCTTATGCTCTGAATTACATCACGCAGAAGACTGGGCGAGGATCGTCTGTTACCGTATTATATGTTGTAACATCGCCCTAGATCACAAGCACAATAAGACTCAGATTGAAAGGCTGCCCCCAATCAAAACTACAGATTCTAGTAAATGAAGCGCAGAAAACAAAAAAGGGCGTAACAGGCTTTGACCCATGGTACAATACTGCACCTAGTGCTCAAAACATAACAATAACTAAATAAAAGACTCTCCATACTTGAGTCACATCCACAACCAACCTACTTGTATTGCATCGACACTTCGCTCCGACTTCGCTACGACTTCGCTACGACCCTGCGACCTCACATGCTCAACTTATATCTTGACTTCAGATACTAGAAACAACACCTTCAAAAACACCCACCTTATTCAACACAGCACAGTAACCATCTAGCAGCGGAAGAGAGAGAGAGGAGAAAACATGTCAGAACTAGCACCAACCGACTCCCCATTCTCTTCTGAACCTATCTTCTTTTGGAAACAAGGTGAGAGCAATGGCTACCTCTGCCAATGGTACGCCTCTCCCTTCACTGTTTCAGACACTACATATGCGACATGCGAAATGTACATGATGATTCAAAAAGCGCTGCTTTTCAATGATGATGATACGGCACAAAAGATGTTCCGAACAACGGATCCACGCAAGCACAAGGGACTAGGGCGCAAGGTGCAGGGCTTCGATCATGCAGTATGGGATAAGCGTACGTTTTCCCTGTTTCCCAGCATCGCACTTTCTTCTTTGTCGTTACGAGAGAGAACTGATCAAGGGATATGTACTGAAATAGGTAAATTCGACGTCGTTGTGCAGGCATCATATTACAAGTTTACTATTAGCCGAGATGCAGAGCGCTTGCGGCGTATGCTGCTTGCGACGGGTGAACGCGAGTTGATCGAGGCGAGTCCGTTCGACTGCGTGTGGGGCATTGGATTCAAGCAGGCAGATGCCATGCTGAATCGCGAGTTTTGGGGCGAGAACCTACTAGGGAAGGCGCTAATGGAAGTGAGGAAGCGGTTGAGGGATGAGGAGAAAGCAAAGGAGGAGCAGGTGAGGCTGGATCGCGAGCAGTGGGAGCAGAAGTTTTTGGATAGAGTGAGGTTGGCAGCAAAAGGGAGGAGAAATCAAGAGGGAGAGGCGAACAGGTAATGCAAAGGCGGTGCGAAGGCGATGTGGAGGCAATGGAAATTGGCAAGTGACATAACTAGTTATAACATCGCATGTTACTAAGCAAAAGGACTCGGAGCACCTGAGTGTATGTGTAACAAAATATACTTTTCATTTGAAAGACCCATTGTACATAACAAGGTTTTGAAACAGGAAACGACCATGTACTACCAAGTAAAACAAAACACCAGTCCATCAACTCCCATGATAACAATATACCAAGCTTAGCACTTCTTCCACTGGAAGTACAAATTGGATGTAAACCTGCCAGACTCCTTGGTTGCAGCAAGCACGCCATTAGCAGGCGTAGCAAACGGCGTCAGGGCAACCTCGCTGTTAATGTTGAACATGGCGTCCTTGCCGCAGGGTGACCAGACTGCCGCCGGTACGTTGTCCTGCTTGTAATATTTGCCGTTGAACGGTCCATTAATGACGAGCGCCGACGAGGTTTGGTCTTGCTCGCCGGAAAAGTAGTAGGTTGACTTGACAACGCCCGTGACGCCAGTGTCAAGCTCGCCCCAGCCAGAGTAGTCGGCGCGGAAGACGGCAAAAGAGAAGCCTGGGCTGAACTCGAGACCGAGATTGATTTGGCAATTCTTCCGTGACTCTTCGGGGCCTTTGCCGCTGCCTACGCGTGCGGTGAATTGTTTGTTGAAGTCTATTGGGTTTTGTAGGTCAGCACGCGTACCCAACAAAGGGGTTGGGGGAAGGATGGCATGGGAGAGGACATACAGATGGGTAGAATGCCTTGCTCAGTCCAGTCAATGTCGATGCTGCCTTGAGGACATCCCGAGCCGCCAGATACAACACTTTTGATCTTGAAGGAATCTGGGGCTTGGTATGTTGGTGCAGCGGCTGCGACGGCCGCAAGCACAAGGGTGGCCAATGTACACTTCATGGTGATTTGTTTCAAGGTAAAAGGAATTGAAAGACGGTTCAACTCAAAATCAAAGCTGCTACGAGATGCAAAAAGATAATGTTCACACTGTCAGATCATGGGTATACATAGTTTATATGTTGCCACGGGCTACGAGTATGCGACCTAGAACCCCAGGCGGTGCAACGCTACATACTTTTAGTCTCAAGATAGTTTTGTACTAAGGTCAATCACCTGCCCCCTGCACAATGCAGAGCGAGGCAGCTGATTGGGAACCACATACAACAAGCTCGAGACAAGATGGCCAATCGTTGGCGGTAGTTGGTGGCTTCGTTCAGCTCCTGTATCGCCGCCTCGGAGACAGCAACGAACCAGGCATGGTTGCCATGCGTGCGATATGAAGCTGCACTCGTCGATATTACCTGTAGACTTGTGGACACGGAAGACAGGCCGAGGAGAAAATGGAAAGCTGGATGGGCTGAACGCAGGGCAGCCGTCGCTCTGGAACTGTCGGCTTCTCGAGCAAACTTTGCTGCAATCAAGATGGAGGCTACCTGTGTTTGGCCTCGAGGTGATTGCAGCATGCTAGATAGGCGAGTCTCCAATATAATAGATTGAAAGACCCGGTCGAGGTCACGACACGGAGACGGAACGGTAGATTGCGGGCTGGGTTGTTTCCGGGGAAACCTTGGCTGCTTTAGCGAGTGTGAGGGATCATTAAACTTTTTTTTTCTTTTCTCTTTTCCAGCAGTGGTTCGAGTGCTGCATTGGTCTAGGGTTCGTATTCTTCATCAATGGCCTTGCGCATGGTGTGTGTGCTATCAACACAATTGCGACATGGGAATATGACAAGAATTACATAAAACATGCTGGTGCCATGGACATTGGTTTGTAAGGTTGTGAGGGGCAGAACCGTTCAGTAGCGGTTCTCGAATATGCGGGCTGGGTAAATGGGCCAGGACGCCACGACAGGTGACACGCCACTGTTGCCAAGGGCTGAGTAGGCGCCTAAACGTTACCATACATATTGCACGCGCCACCATCCAGGGCAGGACTAGCCGGAGGAGCGAAAAAAGATAAGAGAGAGTAAACGTGTTCGTAGCGCAATGCGTCATGTAGTGATGGATATTATGGTAACATTAACCTACCAGCTAACGCCTCTTGTTAACCCAAGGCTCGTATACATTCAAGAGCTGAATCTGTAGTGCGGCCCAGAACAATAGATGAACGCCATGGCAGATCCGCCAATGCAATGCCTGGTAGAGTACAAACAGCTACTCCTCTGCCTCGGTGTTCCAAATCTCCACCTCTCTATTCTCCAGTTCCTTCATCTTGTCCTCGCCAAAAATGGTCTCAGTTGGTAGACCAGTTTTGCCGTAGTTGACTACCGGCCCGATGGTGTTGAGCCATTGTGTTCTCCTCTCCATGAGCGTTCGGATTGGCTCGCCAACGCCTGGCCTCGAGATGCCAGCGTTGGTGACAGGATGGCTGCCACCACCTGCGCCGCCAGGCCGCTTGTTTTGTTTCTTGCCTTTACCAAGATTGCGATTGCGCTTAAGATATGCTGCATTCAACTGGTTGTCCAGGTCGTCGGCTATGGTGTTGTATTCTTGTTGGGCTATACGCTCTTCTGTGAGCTCTAGGAGACGCTGTTTTCGCGCGCCGTTGATGATGGATTGTTTGCGGAGCTCTTCCTGCAGAAAGCGCAGTCGCTGCGCGACTTCGTCGTCAAAGTGAGAATCGTATGATTGGGTTTCGGCGTCCGTCTCAGAAATGAAGCCAAAATGCTTGAGTTCCATGAGTATACGATCCTCCATGCCCACAAAGTCGGTGCGTGCACCTTGGACGGGGGGCTTCCAACTAGGCTGGACGAGATCAGGGAGTTGGGCTGCAGCAGCAAGAGAGTTGGTATTGCTCATGTCTGGCGGTGCGCCTGCGCCCTCGTCAATGTCCATGGCATCTCCGCCAATGCCGTTTGTCTCGTTTTGGTTGTTCTGGTTGCCCCGTCCTTCTGGTCGTAGCGTGGCCAGCAGACGGGACAGTAAAGGACCAGCTGAGACCTGGTCTGTTTCCAGCACATCGTCTAATATGTCTTCAGCTGAACCACGCGGGACGTTGGGAGGTGGCCGCTGATCATTCGAGTCGATGTGCATGGATCCGTCTTCTTCAGCCCAAATCTCCTTGTAGTGTCGCGGCCCACGTCTGGGTAACACAAAGGGCGCTACCCGATCCCCTCGTTCCTTTAAGAAAGCAACGTCTTCTTCTGTCAAGGGCCTGATGTAGGGCTCGACGTAATTGGCAAATACCGTGGCGTTGACCTGTGACGGTGGCTTCGCATTGGAAAAGTCCTTGTCCGGGGGCGAGCCGGCTATTTTGTCGCGCAGGTCGGTGAGGGGGAATTGGGCAACGCAGTATATTTCCTTCTTCTCTTCTATCGACATGCCCGGAGTCACCTCTCGGATGTGATATATGGTAGGATCATCGAACTTGGCGGGGTCGGGCCCAAAGGTCTGGAACTGTGGTACGGCAGGGGCGGGGGCAGGTTGGTGGGAGACGTCAGAGGCGCTGGGTGAAGGGGCGTCTACTGGGCCTGTGCCAGCAGCCGAGGGTGGTGCTTGTGAGACGGGAGAGGATATTGCTGAGGAGTTGTCTGGTGGTTGAGTTAGCGAGCTGTTGAATCGCATGGCCCCGAGCCTGAATGACATGCGCAGAGGAGCCATAGTTGAGCTGATTCATGTATGGGAAGAATGTAATGCCGGCCAGGTAAGAAAGGGCATGTGATTGCATGGAGGTCTTCAAGGAAAACAAGACAAAGAAGACAAAGAAGACGAGGGGTTGAGACAGTGGACTTGCCTTTGTCACCACCGTCCTGCCTGGCAACGCCGTGGGCGCCGACTGCGGGGGGGTGTTTTCCATTGTCGTCGTGCTTGGGGTTGACCTTTTTGAGTTTGTGCTTGCGATCGCGGTCGTCGGGTGCCTTGTCCTTTTCTCGGTCACGCGGGGCGCGGCTCTTCTTGAGGCTCATGAGCTCCCTCAGGGCGCCTTCTGACTGGACACAGCGCGACTCCACATTTTTCAACACCGTCTTCTCGATGTTGTCGCGCATGGTCAGCAGCTGCTTGCCCGAGGGAATGTGGGAGCCATTGCCGGCCGTCTCGAGAATCTCCTCGACGGTAACAGGACACTTTTTCAGGTACGAGGTGAGGCGGCCGCCAAAGTGCGACGAGGCCGACGAGGGCTCGACCGAGGCGCGCACATTGGGCAACGGAGTGGTGTTGCGGCTGCGGGGAGTCTGTGAGGGCTTGGAGCCGGGCTTTGTGGCCTTGGCCTTGCCGCTGAGGCCGGTGGGCGCCATGTCGGGCGTGTGGTGGGTTGAGGGCGAAGGTGAAGAAGCGGAGGAGAGGCGGCCGGGCTGGAGGGCAGGCGCGCTGGAGTATACAGGGAAGGCGCGCGCACAGGGGCGGGCAACGGCGACGGCGATGGCGATGGCTGGACGGAGCTGCTAGTCAGTGGGTGTCGAGTAGAGGATGCGCATCAGCAACAACATCAACACCAGCGACGACGACGACGACGACGACGACGGCGGCGGTCGAGGGAACGCGTGGGGGGAGGCAGCGCTGGCGGAGTGGTTGTGGTTGCGGTTGCGGGCACCGTCGTCATGCCCATGGCTGCGCTGCGCGGGCAAGGCGGCGATGGCGTCTCGTCTCGGCTGGCGTGGTGTGGTTGGTCTCTGCGCTCATGCTGCCCGTAGTGCCAAGCTGCGCCTCATGGGTGGCTGCCGCAACCACCACACGCCTGCCATCTAGTACACAGTAGTACTTACTGTGTACACTACACTGCAATAGTAGTAATAGTAGTACTTACATAGATACATACATGGACACATGTACATGCATACATGCATATCCACAGGCCCCCAGACGTCATCATGCCCGGGAAACAAGCTGCCGAGTGCGCCGCAGGCCATGCATGTTGTCGCCGGCCACCCTCAGCGGCGGCCGTGCCCAACTACTTGCTTGTCATGCTCAGATGGAGACATGCACTTGCATGGATGCATACGTATGTAGGCACTTGCGTAGTGTAGTATGCGTAGGCGCAAGGAGTAAGTATAGTACAATATGGGCCGGGTTCGGCGTTTCTGAATTCCGCACGGGCGGCGCGGCTGTGCCCACCAGCCTCTCCCTCCACTCTCTAGCCACCGCTGGCGCGAGGGCATCTGCATTCGTCACCACGGCTGCCGCTGACTGCCCCAACGACGTGCCCGCCATCTGCCTCGCTTCCGCCCTCTCCGTTCTGTCGTCGCCATCGTCGCCATTGTCGCCCTCATTGCCCTCAGCATGGTCTACAGTCGTGTCGTGTAGTGTAGCCGGTGCATGCTAGCAACGCCCGTCTAGTCCGCCCCTGTTGCGCCTTCCACCATGTGTACGTCACACCCGCTTGCTGCTCACTCCCCTCTGTCCACCGCCCACTGCCCACTACCCACTACCCACTACAGCCCACCTGCTGACTGGCACGACACTACATAGCTGCCCAACGCATCTCCATCTTCACCATTGACTTCCCCGACCCTCGCTTTATCGACTACGACAACAACCAGTTCCAGTCGCTCAACGAGTCCCTCGGCTTCCGCTACAACATCCTCAACAACATCCAGACCCTCTCCACCAAAGGCATCGACCCGGACCAGGATCCCTTTGGCATCCTCTATGTTCCCCAGCTCTACACTTCAGGCTGCAAAGAAGCCCAGGCCCAGTACGTTCCTGCAAACGCCACGCGCATAGAAAACCTGCCAAATGACAAGGACTACGCCCTCATCGCCGTTGCGCCCTGGTACTCGCCCCAATGCACCATTGAGTACTTCACCGAGGCCCGCAAGCACTCGACCAAGGCCTTCATTACCTACCTGCCCGGCGATAGCAATGCAAAGCCCCCCGTGCTCAACGATGCTGCATGGAACCTCGAGGATGGCGGAAGCTGGCAGTCGCGCAACAAGTTCCCCACCTATGCTGTTTCCTCCATGACCGGATCCAACATCATGGACCAGCTGAACCTCTACTCCGGAAACCTGAGCGATGTACCCCACGCAGATCAACTATCCCAGATATACGACAGGACTGACTATATCCGCCTCTGGGCCAACATCGGCACAGGTCAGTAGCCACTGCCTCTTTGCATACACTGTACTAACACTCTACCCAGACTCTACCAGTCAGCTTCCCAGTCTCTGGGTCTTCCTTGTCATCGTACTGGCCATCCTGCTCGTCGCTGTTAGCTTTACCTCTGTCATTATGCACATCATCCAGCGAAGACGTCGCAACGACCTTCGCCAGCGTGTTCTCAACGGCCAGGTCGACCTCGAAGCACTCGGCGTAAAGCGTCTCAACGTGTCGCAACAAGTACTCGACAAGCTACCAATACACACGTTTTCTGGAAATAGTTCGACTTGTTCGGAAAAGGCCGACCCAGAACCCCTCGTTCCATCAAACGCCGGCCCATCTTCTGCTGCAAGTGCCGAAACTGGCCACAAACCCACGCTGGCTCGTCACTCGTCTGCCCCTGAATTACCAAAGTCGTCCATGTCCAGTTCTTGGTCGCAGCCCACTTGTCCCATCTGCATGGACGACTTCGAGCCAAACGAATCTCAAGTGAGAGAGCTCCCTTGCCACCACATTTTTCATCCCGAGTGCATCGATCCCTTTCTACTTGGCCACTCATCATTGTGTCCCATGTGCAAGCGGAGCGTGTTGCCCACAGGTGTGTGTCCAGTCAAGATCACAAACATCATGGTCCGGCGGGAGCGACACATCAACCGCATCCGGGCACGCAGTGCCCGTACAGGGAACCCCCAACCAAGCTCAACCACGGCTATGGATCTGGACCCATCAGCATCACCGGCTTCACCTGCTCGACCGCCAATGGCTCAGGCATCACTCGGTAGTCGAATAGGCGGAGCCATCACAGGACGTAGAATCTTTAGCGCACCACACCGAACGCAATCTCGACCGAGTGACATTGAAATGGCAATGACGTCGCCATCAGGCCCTCCAGCACCACCTCTGCCAGTCAACACATCATCTTCACAACAATCGCAAAGCTGCGACCCTGCGCAAAGTCGCAGAGAATGGGCCCGACAACGGGCTCTGGCCATGCTTGGCCCTCACCACGCACCTGCCAGCGATGAAGACGAAGAGCAAAATCTTCCAAAATGGAGACGTATTCTTCGCAAAGTCTTCCCAACCTAGTGATCACCAACGTGCGCTCCTCTCTAGGAAACTTTTTCCTTTTCTTCTTATCTACATCATGATACCAGGGCATCGTCTCGGCGCAAAGACATTTGTCGATTAGTACTTTAGGATATGAACCACGGAGTTGGGTGTAGTTAATTTTATCTTCTTTGTACTGTATATAGCATCTACTAGTAGTTTCTATATAACTGCATATTCTAACATCTAAAAGTGAATATCAAGAAATTACACTATTTTTGGAGCTCTGTCTACTCCAAAGTTTCAATCCTTAATGCGCATTAATCTTATTAAACTCCTGTTTATGTGTCGCTAGGATCGTTAAACTCCATAGCTGCCTGATATTACACTAAGTTAGGACAAATGCACCTAATGGTTCAACTTGAAAACTAGTATCGTAGGTCCAACTCCAAACTTCGCTACTAAGTTGGGCACGGTTGTTTTCAACGAGAAACCAGAGATGCTTATAGGCAGATAGAACCTTGGTGTATAATGGTTGATCGCTACAGAAGTCTGCATCGAGATCAGTACCATATGCACTCCTATACGGTCAAATGACTTACCTAGTATATTCACCTGTTCACATCGTCCAAGCTGATACCCAAGCCCAACTGCCAGATCGATACCACTATACCATGATAGTCTCCATTAGTGAAATTGCGCGCATAAACTGGATCCCCTCCGTACGCGGGGTTCGCCACAAACAATGTCACAGTACTAGAAATCCCAATTAGAAACGGATGAAGAATATTGTCCGCACTCTAATTCAATAACTTACTCAATTATATTTGATTTGTAGTATGAAGTAGGAAATGCCGGAAGCAATCATCTATATTCTTAACGTAGACTAAGAACTAGCTAATGTCGAGACTATAGAATTACCTAACGTACTGTATATAGTTATTGCGTGCAACAGCCTAGCTAATATAACAATATTTACTCTATTGAAATATCTGCCTATTTTTCTAATACGTAGCAGCTCTACTACTATAAAAGCTTTCGTAAAAGTAGATAAAGTTAGGGTGGTAAATACAGCGTTTGTAGGGTATAACGTAAGCAGAACACTAAAACCTTCGCACCTTTGTATCGCCGCGAATAGTAAAGTTATTAAGCCAAAAATCTTATAGACTATTCTTTATACTTGCTAAAATATCTAGTTAGATTTATAGTTTATTATCTCTACTATTCGCGGCGATGCAAAGGTGCGAAGGTTTTGGTATTCTGCTTACGTTATACCCTACAAACGCAATAACGTACCCCACCAGTAAGCTGCGCACCCTACCCAACTTAACGCGACTCTCTACGCAATTAGTCCACAACAACGCAATAAAATAATATAAAATTAAAAGATATAATTTATTATCTAGCCTTACACGTCGTGTGAGTATATCCTTAGATATAGCACTTCGTACACGTTGGCGGCGCGCGCTAACGTCGCTGACTGCTCTCACCCTATTCAGCCTCTACAACCACCCTTTCTACCTCTATAGTAAGCTACTAAGCCTGCTACATCTAGAGAGCTCCACTAGAAGCAATATATTAACGCTGCTAATCTTACTTTCAGCGTTAACGCTAGTAGGCTATACGCAGCTTCTTATTTTCTTCTATAATGTTACACGGGGCCTACCTAGGGTAGGGGAATACTTGCCTAGTCTCGGTCCGGGTTAGGGCGAGACCTTCTCGATGAAGTAAACCGTGCGATTGATTGCTGGAGAATCAGGTGGAAAAGAGTTATAGATGTTAACTAATAAACAACAATTAATTCTATAAGAATAGAATAACTAAGTATTAATCTATATAAGAGAATAACTTGTAAGAGAATACTTATTGAGTTGACCATAACGAGTGTAATACAGTGGGGTGACAAAAAAAAGTCCAAATCCAAAAAGTTGTCGTTTTGAAACATGTATTACTTAATAACTAGAAAGGCCATCCTAAAAGGGGTTAATTCATTTTAAAGCCAAGATGTCCTAGTTTAGCATAGGGTAGTCACGTGACTGTAAGTGAGCCTTTTTGTTAGCTAAAATGAACCGAAAACCTCGCGCTTTAGAAATCTATAGATATTTGTATTTTTTTCGCGCTTAAATTTTTAAGTTTTTCAAGATTTTATTATATACATATATCACTGTATATACGATCTATATTATATACAGGTATAATATATCTATATAAAGTATAATAAAAGATATAAATAAAAGAAATTTATAAGTAATAAAAGAAGATAAAAGATAATATATTAAAGCTAGTACTTAGTATACCACCCCTTAGCTTCTACTACAGCTCTATAACGTCTTAACATAGATAAAATACAGTTATCTATATTCTTTTCCAGAATAGCCTACTACTCTTCTTTTATTGCAGTAATAAAAGTATTAATACTTTTACTAATGATACCAGCGCCTAAAGAGGTAGTAGGCCTTTAATATAGCCTATTTTTAAGTAAACTCTATATATTTTTAATAGGATTTAAATCCAGCCTATAGAATATTTAGTTAGGTAAATATATAGATATATAAAGCTAGTTGTTATATTAAAGTAGAAAATACTTATAAGAAAAAAGTTGTTAAACAAAGTAAAACTACTTTACCTTTTTCAATCAATAGTTTAATATAAGGTATTAGGCATTTCTAGATATAGTAATTACTAGAGTAAGAAGTATTAGATATAGGCGTTTTTATAACGACTATATCTGATCTTCCGCCTATCCAGATCGCTGCCTAAATTTGAATCGTTATATCCTTAGCTATTTTTAATAATGTAATTAAAAATTAAATATAAAACTATAATTATAATAATAAAACATATTTAAATAATACAATAGAATATTAAGAAACTAAAATAACTTACTAATATTTCTAGTAGAAACTAGATTTCTACTAAGCCGTTAATTTCCTCGTTTTCTAAAGTATTCCGAACAAGACCCGTGTCTCTATTGTATTCCACACTTATTAGAATAGATAGTCTTAGTATAATCTTAATTAGTAATCTAAGCTAGGCTCTCCTTAGCCTGTACTAGTCTCTTTTACGCTTTTTTAGCGTTTAAAACTAGTTTTTTTATCAATTTATTTAACGTCTAACCTTCAGCCTTTAAAACCCGTTAAAGCGTTCTAGTTAAGATATCTAGATTATTTTCTTTTAATAATCTAGAATTTGTTAGAGATCTAAGCTACTCAGCTAATCTCTAATAAGATCGATCTATTAATCGACTAGATCGCTATACCCTAGTGATCTATATTATTATACTACTAGTGTATCACGAGTGTATTAGTAGCGTAAGAGATAAATAAAGATTACGTGTATATAACGTAATCTATCGCTACTAGCTAGTATTAATACTAGTGATAGAAATACTAGATAGAAAACAGAGCAGATTATAAGCACAAAGCAGACTACTAGTGCAGATAACAAGATAAGATCAGATCAATCCAATTCTTCAATCTCTCTCCCCTAGCATTATTTCTCTCTTTTCATCCTAGAACCTATCGATTCGCTACCTCTGAGTCTATCGCTAGACAAGTAGACGACTCTACCTCTGAGCTAGCTATAGAACAAGTAGCACCCTCTTTATTCTAATAGAATTTATCTTCTTAGGGCTTCTAGTTATATCTCTATTAATAACTCTTTTAGCTCTTGTAGAAAGCTCTAGATTTCTTCCTCTTTTAGCTCGTTCTTGGCAGATTTTTATACAGTGGGGTGACAAAAAAAAAACGTAGTAAAAAAAGTTATTATTTTTAAAAGATAATTACTCAGCAGCTATAGTGGCTATAGATATAAAAGTTAGTGCGTTTTAAAGCTAAGATCTTCTAGTCTTTTACATAGGTGTCACGTGACATTCTACGGCAGCTTTAGGTAGATCTATAATAACTTAAATACTTGGAAAAATTCTAAAAGATTTTGAACTTTTAGAACTCTATAGTAGATAGAGCTATATAGCTAATAGTTATATATATAGTAGTAGTAGATATATAGATCACGTGATAATGGTCTTAGCTACTCGAGCTTATATATATAATAGATTCTTAATAT